GGCCTCAATGGGTCGTCAAGCACTCTGCGCTTTCACACCCACGTAAGGTCTCTGATTCAATTCTCGACTAGGTGTACGGAGGTTAATCCTCATTAATATCTCATGTAGAGTGCACCCAACCCATAATACTCAAAATATACAAAAAAAGTGTGATAAATTGTGTGATTATTAGAGACTTGCCGATAAATACTTATACATATTGCGGACATATGATACTCGTTTTCACACTTATATGCCAGGAATTTAGGCAGTTAAAACATGAACATGAAAACAGTTCTTTATTAACTCAAATATTTTTTTTTAAATACACTTGAAAGTTATTTTTCATTTTTGTAGTTGTCACGTAAGAAGCAAAAGCCGTTTTTTTGTATAACGCATACACTCAAGATTGCCCCGCGGTAGGGAAACCCTGTATCGCGGGTGCCATGGACACACACAGACAACCACAAATTACACCCAAACTCTCGAGAGAAATAAATTTAGGCCGTACAATAATTTTCCCGGCCCGGGAATCGAACCCGGGACCTCTGCGTGGCAGTCCAGTATGGTAACCGTTCAGCCACGGAGGCAGTTGAAAGTTGCAAATACTGATTTTATTACAACAGTTATTCTATATCTATACATTATACTAAGTTCCACTGTACAGTGTGGCCATAACCATGTAACCACAATAAAAAGAAACTGTGTAGGTATCCTTTATTTGTTTTCCATCCTCTACGAGGTATGTACTATTAACCTAATAAAGTATTAAAAAGTATTTTATCTAAGTGACTTCATTCTCAAAAATCTCGATATCCCCGAGATTGAAAACCTCAATCAGAGAACAAAAAGTAACCTCAATCTCGAGCCTCGAAAATGCCAAAAAATTGTCGAGACCAATGGTCGTCTATTCAATAACTATCTCTAAGTATTACTAAAATTATTACTTTTTATGAAATTAAATTTAGTAGTAATTTGCATAATGCTGCGGTTATATGTTACGCGGACGACACCGCTATCCTTTTCCACGATGACTCCCAAGAGTCCAAGCTCAAGTGACTGGTTCTACAGAACAGGGTTTAGAAGCCGTGGCAGAATGGCTTCAAAACAATTTGCTGACGTTGGATATCTCCAAAACAAAATTTGTTTGCTTTCACAAGACTAAGGCCTCAGCACCGACTGGTTTCCCCGACATTGCTCTTCATGCCTGTACTTGACAAGGACAATCATCATCAAAATGTACATGTGCACGCATTGGCCGAACAACAGCTATTAAATTAAATATGTTGGTGTTGTCTTTGATGAGAAATTGGGCGGCATATAGGCATATGGCAAAAAGTTTTGGGCGGCATTTAGGGGTTACAGCTAATCGTGTTCGCAGACTTTTTAAGAATTTACGCAACTCTGCCGACAAATGGTTGCTCAAAATAGTGTACACTTCTATCTGTCAGTCCGTTATAGCGTACTGTATAACCGCATGGGGTGGGGCTTCGAAGACATGTATGCTCCCCCTGGAGAGGGCACAACGAGCGGTCCTGAAAGTCATCCTAAAGGAACGCATCAGTTACCCAACCATACTTGTTTACAAGGACATGGATGTTCTTAGTGTTCGAGGGATTTTTATTTTGCGCGTTGTATCAAAGTTGCACGCGGAGGTTTTAAGATTTCCTGAATATACCGCAATGCTGCAAAGGGACAGGTTCAGAATCCCTGTACCCTAAACGAAATCGACTTTTGCCCAGAAATTTAGCTCAATTTTCCATCCTTTTATTTACAACAAAATAAGTAGCGAATTTCCTTTCAAAAATTTCTCAATCAGAGAACTAAACTCAAAAGTGAAAAATTGGCTTAAATCACTTTGCTATGAGGATGTTGAACAAATTCTGAAAGTAGACAAACACGTGCACACACACACAAACACACGCACGCCCATTCGCACACACACAATCACGCACAAGTAATTTAATTGCTTTGTAATTAACATTATTTAATTTCCTATTGTTTAATAAGTAATTAATTAGTTTTTAGAAATTTTCTATATATTGTATACATACTTCGTTTCAATCCAATTTGAACAAAATGTAAACTAACAAATCACTGACCATAGACGGTTTAGTGATGGCCACTTGTAATGCCAACTACAAATCGATTAATTAATTGAATGAATGGATTTGTTAAATTGAGTCTTCGTGCCGGCTTTCCTTACATAGCCTGTATTATAATTTATTAAAATTTAATTTAAATTAAGTATTAACATTTCCGAAATCGTAATTTATTATTAATAAGCAACCATAGACAGTTCATGGATGTATAGATGAAAATAACATTACTTTTGGACTACCATTTTTCAAATACGATTTTGCGATTCTGTTCGAATGAATGTTAATGGAAACAGTGGTGCGATATCAAGTCGAGGTCTTCGAAATATACGTGAATGTGTTGCTTGTAAGATTTATTGAGTAATTGCTTTAGAATTTTAACCAAACAGTCTTGTTTGCTGTTTGTTCGGAATGGATTGGAACATACTTTACGTCCTTTCTAGAATTGGTTACCTACGAGACAGACTTTGCCAAGTGTAGGAGCCAGTGTAACCGGTTTAAATACAGTTTAAAAGTACATGTCTTAAACATACGTATTCCATAATGTGTAATATAATATATTCTCACTTCTGTTCCTGTTATCGGTAACTGAACTGTATTTGTTTTTATGTACAAATAAATTACTTACTAACTTAGTTACTTACTTAAATTAAATAATAAAAGTATTAAATTCTCTTAAATAATAAAATATGTTAATAAAGTAATGCAGTAACAATTAAATAATGAATACTAATTAATATAATTGTAGAGCTTAATATAGGGAGATCAGTTCTTTGTCTTCAACAAAATGTTGTATTGCATAACAACACTTTTGTACGAGGAGGTTTTTCAATTTGTTGTAAAACAGTTTTTCATCTTTCTGAAGTAATATATTACTAGGTACCATGTTATATATTGCTATTGCTCTGTAATAAGGGCTATTTTTGAAAACTGTAAGTTTAGTTAAAAATTGTAATTTTTAACCGACTTCAAAAAAGGAGATTTTCAATTGGACTTTGTTTTTTTGTATGTACGTTACGCGATAACTCCGGTATTTGTGAACCGATTTTCATAATTCTTCTTTTGTTGGAGAGAGGGTGCCTCCAAACTGGTCCTATTTCATTTTGAAGAAAATCATCTACCTCTAAGGGTGGCAATGAATGTTCACGCATGAACATTCATTTTTTAAAAACAGCACCTAAATTTTATTATAAAGAGCAATTATTTTAATGGTTGATTTTGCTATTCTCCAATTCAAGGCGTTTTTCTTTCTCAATATACTTTGAACAGTGAGAACCGATTTTTATTATCTCCTGCGTCAAGTTCCGAATAGTGGCGAACTAGGGGATGAATCCGGGTTTACTCACTTCCCGGTAACCGATTTCAATAACATTTTGTAATTATACGTGATTCCACGTACTTTTGAGGTCGGTTTTTTTTAGTATTCTGTACTGAGAATATATATTAACATATGGCGTACCGTGTACTTAGCTTATTGATAAACCGCTCCACATCAAATTACAGCATTCCTCAAAACCATGACTACGACTCTCTACGTTAATCATTATGCATGTTATATACTCTTATTTCATTTAGAAAGTAATACAATACGTTAGGATCGTCTGTCGCATGTGTTGGTTCTAGAATACGAGGTGAGTCGTTAGCTTTTATTTGTTTTGACGCCTCGTTTCGTCTCAAAAGCCATTTGATCGTGACTTTGGATGGATTACAGGTTAAGAATGCAGTGTGTAATTGTTATATCACTGTGAATAAGGCGACGTGATTTATCAGCTTGTATCTTCTACTGCATTTTTAACATACCAGAACCATAATGAAACACTTGTGGTAGTAGTTTCTAGGAAAAACATTTCGGGCGGCGGTTCACGCCAATATTGGTTTAAATTTTTTTTAGTGATGTCATTTACATAGCATTCAAATTTGCTGTTCAATAAAATGACAATTTGTACATGTTACCTGTGGGCGAGTCTACCAACTACTAACCTTTACAAACTTTTGTCCCCAACACCTGTGTTGTCACATAAATGTAGAGACACGAATGAAATTCAAAGGTCAGCGAGATACAGTAGGAGCAAGGTCTCTCTCAAATTTGCTAAACAAGGTTCTTAAACAATTATGATTGATGTTGTAACTGAATGTGTAAATTAGATTCAACGGTTGTTATCACATGCTCTAAACTGAAAGGAGTCATAAGGATCCTCCTGTGTGGGTGGAGGATCACAAAAGTCTACGAATTAAGTCCTCAACCCGCCTGCTTATACCCACAACGCATCGTGTAAGTGATAAGCAATATGATATTGCACAGTACTCTAAGATCGGAAACGACAAAAGACTCGGAGAACATAAGAACACAGCGACGTACACGAAGAACTCCCGGGCGACACTGGTATACGTGGAGGCATAGGGGGAAGCGGATGAGGCCACAGGAAGATGAAAGATTTGTCTCAATAAAATACAACGCTTCATGTGTTGTGAATGATATATATCTTGACATATTGTGAAATGACGGATGTTCGAGAATCTTAGTATAATGTATAATACATACATCTACTCTGTATATTAGTTTAGTTTCCAGGTGCAATAGTTTACCGACTGCCATACCGTGTTGCAATAAATAAGTAAATAATCATATAAATGCATAAACCTGTCCAAAGTTACCAACTCATATTGAGCTATCGTTTAGAACAATGGCTATCACCATCTACTTAGGGAAGATCCGTGCCCATCAGTGAGATATCTATGGATAAATACAAAACCAGTAACGTAAGCAGAACTGTGCTGGCCTTGTGGAAATCCATATAAGCTACTTGGAAGTATGATATAGTTCTCATACCAAATCATTGTCTTAGCTTTTAATTTGCTATGACGTAACCTTAGTTCGACATCGGTTTCAATTTAATCAACCGTTCATTTTATTATTTCCAGGTCTTAACAGCAAACATTGGCACTCTACTGGACTTGTACGGAGTGGAAAAAGGGTTGGACCACTTCAGATCCTCACAGGAGCTGACCTTCGACGAGTTTCGGTACTACCTGCAGCATGAAGTGTTCAGTTCTCTGCCTAAAACTTTGAACCTCCCTATTGCTAGGGATTACGAAAAGAAAATTAGTGAGGTTAGTAAGTTGTTGTTATTTATTAGATCGTAACAAACGGTGAGATGGTCCACCTGATTTGGGACATAAGATCTTAAGTCTTCTTCCTATCCCTTTTGCTCATTCTGGAACATGACAGTGGCAGAAATATAAGAATATTTATGTGCCAGATATAAAGAACCACACCAATAGCAAAGTATAATAAAACAAGTAAGCTGCTCTCCTCGTCATAAGAAATGCATTTGCATTTTCGTAACTTCGTCGAGGTATTTGGCATCTATAAATTAATTTTTTTCTCAGAAACAAATGTTAATTACACTGATTTGAATATTGGCAACTATAAATTCCTTTTTTTCTCAGAAATAAATGTCAATTACGCTGATTTTGGATATTGGCACCTATACATTATTTTTTTCTCAGAAACAAATGTCAATTACGCTGATTTTGGATACTGGCACCTATAAATTTATTTTATCTCAAAATAAATGTGAATTATGCTGATTTTGGATATTGGCACCTATACATTTATTTTTTTCTCAGAAACAAATGTCAGTAACGCTGATTTTGGATATTGGCCCTATAAGTATATTTTTTTCTCAGAAACAAATGTCAATTACGCTGATTTTGGATATTGGCACCTATAAATCATTTTTTACTCAGAAACAATGTCAATTACACTGATTTTACTTAAGGCGTGGCATTTCAACGCGAGCCTACATTTTAGGAGGGGACTTTTAATTTAATTGTATTGTATTTGTTTCCTTTTTTGGTGTACAATAAAGAATTTTTGTATTGTATTGTATTGTATTGTATTGTGACTGTGCCCCTCAGATCTTTGAGATTTAAGGTTCTGAGTGGCACTGTAACTGCTATGGACGGGCGTGACTTGTTTGTCCAGTCACTTAGTATAATAAAAAAAATTTAGAAAACTCAATTTCCCAAATTGAACCTATCGGGAATCGAACCCGGGATCTCCACATCTAAAGCCTACAGTGCAAACCGTTGGGCCTACGAGGTTGTCAAATAGTGAAATAGGTAGAATAATGGCACCTATCCAGACGGGTTCTAGTTGCAAACTATTAGCACGAAAGACTATTGGCAAATTTCTGTGTCTCAGAATAACTACTTTTTTTAAAGGGTTATAAGCTCCATCGATACCTAATTCCGCTAACGTCAAGGTTAAGGAAAACACGCTTTTGTTACTCAGAATTTGACCGGTGACCTATGGCGGCCTTCACTTGGAAGAAAACCTACAACAACAGATAACACAAACACTCACAGAAAAAAATTGTAATAAAATTATATACCGAATACACAAAGAGGAAGTGGACTAACTACCAACTAACAAAAGTGGGGTATTTTAGGATATTGTACAGAGGAAGGACGATGCGTTTGCATTAAAAAAAAACAAATAAACAGCAAATAACCACTTAATAACAATTCAGGTTAAACAACAAATATTTGCTCAAGGACGGCTACACACTTGGTATTCAAGCTATCCATTTTTGAACAAACATTTTTTTCCGTTTCTTCAGTCCTAGCTATTAAATGATCTAAATTATGTATATAAACACTTTTTGTACCACAAAACAAACGATATACGTTAACCATAATTTAAAATGCTAGTGTTCAAAGGCGAGCTTATCCTGCAAAGGAATTTCTTTCAACTAACCTTTGAATAACTAAGAAAGTTGGTTCATGCGTTGGCAATAAAAAACAATAAAAAATGAACGCTATGTGCTCCAATAACTTCACAGATAAATTACTTAAATCAAATGTGCATTACGTATATGCACGTATTACATATAAAATAACTTTTAAGCCGCCTACGTGATTTAAAGGTTACCATTCCCGGGCCAGGAGAAATATTTGTATGGCCTACATTTCACAACTGAGTTTGGGTGTAATTTGTAGTTTCCCTAGTGCTATGAATATGTGTGAAAAAAATATATGTATAGTAGAAGCATAGACAAATAAATGTATAAAATAAAATTATTAATAAATATTTCAAACGTAAATAAATATTGTGATAACTAACATGGGGAGTTTGAACAATCCCAAGACTTCAAAAGGGCATTTCTGAAAGCCCGAAACTCAATTTTTTTAAACAACCTTCTGGATTAATATAGTCGCTTTAGAGATAGGACGCTATTCCAGCCGGCGATGTATAAATACGTATATTACAATTTTCATAAACCTCCAAATTGTTTTGTCTTAAGGTGTGCTGGCTGGTCTGTCGCAAGACATTACTGTCAAGAGACAAAGCTGTATTCAACGACGATTCTGTCTTCAAGCTCTTCCGCATATTTTGTCTGCTGGCTGATCTCGTGCAGGACGGAGACGATGGATCATCTCATCACTATGTGGTAAGAAAACTGTACGTCTAATATAAATCTAAAGACGGACATCATCATATCTTCATCGTCAACCCTTTATACGTCCCACTGCTTGGCACGCGTCTCCTCTAACTGGCCCAATGCAGCTTTGGGTTTGCACACGCTTTTGAAGGGTTTTGAACATTCTTCAATGTACAGGTGACATCAGGATATAGTAGTAGTAGACCTCTTTGTGCAAGAGTTCAGTCCAGGGGTAGGTAACGAACTAGAACCCTTATTACGATTCAGTTTAAGACCTAAAATGAATCGTAGTGAGACAGCGCTACATGAAGTGTATATCACCATCCCGCTTTTTGGTCGTTACGAACCTATATTGAACCGTAATAAGAGTTCATGGTAAGGCCCCAGTTCGTTCAGGGAAGTACCTATTTCTGCCACCCAACAGTAATGTGAGCACTACTGCATTTCTGTTTTGAAGGATATAGGTGCTGGTGAAATTAAAGGCACATGGGACTTAACTTATGTGTCAGGGTGATGAACACATTGATAGTACCCCTCAGGACCATGCAATTTATAGCTCTGAGTGGCTCTGCAAGTGTTATGGACAGGCGTGTCGCTTACCACCAGGCACCCGATTTGTTCATCCCGTCTCTTCCAGGCACCCGATTTGTTCATCCCGTCTCTTGATATTAAGAAAAAATCGAAGGGCAGCTAACGACATCGTAGTAAACGATTATTGAACTTTTCGACGTAAAAAATTAACAACATGTAAATTACATTCTAGGCTTAGGCTGCCATATATATACATATAAAACAGCTTACCATTGCCGTGCAATACGATAACTATATATAGATAAATAGCTATATATAGATGTACAACAAATGGTTATGGCACTAAGACGAAACCCTGTAGTAGCCACGAATAACAACCATATAAATTGAGACATTTGTGTTTTTCTACTTAATTTCCTCGCCCCACATTGTGTTAGCAATTCATGTGTGAACCAGATGTATTGGGTATTTGTGTACTTATATCTGAGGTCATTGACTGAACCAAAAACAGAATAACTCGCATCAAACCATTGGTTCAATACTTTTGTAATATTGACATTGTAATGACAATCTACATACCCCATATAGAGTTCATTTCAAGTATGTTACAAACTATGTAAGTAAATATATGTATAATCGAGGCTATCAGCACAAAACTGGTGTACCCTTTCTTTTTAAATAGGTGTTATTGCTTTAAATGATACTAAAGTATTTAATTATTTTATATTTGGGTGCTATTTTCTTGTATAAAAAATAATAATAATAACGCACAGAGAAAAATGTAATAGTAATTGTTCATATTTTGACCGCGTAAAAAAAATGTATGTAAAATGTTACTTCTTGGGACAACTAGAGGGTGTTATACAATTTGCCATATACAATTGTCGATTTAGTACATATCCGTCAGATTCCTCTTTCGTCAAATCATTTCTTTATTCCGTATAGGTCAGAAATTTGTTGCTGGTAACAAAACAGTAATTATCGTGATTCCTTGTCCGTCAGATTCCGCATTCGTCAGGAATAGTTTTTTTTTATGAACACTTCCCGCTTTTCTCATAATGTGTCAATTCTTTTTTTTTTAGAGTCAGAATGGCGGGTGTATCTTAACGAATCCTGATAAAATTGTATAAACATTTAGTATCTTTTTTTTACTATTTAGTACCTATGTTTAAAAAATTTGTAAAAGAAATGATCTGACGCAAGAGGAATCTGACGGATGTGTACTAAATCCATATGATAAAAGCGGAATTTGACGAAAATGTCGTTATTGGTCGTCCACATTCGTTATTCCTGACGAACCTGAACTGAAATCATGAAATAAACTAGTTCTGACGAAACTGGAATGTGACGGATGTGTACTTAAATCACATTGTCAAATACTTTACGCGATCGCCAACGACAATGTCACATTCCCGTATTTATCGCGCATTTTGATAAGAGATAGTTTTAATTTTAGTTTTGTGTGTTTCAGTTAGTTTTTGAAATAAAGCAACTACATGAAATTCTAGATGTAAAGTCCATTGGGAGTATATATAGCTTATATAGCTTCTTTCTTGCAACGTGATGTTTGTGCGCGTTTATCGAGACACTACTACGCGTTTACGACGCCGTAAACGCGTTCGTGAAACAAAAGATCGTGAAAAATAGACGTAAATACTTACATGCATTATTTTTATTTCTAAGGTTGTCCTTCAGCCGTCGGAAGCAGGCATAGTAACAGAACAGCTAGTCCACTGCCTTGGTCTTCGTTGGGACGCTGCCGACTGGGAGGCCCTTGGTTCCTCTATCGGTCATTTTAAATGGGCCGCCTTTCTTGCTGTCTTAGAAGCCAAATACTGTTGCGACCACCAGATACACCCAGAAGCTTTGATTGAAGCAGTCGTCGAGGTCTATGATGTGTTCATTGAAGACATCATCAAAAAGGTGTGATTTCTTTTTAATGTTGAACAACATGGAAAACATTTCATTTAAACTATTTTAAGGATTTCATACTGAAAATTACGTCAAGTTTCGCCATGTCCGTCTGTTCATCTTGCTATCCGATTGTCTCTACGTAACAACTATTTTCAACGTTCGTATACGCATCCACAAATTATCATGATTTTTATATATGTATTACAGAAATTGCAAAAAAGGATAATATATATTTAATCGACTTAAAAAAACGAGGAGGTTCTCAATTCGACTGTTGTTTTTTTTTGTATGTGTGTTACGCAATAACTTTTATTTTGTAAACCGATTTTGATGATTCTTTTTTGTTGGAAAGAGGGTACCTCAGATGTAGTCCCATTTAAATTTGAAAAAAATATTCCACCTCTAAGAGTGGCAGTTTTTTTAGTACTCTGTACTGTTTTTTTTAAACTGAGATCACACAAAAATGGAAAACATAGAAATCTACACCTACCGCAAACCTTCAATTATTGTTGGACAGCTGTATTTGCACGTTATGCCATCGTATATACATACCTTAAATTCGATCTGTTGTTAAGGATGATAATTTCACAAAACTCATACTATAATTTAGTACACGAATGTTACATGCAAACCAATAATTTTGTAGACATATAAAGACATGTAGAGCCCACATTAAGTTACCGTTGTTTTACCCTTTTACAAATAGAAAAATTGGTTTTAAAATTGTTTTAGAACTTTTACTAAATGCATGTTAAAATTTTGAGTTTTAAGACATTCGCTGTCAAATTCATTTTCAGAGTATGTCACTCCTCACTTAACTTATAAACAACATTTTAATAAATCCAATATTGAATGGATATCGAAATGGACTGCAACTTATTCCCGCTACAACTGTTCAACTCTACTATATTCCAGGGCTACCTCTACAAACGCGGCTATGTATTACCAACAATGCGCGAGTACTGGTGCGTCCTGCAACCATGCGCACTCACTTATTACAAGAGTTCGGCTCAGAAGGACCAATGTGGACGCATAGCCATTGACGAGTATTGTTCCGTGGAATCGACGGCAGGGGACGGCAAGATACAGCGTTTTCAGCTGATCACTCCTGAAAGAACTTTTGAGTTTGGCACTCAAGATCATAAGTAAGTCTTATGCCTAATTTCATCATTTTCTAACCGACTTGAAAAAAAGAAGGAGTGTTTTGGACTTTTTTTTGTATGTATTAATGTAGTAATGTTTCTTTTCGATCGATCCCACTTAAATTTGAAGAAAGTCTTCCAACTCTGAGGGTGGCAAACTAGGGGATGAATCCGGTTTCAATAAAACCTGGCAAATAGATGTAATTCGTTCGTCGTGTAAGTCGTTTTTTTAAATAAAAAGTAACAATTATAATTCTGAAATTAGTCCACTAGTTTGTTATAATATAATTATTTACATCTAGCTGGATTTGAGCCAACTTCTTCTGGCACGGTTTGCTGCAAGACGTTGGTTGGAATCCAGCCGGATCGAGGGAGTTTTTTGTAAATGTCCGATCTTTGTATTAATAATTAAAACATTAACAATTTCAAAATAAAATTAAGCACCTTTCAAACATACCTTTTCACAAAAACGCAAACATGCTGACAATATTCCTGATCTGATGTTGGATTTACATCGAAAAACTATTAAACTAGATAGTACCTAAATACAGATAAATGTCACCCATAATTGATCTTGGTCTTCTTATTACATTTTTGCAAGACACGACCATCTAATTATAACAGGAGCTAGACCAAGATCGACCCTGCACGATTTGAACAGTACAAGACTAACTTGGGAATTCCTGTATCTCGCAGTTACGTCAAACTCAGATATGCGAGTGGAGTATTGGTACATTTAGTTTCAAATCAATGTCGATATTATATAGTGTCGGTTTCAAACTGTTTCCTTTAACCACGGCTTCTTCTAACAATAAAGTTGTAAGAAAAAGACTGTGTGTCTGACCAGCACCCCGTCGATTGAATATCGTTCTTGAATCAAAGAGCGCTTTCGGAGCTATTCAGAACATTCCGAGAAACGTTTGATTCGGATTCGGATACAATATCGTTATCCAGCAGCGTTTACGGAGTTAGTTAGTCGGTGAAATAGATTATAAGAAAAATGAAAATCCTTTTATACATTTTTAAGACTTTAAAAGCCTCTTCTTCTTAATTATCAAAATAATGAAATTGAATATAATCTGGACTATATTTAAAATAATAAGAGATTTCCATATTACATTCTTGCTTTGTAACATATGGTAATTTTCATTCGATAACCGTTCTGAATATCGTTTGTAGTCTTTGCCGGTCGAGAAGTTCGAGTAATCATACGGGTGTGATGTCATTACAGTTCGGTATCGAATACGACAGTTTGACGATCGATTCGGGTGTTGTGAATAAAAATGAAAAGAAATCGGTCGAGAACTAAGTTATCCTAACGTTCTGAATCGACCCTCAGGCCACACTAATGTAGATATGTCTGTAGACAAAAAGTACCTAATGTAAAATTAAAACTGCCTGACCAACAAATACAGCATTTATAATTCATCGTAATGACCTTTCACGCATCATCTTTATCTACAGTTCATATTTCTTTCATAAGTAGTTTAATAGAGACGCTAAGAATACAATTACCGTTTAAATCTCTTTTTAAAAATCAAGTTTCTTTAAAGAGTACGCAATTTTTATCTTAGGAGTCGACTGCAATGGATATCAGCGTTACGGCAAGCGGCGGCAGTGTCAGGTGGGTCGGAGGGATACCAGCGCAGAGCACGAGCATGCAGACGCGGGGCGGGGGCGCGTAGAGAGAGGGAGGCAAGGGAGACTAAGGCCAGGTTGCAGCATGAAGTCAGAGCGAGATTGGCAGCAGAGGCACAAGCACAGGTGGGTGGTGCTTAATTTGCACTTTGACTAACCGATTTGATGACTCTTAAAAGAAGGGGAAAACTATTTATATACGACGATTTTTGTAATCAGACAACGTCACACAAGTTTCTCTGATCTCAAATTAAGTAACCACAAATACCCGGACCCGAGACAATATCAAAAAGTTAGTTTTTCTGGTTTGACTCGGCCGGTGATCAAACCCAGAACCTCAGAGATGGCAACACTATGAAAATCAGTGTGCAAGCCATTCGACCACGGAGGCTGGCAAAGTTAAGAGGAAGAATTAAATCAATGTACTTATCCAAAGAAGCATAAGAATATAGTAGATCCTAGTTTCAAATTTCAAGCCTAACTTTAAAAAATAATCAATTATAAATGAAATTACAAAAACAACAATAATGACAAATGTTATATTTGTTTAGGAACTGGCTGAAATATCACAGAAAGATAATAAGAAACTAGAAGAACTTAAACATACGCAAACTGAACTCGAGAGGCTTCTTCAAGAAGAGACTCAAGCTAAGAGAGACGAAGAAATTGTTAGATCTTTACAAGCTAGGTAAGTAAAGTTATAAAATATTTTTGCCTTGATACTTACCTAAGTACATAGGTTGTGGTGGCGCTTATTGCATCTATCAAGCAGAATCAAATAACGCGAAACGACATAGAAGCTTTTGAAAGGAATATTGTAGGTATATGGATAAATAGCTTAATGCCATTTTTTATTTTTATGATACTAAGAAAAATTAGTACAGACAAGGTTCTGCAGAGAAGAATCTTAGTGGCAAATTGAAAAGGGTTGTTTAATAACTGCTGGGGACAATCCCATAAGTGTGTTTTAGTGATGACAATTGCCAGTAGGTAATCGCATAGAATACTTCTAGAACAAATTGTAGTTCTCTTTAGGGTGGTGTATAAGTTGTACAAATATTTTACGCGGCCACTACAATACCGGCACGCTATGATGGCCGTATTCATTGTCGAGAAAAATATAATCAAATGCGAGTCATAAGTTTTTAGACTTAGGTATAACTCGCAAAGGGTAACTGATTAAAAAGTTTTAATAAAACCAAAACGAAAATGTTTACTTAATTTATCGTCAATTCGAAACTGCTTTGTTTTGCATTGAGCTTTGACGCGAGTCTGCCGGAGGTAGAAATTGTGCTGGCCAGCGATCCCATCACTGACGATCGTATTAAGTATGATTTAATAATTTTTTTTATTTCAAACAACAAATGCCGAGTTGTGTCGTAAAATTATACATTCCATAAATTTTACTGCACGTCACTATTGGCAACAATGTACAGCAATTAACGTTGAAGGAGCTAATATCCTTCAACGTTGTTCACTTCACTTTTCATTTTTATGGCTCCATCAATATGAGAACTATGAATTAAATACGAAACGCGGACAAACGTCAAAACTGCCATTATAGCTTTTTTTTATTAATAATCTTGGCTTGGATACAAGTCCTTTGAGCCATGTCTTCGTTTAACTATCAGTTTAGTTATGTCAGCTTTGATTTAAGATACTTAATTTAAATTCAACGTTATAACACTTTTTATAAGAACGATTCAAAGACCGAAGTGTAAAGATGAATTTGTTATTAATTTACATGCCATAGAATGCATGTGATGATTCACCAGCAATCAAATTGAAAGTCACGCCACAAAAAATTACATTTTTATAAATATAACAATATATGTTTCAATGTTACATGCAGAGTGCTAGCAGAAGAATGGGAAAGAAGAGAAGAGTTGGAGAGACTACAAGAAGAACAAAATAAAATGCTTGAAGAAGAAAGGTTAAAGCGAAAAGAGTTTGAAAGATTGCAGGCAGAAAAAGAAGCTCAGTTTAGAGGTAACTTAAAAGATGATAATTGAACTAATTAGTAATTTGTTATGCAATAAACTTGAATAGCAATTCAATGGCAAGGTACTAGCAACACCTTCGATACATAGTTAGCATCGAGTATATAACCATAAATAGAGACAAAATGTCATTTCATTTGTTTGAAAATTATTCTGCCAAATCGTTGCTATGGCAACTGCGCTCCGATTGGCCAGCCCGAATTCGAAACAATTGACAGGTGTCAAAGAGGAGAGTAATTTCGTCAATTGTTACGCTTCAAATCGACAAGTTTAACTTGAGCTTTGCTATAATGGACGAAAATTGCAAAATTTCATATTCAATATTTAATTACCGATGAAAAGTCAGTCCATTATTTTGTAATTAGATGTTTTGCTGTTTTTCCTACACTACTGAATGGAACATCACCCATTGTTGGAGATATTATCTTTATTACAATAAATATAGAATATTATTGGAATATATGGACACGTACGCACACAATGATATAATATTTCTCAATGTACGGATCAGTTGTTGGCGCTGTACTATTTCAGTTTTCTAATTTGTGATTACAATGCAAACGAGAGTTGATATTTAAAAGTGATGTAAGGCCCATTTACCTGATGAGTTGTCAGGGATGGATGGCTCTTATTTCGTCTCTATTTCTGGTTATATACTCGATGATAGTTAGTAACCGGCCGGCTTAGTCATTAAAATTAATTATTATATAATTATTCAGTTAAAAAGACTTATGATTCAAAAGCTTTAGGTAGAAATATGCGATAAAGATTCAAAAAAAATTACAGAAGCGGAAAAACGTCTAAAGGAATTGGAATTAGAAAAACAAAAGTTAGATGCAGAATTGAAAGCTGCACAAGAAAAAATTTCGAAGACTGAAACCAATACACAAGCACTACATGTACAGTTACGGGTAAGTCTAATCAAGTTAATATAGTCTAATAACTTTGCAATTAAACAAGAACCAAAAACAATTAAATATTATATACTTACGTGTATTTTTTTCCATCCTCTAAGGTAGGTACTTAGATAAGAAACATTTGACTAATAAAAAGTCCTTTGACACACTCTTTGAAATGTTAATTTTATTGAATATCACGATATTTAATACCATGATATCGTCGGGGATAGTGCAATTACGCGTAACTAGCATTACAACTAGGATTATGAGTTATTATCGGTAAATTTAGTGGCCAAATAAAATCCGCGTAGATGTCGTGTCAACCAAATTAGCGTAATTTACGGGAATCTATTGTCATGAGTCCATACACAACCTAAATTAATGCTTACTGTACAAAAACGAAAGTCGTTACCATTGAAATAAAGTAATAACGTTAAATCCCTCTCATGTAAAATTTGGTTCACTACACATACGCGCCATTTACCAATACGCACAACATTTACATACGCGTATTTGCACCGTATTGTATTATCCCCGATGATATTCAAGTATTTTTTTATGAAATTACTCCATTAGTTTGTTCTAATTTTATTAATACAAAGATCCAACATTAAGAATCCAGCACCTTCAGCTTCATCAAGCACAGTATACTGAAGACGGCTATTTATTTTCCAAAAGTATTCGATACTTGTATTAATAATTTCTCTCTTTGAAGTTAGTTACTACTTACATGATTTTCCCTATTATTGCCTCCGCAAGAGTTGAAGGCTAAGCTAGTACTGAAAAAGCACTACAGAGAAAAAATCTTAGTGACAAATTGAAAAGGGGTTGTTAAATAACTGCTGGAAACAATCCCACAAAAGTAAGAGAGTTTTTAGTGATGCCATTAATCGCATAGAATACATCTAGGCTAGGATAAATTATAGTTTTTCCCGTGACCGCTAGGGGTGTTGTATAATTTGTACATATCGAGTAAGTATATAACCAGAAATAGAGACGAAATAAGGGCCATCCATCCCTGGCAACTCTTTGGGCAAATGGGCCTTATATCACTTCTAAATAACAACTTTTGTTTGCAGTTTTCTAATTTGTGATTTACAAATTAGAAAACTGAAACAGTACAGCGCCAATCACTGACCTGTGTGTACGTCTCCGTATATTCCAAAAATATTCTGTGCTTCACATTTCATCGGTAATTAAATATGTAATTTTACAATTTTCGTCCATTATAGCAAAGCTCAAGTTAACTGGTCGATTTGAAGTGAAACAGTTGACGACACCGGTCAATTGTTTCGAATTTCGGGCTGGCCAATCGGAGCGCAGTTGTCACAGTAATGATATGGCAGAATAGTATTCAAACAAATTAAATGACATTTCGTCTCTATTTCTGGTTATATACTCGATGTTTGTACAAATATTTTGCGTGGTCGGTAGCTAGTTTTAGTGTTAAACTCTTGAAGACGCGATTAATAACTTTGAATTATTTATAGAACCTTATTCATTAGAGCATATTTTGGGCGTGTTTTTTTTTATGATACTAAGTGACAGGACGAACAAATCGTGCGCCTGGTGGTAAACGACACACCTGTCCATAACAGTTGCAATGCCGCCCAAAGATTTAAATCGCAAAGATCTAAGGGGTACTGCCACTGCGCCCGTCATACTGAGACATAAGTTGACAAATCCAACGTGCTTGTAATTTCACCAGCACCTTTACTTGTTGTGTTGTGTTTCTTGTTGCGTTTCTTTGTACAGTAAATTCTATAAAACTATTATTTCAAATTTCAGGACCTAACACCACTACTCAAGAACGGCGAACGTGCTCGACGTGCAATCTCATTCGTTCCGACCACGAAGAGCTCGTCAGACACCCTCATTGACGTCAGAGCCATACGACATTTGAAAGTCATCGACGATGAAGACAAATTATGATATAACATAATGGAACAAACAATAAACAAAGTGATTTCGAAGTAAATTAATGAAAAAATTAGTGAAGTTAAAAAATAACAAACATGGTATATTTTAGAAATATGACATCATTTCTACGTTTTTTTTTTCGGCACAAGCTAAACACAATGCATAAAATTTAGCCAGCAGCTACTTAAAAACATTATATTTTAAACAATGAGTCTATAACTATTATAAAATAATTGTTTTAATATAAAATAAAAATATTGTACAAAAAGGCTTTCTTTGTCAATTCTAAGCCTTTCCTTGTTTGAAAATTCCTTTATGATTTTAGCAGAAATACTTATTGGTCTAATTTTTCCGCTTTGTTGGCTTCCTTTTCCGCTTTCTTGGCTTCCTTTTCCGCTTTCTTGGCTTCTTTTTCCGCTTTCTTGGCTTCTCTGGCCGCTTTCTTGGCTGCTTTCTCGGCTTTCCTTCTCATGGCTTCTAACCTCCTTTCTTCCTTCTCTTTTAGTTTGTTTAATTTCACCAGTTGTTTCTTCAACTACAAACAGAATAAATACATGGAATTGGGAAAGGAGCATAGGATAGGTATAATAAAACAAAATGTTTATTTCAATTCGGGAGTTTATTAAGCCTTTTTCTTTCCCTTTTTACCTTTGCCTTTTTGCTGCGTGAAAATAAAAGGAACAATATTAGTTATAGATATATAAAAACTAGTAATTAATTGTCAAACTGATTGTTTTTGTGTGTATGCTCATTAAAACCGACAAAATAAGGCCCACCTCAAAGTAACTTCAAGCACTTTTATGTACATAGAGAAACATTTAAACTTACCGAGAAAAAATATCTAAAATATATATTACCTGCCGTAAGTCGTACAAGAATCTAATTTCCGGTGCAACCAAATACTCTGCCTCTTACCAAACTTTTTTTCAATGGAGCTAGAGCCCGACATTAGGACTGTGATTATTAAGACTTAGATGAACCTCCTATAAAGTGATACGTCCTATCTCTGCCCTTCAACCTAGAGTAAACCTAGTACAAACATCTCTCCTTCATCTCAGAATCTCTTCTCTTCAGAATCTTACCTTTTTCTTCTCTAAGCGGTTGGCAATGACATTTCTCCACGCAGTTTGTAATACTCTGGCCGCGTGTTCTAATTGGAATGCCTCCATTTTTCGCATCATCTCTTCATGATATTCCTTCTCGCGTTCCTCCATTAATGGAATGTATGTTCTGTTTTGTTCCTCTAACTTCTCCTGTCGAGTGATAGCAATTTTGTTATAAAACGGAATTGGCGTTGGCGAAAATTTGAATAAATGAATGCCTCGTGATGGTAAGAGGGTTGGTGTTATTATGGGCGAACAACCTAGTGACAAGTAATCTTAAGAAACTAGATGCAAAATGCTCAAGACCACACATGAAGTCATTGGATAAGATCTCACAAGTCAAATCATCGTTATTTCATAGGTAAGAGAATTACATTTGAAATCGTCATATTGATTAAACTCTACTGCTCATTCGTAAGGCAGATTCCCCTGAGAAGAAAGATCAAGAAACTCAAGGGGTTACTCTTGTAAATGTACATTTGAATACATTTATCATTTACAATATTTATTTCAAACATCTTAGATCGAGAAAACCTGCAAGAGCTAAACGGGTCGCTACCACGGAATTTTGTCCTCCAAGTACGCAGAAGCTGTTTAAATAACCTTTAGATTAAAGTTTTTATTTCACTATAGGTAATAGTTTTAAACCTCATAAATGGTAAATTTTGAATATCACCCGGAATTATATGAATTTATGACTTTGTGACGACTTTCAGGAACGGCTAGTCTACGCATAGTCGACGATATTATGATATTGTTGAGTATATGTGTATAAGAGCCAAATACAATAGGATTGAGCGGTTGGGGCCTCCCTGCAATATGAGTATTAATTCATTTGTGGTGAGAATATCAACGTGTTACCAATTGAAAATCTGTCGACCTTCGTTCGACGTAATTTAATAAGTGTTTTCTTATATTATTTATTATGTTATTAGTCTATAAGGCTTGTATTTATAAGTCCGCATAACTTGATTATAAATAAATCCTGAAAAATTAGTTGATGACGCAGATAAAAGAACGTTTAAAGAAAGTATACATGGCATTATAATACTATTATGTAGGTAGTGTTGTAAAAGACTCGAGTCCAGGAGTCTACATTTGTTAACTCAACTCAATTTTGCTCAACTCAAATTTGACTCGACTCGAACTCACGAGTTCGAGTCGAGTCGAGCGCGAGTAATCGGAGCACGAACTCGAGCCTTAAAAGAACTCGAGTCGTAAAGCTAACTCGAGTTTGAACAAAACTCGAATTCGAAAACTCGACTCAAAGCGACTTACACACTACAAAGTCGCGAGGACGACAAGAAGGGTTCAATTTTACGTAACAACTATTAATGCCCACGAATTAAATAAAAACAAAAACTAAATATGGTGATTTATAAAAGAAAGAAGATATACTTAATTATATTGCAGTAATTATACTAGTTTAACACACCACAAAACCTTTCAGTAGGTACTTACCAGCCTCGAGCTCGACTCGTTACATGAACTGAGTCGAACTCGAGTGCGACTCGTTACATGAACTGAGTCGTACTCGAGCACGACTAGTTACATAAATAGACTTGAGCACTAGAACTCGAGTCTATTTGGAAACTCGATAGGTTCGTAATACATCGAGCAATGAGTCTCTGTCTTTATGAGTCGCGTCTTATGAATTGGAGTCGAGTCCTAAAATGTAGACTCCCGGACTCGAGCTTTTTACAACACTATATATAGGTTCATGAAGATACCTTTTTCTTGCGAAGATCATAGACGAAATGTCAGCCATTTTTAGGTCATATGTTTTTAAGTACGTCTGAATCTGTGACTTTAAACTAAACCCCTTTCTTATTCTTTATTAAAGCCTATTGTTTTAATCTTTTCCTTTTAAGCAAAGTCTATAGCTAATAATAACACATAAACATTTAGTCCGTTATTAAGTTTAAAATTACGAGAATTTATAAGAGGGCTATGTTAAAAAAAATATATTTGTTTTTCCTGGCCGGTATATAAACCAGTCATTTTATTATATTACTAAATGCATAACTGTTGGGAAAACATATATACAAAAATATAATGTTTTCCGTAGTCCGCCATTTTTTTTGTTGGCAATCGTCCGTGTGTCAAATTATATGGTGGTAACTAAAGAGATATTAAATAGAGCGATAAATTATTACACAACCCAACAATACAAAGTAATACTACCTACTTGGCCGCAACAAGAGCATCACATTGCTCAAGTGATTAGGTATTACTTACTCATCCAGTATTTACAAAATTTGAAAGGTTGTCTTGGGTTTAAACGTATAAATATCACATCGTGATATTACCTCTAGGTCTTCAGTTTTCTTTTTCTCATCTTCGTACTTTTCAGTTAATTCGTCGAGTTCGCTTTGCTTATCGGACATCTCAGTGTCATACTTCTGCAGCCACGACAACAGCTGCGTTTCTACCTTAAATCTGACGTATACATTTTTGTTGTAATAAATTATGTTTTTTAAGTCCAAAAATAAAATCTAAGAAATCCAAAACTTACCTTCTAGCTCTCTGATTTTTCTCATCAAGGAGATGGGATTTGAGTAAATTTTGATAACCTTCCCGCGTTTCTACTTCCTCCTCTTTCAGCAACTCGTTTTTAACATCATGAGCTCGAGTCACCAGTACCATTTGACGTTCGGAGTCCAGACTTTCAAAAAAGAATACATTCATGAATTATTACAATAATACACTAATATAAACATGTTAATACGTAACCTGGCCCTGTACTTTGAACTTTTATTGTCTCTCAATTTATTTAAAAGATTTCACCAAGGCTTATGAAATTAGAGTGCTACCCATTCAACCAGTAAATATATGATGATCAGCAATTTGTTGTCGTTTTGAACAAAGTGAACACCGGATGCTTCTAGATGTATTGCACTATAGTCTGTATGTAAGTATTATTATCATATTTTGACTGCAACAAACCTATCTGTACAAAAATAGTGAAATTTCTTCTACAGGCCTACCGCTTAATTTTGTAAAAACTTATTGGACACGAATTTCATGGCGAACACGCCGCGCGGCCGCCGCGCAGCAACCGCGTGCATGCAACTGTCATGGCAAAGTATGCTCTATTTATTCAGCTATTTTAACATTTTAACTTAAATGAGCATCTCAGGGGCACGGGCGAGCCTGCTTTGTCGAGCTTTATGTGAGTCGAGCGGCGGCTGCGCGAAAACTTTCGCGTCGTGGAACTACGCTAACTGAGTCGGTTACTGAGGTAACTGAAAAAAGTGCCAAATGGCTTGTCTATTCATTTCAATTATCAATGAAATTTTAACACCAATTATAACAATAATTGACTAATTCGGGAGGTACTTTTTTAAATCAATTTGCTATTGAATATCTCCAGAAAAATCTTATTGAAATTATCCCGTGTGGAGCGCGACATAACAGTCGCTCCTCCCGTGCCGCGCAGCTACCTCAGGAACCGACTCAGTTATCCGGTAGGCCTGTAATTATTATTGTTGGTATGACAATCAGGGCAAACGTCAAACTTTTCAAAACATATTGCCAACCGGCAACCTATGGAGCAATTACACTAAAAAAGCCTACAGGGCCATGCGTGTGCAATTCAACGACGCCTTCAGGTGACTCGCTCTTGAGTGTGTAAAGGTAGACACGATGGCTTCGGTAAAAAAATCATTAATAGTTAGCCCATATATGTTATAATCCCACTGCTCGGCACAGACCGCCTCTCAGAATAAGAGGGCTTGGGCTCTATAGTTCCCACGCTGGCCAGATGCGGATTGAGAACTTCACACACATCATTATATTGTCTTGCAGATATTAATAGATTTCCTCACGATATTTTCCTTCAGTTGCACGAAGCGAAAGTCTTCGCGCGGCAACCACGTTTTCACGTACATTAATGGCAATTCCTCGGAATAATACAACCGCGCGGTCGCCGCGTAGACCAAAGAGAAGCCAGCCTCGCCCGCGCGCATTAAACGCGCATTTAAGTTAAAACGTAAAAACTAAATGAATAGAATGTATTTTGCCATGACAGACTTCAAAAATGTTTAAACATACAGAATATTTTTACTTGACGTCCGAAATTGTGACATTTTTCACCTCCTATACTCGTATATGATAAAAGTTAATTTGAATGTTACATTAAATTACAAACATTTTAAAATTTTATTTTCTTTTAAATTTGTGCTCATCTTTCGTCTAATACCGTTGTTGCGATATTTTTTCGATACAATAAGTGTTATCATAAACATGTTAGCGAGGATCTGAATTGTAAGTAAATAAGCATCCAACTATCCGACCATTCATTATTATAGATACTTAAAATATTAGTTAAGTTTTATTGAACGTGTGTCAACAGGATGTTTCATAATATTCAATTATTTTTTGTGAAATTACTCCACTAGTTCGTTATAATTATTAAACAAAGATCGATCATTTCCAAAAAATTCATTTCGATCCCGTTGGATTCGAACCAAAACGTCTCCTAGCAAATCGTGGCAGACGAACGAACTAACAGACGTCACAAATTTTTCCATGTGTTTATTGCAGATCTCTGGTTTTGGTTTTAACGACTTTTTGCCGTAGCGCCATCTGTGAGAAATCTATGAAAGTTTTTCTTCGCTCAGCGAGGTACCTTTACAGCTACCAGCAGCCGACTTAAACTATTTTTAAGGTCATTACACTTACACTTTCTTCTGAAGTTGGAAGGAAGCGGCATGGTGTAAAAGAGCAAGTTCCTGCTCCAGTTTACTGATGGTCTCTGTTTTGATTGCCATCGTTTTCTCGAATTCTTCATTTTCATTCTTAATAATCTGCGTGTATTCTATTGAGATAAAACAAAATATTATATACTTCTTAACATCTACTAATAAAAAAAAACAAAAAGCATTTATTTACTACATAAAATAATTGCAGTATCCGGTGTCAGTAAAAATTACTTTGTTAGATACCCCGCTCTTCCAAGTCACATTCTTTTTTTTATATCCGTAAATAAGGAAATTAAAATTAATTAACCAGAAAAACTTAAAGAATATGATCTTCATGTGCAAATTTAAAATAAAATTATAGTGTGTGTGCGTGGGTATGTGTGTGTGGCTGTGTGTATGACTAATACTTATCAAACAATGATAAAAGGCTAAAGGTCAATTACACAGTCCAGTCTAGTCCTTTTACCAAAGTCTACCACGTTATCACGGTCTTCGGAGAGTGTCAAAGAATAATAATAATATGGGCTAGACATCGACACCAATTGCTTGTTAACTAGGGAATTCCCTTTACTACGAGTAAAAGAGCAACGAATTCACTCTGTGGTACTTCACAGAACACCCAGCCCAGAACCAAGTGCCCCCTGGCCGAAAGGTTACCATACTGGTCTGCCACGCAGAGGTCCTGCGTTCGATTCCCGGGAAACATTTGTATGGCCTACATTTATTTCTCTCGTGATTGAATTTGTGGTTATCTACGTGAGTGACCATGACACCAGCGACACAGGTCCCTAGTGCGGGGCTATGATAAAAAACAATTTAGAAAAATTTATTTCCCAAATTGGTCCTCCGGAATCGAACCAAGGACCTCCGCATCACTGGATGCATTTGTTATGCAAAATGGTCATCGAAAATTTCATGGTCATGAAGAGGTTGTGAACGTGCCAGCAAAGCCGTGGAGGCCATTTACCCGACATGCTTTACCACACATAACCCTATACCATGTATTCATGGATAAAAGAAATACAATTTTAATTATAAACATGTATTTTCTAGCAAAATTACTTCTTGCGTGAATTTTCGAACACTCTTTATGTTTAAGTTGTTGACGTTGATAGTTATGTGATACATTTAATTATTTTATTTTAAATTCTGTGTTTAACTTGTTGACATTTTGAATTATATAGTATTAATTAATTGATTGAGCTTTATTAACTAAAAATTGTAGTTATAAAACATTGTACACCCGATATGGGTATGATCTGTTGTACTCAAACTACATCTGCTTTACCAGTTCAAACAATAAATTATTCTGATTCTAAATTTTCTTGCGCCCACGTTTAGTACACTACGAGATTGCCAAACAGTCAAATTTTGAGTTTTGTATCTACCTTGAATTTTTTCCAACAGTTTGTTATTGGATAATTCTAGTTTCCTTGTGTCAAGTTTGATGGTCAACTCCTCAGCAGCCGTCATATTCATTTGTATCACCATAAGCTCTCGAAACTTCTCAAATGCCATGAGATACTCCAATGACGGATTACTTTCTTTTTCCTGAGAAATTATTTGATGTTACAGACGTTTTTAACTATATTCTTGAATGCCTTTAACTAAATACCCAACAACTAATAATTGGTCAAAAAGAATTATTAGTAGAAACTCAGAGAAAAGTAAACTCAAGTATTATTTACCTGTCCCATTGCATTATATTCATTTTTCATCTGTGGAAAAAAGCAGTACAAAGTTTTATATGAATTTGAAATTTGCAAACATCAAAGTAAAACATTTTTCATATCATAATTTATCATCATCACTCGTTAGATTACTTGGAGTATATGCACACGGCTTATTTTATACGCGCCGACGACACGCGTTTCACGAAAGCGCGTTTTCGGCGCCGTAGAGGCTCAAAAAGCAGATTGTGGCATTTGCATCGATTCAAACGCGCAACATCGCTTTGCATTGCAAGCAAGAAACTAACATACTCCACTGGAGTTTACACTTAGAATTTCATGTTCAAGACAACTTTTGTTGTGACTTCTTTCGCCTTTTCACACTTCGTGTCTAGTTCAGTGCATGCAAAATAAACACCCAAAAACGAATAGTAATAATTTAATGCAGTTACAAAGTGATTTCTCTCTTAAATCTTGTTTTTTATATATATTATGTAGGCAGCAAACAAGCATACGGCCCGCATGATGGGTAACGGTCACCGGCGCTTACGAACCTGCAACACCAGGGGTGTTACGAGTGCGTTGCCAACCCTTTAGGCCCCTTTCAAACCCAACCTTTTGCAAACCCCTTATGAAGGACTACATGCTGTATTCCTGTATGAAAACCCAGACATTCATTCCACAACGTAATTGTACGTAAGAGGAAGCTCCTCTGAGGTCGACTCGGTTCCAGAGTGTGAGGATGAACTCCCTGCCAGTGGCGAGCGGTGCGATGTTATGTCAAACAGTTCTTCAGAACACTGGCCTTTGTACAGGCGATAGAACAGGCATTAGGAGGCAAAATCTCTCCTCGAAGACATTGATTCAATATCATCATCTGCAAGCACAGGATCGTCAACAATTCTCATAACACGTCTTTCAACCACGTCAAAGGGTCCAAGTTGGCATCCGGAAGCTCCGGCTCAAATATGGCAGCAGTATTCCATGTGGGGACGGACTTATGACTTATAAAGTAGCAGTCTCTGCTCCGACGTGAAATACCGCTTAAACCTAATGAGCACACTGAATTTTTGAACGCCAGCTTGACTTCCCCATCTAAGTGACTGCGGAACTGAACGTGACAAGACACGTCGACACCAAAAATCCCGATGCTCCCCAAGATATTTAACGACTTGTGGAAATGGAGTCTTTTTAGCGGTGAACGCACTAACATGTGTCTTGGTGGGGTAAATTAAAGTAAGTTTAGTAGTCCCCAATCAGAAACCCTCTCCAGGGTTTTTTCTGTTAGTGACACAACCTTATAGGATATGTCTAAAGACGCAGTGTGTGTAAAGACGCAGTATCTCTTATCAAAATGCGCGATACATACGCGCGACTACAGCACGTCTGCGGCGCGTAGGTATACGCGCAGATGACGCGCGTTTACAGCGCCACTGAATTTGTGAAGGTGTGGAAAGGTTTACTCGCTGCGACTACATCGCGTTTGAATTGCGTTAACGCGCGTCATCTTTGCGTCGTCGGCGCGTATAAAATACGCCGTGTGCATAGGCTAGGTCTACTAGGTGGACGAATGACCCGGTTAGGGCGGCGGGTAAACGATGGATGCACGCCGCGTTCGATCGGCTAGTCTGGAAATCTAAAAGTGCTAAACATAATACGAACTACAAGAAACAAATTGGATAAAAAGGAAATTTTATGACTCTCCTTTAAAAGCGTAAAAAGATTATCTACTAATTTCGTTTGTAGAATCATAATATAATAGGATAAGTATAGTATGGCAACGTCACACGAACGTAGCAGCGCGCTTTGTGTGTGTGCACGACAGCCGCGCGCCCTGCTCATTTTTAAATTTATTTATTTTGATTTACCAACTATTAGCTATTACGTTGTGACTTATTTACTAGGTACATTTACTTATTCATGGTTTTAAGTTAAAGCAAAGCTAATAATAGGTAAACACCTCATGCAAAAAATGGCAAAAGAAGTCTTCTTAACTTAACTAGGTATATAATATTATAATAAACAAATAACTTATAACTACCTACGTCTATACAATACAACAAAACGCTAATTTATATTAATAATTTTCAAAAACAAAGGCAATTAAACTGCATATACGTCCAAATATTAACTATTTATGCCATTTATGTTACAAATTCCAAAGTAATTTGGACCTTCGTAGAGGTGGTAGATAAGGCACTCTAAGTCTTATTTGGTTTAGTATAATCGGAGAATCAATTTGGTTTTGTAGTAACATGATAATAATGAAAGGCGCGTGTGACGACCAACGCTGTGCAACCCGAATGCATCGCGAAATTATTATGCGAATGTGTATGTGTCCGTACATGACACGTAGCGGGCGCGCACACATGAAAGCCGCGCCGCTACATTTGCATGGAGCCGAAAAATTGTCATTTAACTGCCTCTGTGGCCGAATGGTTACCATGCCGGACTGCCACGCGGAGGTCCCAGGTTCGATTCCCGGGTCGGGAGAAATATTTGTATGGCCTACATTTATTTCTCTCGTGAGTTTTGGTGTAATTTGTGGTTGTCTATGTATGTGTCCATGGCACCCGCGACACAGGGTTTCCCTAGTGCGGGGCTATGTTGAGTGTGTGCGTTATATATTATATTATATTATATTTTGCAGATGTGGCTTTATTACTGCAAGGGTGCGAATTATCACAAAGAACTGAAATCTGAAAAATTAAATGAATGTAATTACTTTGATACGCTCGGTTCTGAGTCATTTTAAAACTACAGCTATAGTTCCAGATAAAAAATGTCGTACCTCGGCGATCATCTTTTCAATTATAGGCTTGAGAGCAGGATAACTGTTCAAGATGTACATGAGGTGACCCAGCTCTGGATTAAGGCGATTTTTAAGAGAAACGTCACCCTATAACAATATTTAGTGAAAATACAGGAACATGGAACTTATCAACTTATATCTCAGGGTAACAGGCGTATTGGCAGTGCCCCTAAGACCTTTGCGATTTAAAGCTCTGAGTGGCACTCATTGTGCATTGTGTTATGGATTGGTGAGTCATTTCCCACCTGTGGCACGATTTATTCGTCCCTTCAACTGGTATTATAAAAAAGTAGGTAAATTTAATAATAATAAAAGATTTGTGTATTTCATTTCAAACTTACAGACAAGTTTGACTTTGACAGTGTTAAACTTTGCATTGAGGGCTAGACAGACGTGTCTGAACTAGATAATTAATTGCTTTCATTCCTTTTTGCGGTAATATAAATTGAGAATAAAAATAACAGCTAATAACCCTTCCAAAGCGCGGCGAACCGTTTGACGTCTATATGTACTTCTTTATCTTTATCTACCTACGCACAGCAGCGCATAGTATATACTGTAGATACTAAATTTCATTTTATATATATATTACGTGTAAAGTTGAAAAATTTTCAAAACTCTTATTTATCTCAAAATCTTTATTTCTTTTCCTGGCCTTAATATCCTGATATTGTTTAATAAGGCCCAAAATGGTAGACTTTTAAATGTTTTATTTTACAATTTTCCACAATACTTTTTAAATTTATGTATTTGTGAAAATACCTAAATAAACGAGGCTTTCATATTCAACGAGTTTTCTAAATAGCCTTTATGGCCTGTTTTAATTTTTTAATAAAGGTGGGCCTTAAATACCTCACGTATACTATTTGTCAGAATTTTGTCCTTGAATATTTGAAAAGCAAAAAGTTTTATAATTGGAGTGGACCAAGCGTAATGAGAATGAAACAAAGTGACTTTGAAGAGTTTTGTGAACCTTCTCCATCCGTACAAGTACATATAGACCAAAATGGCTGTTTTCTATGATACTAAGTGACGGGACGAACATGTCGTGCGCCTGGTGGTAAGTGACACACCAGTCCGTAGCAGTTGCAGTGTTCAGAGTTTTAAATCGCAACAATCTGATGGGCACTGCCAATGCGCCCTGAGACGTAAGTTGACCGTATCGTGTGCCTGTAATTATGTTGAGGCATTTGGCGAAGGGGTGTGGAGTATTGCCACAGTAGCGGCAGCCATACCACAGAAGGTGGCCATTTTAAGGGCGTCCGCATTTACTCTATTATAACAAATTACGCAAAAGAAAAAACAATAATATCAGCGAGAATTATATACTACAAAAATACAAAACTTACGCTTTTTAAATCTTCCATAGCAGCCATATTCAAGAGACTTGCAGAAAACAAAGGATTGTCATACTGCTCAAAGATGAAAATCAAGTCGTCCATATGGTACGGTGTAAGGATAGAAGTCAGGAGCTGGTAATCCTGGACCAGTTTTGGAAGACAGATGGACAATTTGGTCTTATAGATAGCTTCGTCAATGATTTTCGTAATTCTTTCCGCTTGAATGTGGCATTCCAGGTCGATGGGGGATCCGACTGAAATAAGTAATTATTATGGACATGATTACTACGATAAAGTACTATAACATTTATTAAATGCATAGTACCTACTTATGTACTAAGTATACCTATATTTATAACCGACTTCAAAAACGGAGGAGGTTGTCCATTCGACTGTATTTTTTTTTTTTGTATTGTATTTTATTTTTATTTGTATTGTATTTTATTTCTGTGTCTGTTACACGATTACTCCGACATTTGTGTTAACCGGTTTTGATGATTCTTTTTTTGTTGGAAATGGGTACCTCAATAGTAGCGCCATTTAAATTTGAAGAAAATACCCAACACAGATATCGTTGAAAATATCCCACCTCTAAGTGTGACCCACAAATAAGGGGATGAATCCGATTTACTGGAATTCACCCGCTTCCCGTTCATCATCATTATCATCATTTCAGCCCGGTAACAACTTCTGCTGGGCGCATGGCTGCTCTTTTGCACGCCAGCTCGATCAGTCCTGTGCGAGTCTCATCCATTGTCTTCGGGCTCTTACAGATTAACACGATACGACGTCGCGTCGTGCTACGACGCGGCATCACTTCACGATGCAACGTCGTATCGAGCAACGTAAATCGTAGAAATTCAGTGTGCGTTCCCCAATGCCGCATTCATTTGTTATTCATATTCAAAGATGATTTTGTATTATTCTAATGTTTTGTCCCATAGTACAAGACGCTCCTCGACTAGGATTATTAAATAATCAACTCCAATGTCGTCTGTCATCTATGAATATTGAATAATTTGTTCTTCAATATTCACTGGGGAGCGCACTGTGAGTTTCTACGCTACGACCTCGTACCGTGCGTCGTGACACGTTGCGATGTCGTGTCGTGAATTTTTACGTTTCTCGTCGTAGATTTCTACAATACCACGTCGCATCATGAAACGATGCCGCGTCGTAGCACGATGCCGCGTCGTAGCACGATGCCGCGTCGTAGCACGACGCGACGTCTCGTATCGTGTTTATGTGTAAGAGCCCTTCCTGCCACCCTGACGATATCGTCCGACCATCTAGAAGGTGGTCTGCCTCGAGGACGTCTCGCTCCTACCGGGTACCACTCAATGTCACCTTGATTCATCGGTCATCGTCCCGCCTAGAAAAGTGTATGCCCATCTCCATTTTAGGCTTGCGATCCACATACCAACGTCTACGACTTTTCCGTTAAACCATTAACTTGGCAAATAGATGTAACAAACACAGCGAAAGCGGGTAAGCAAACTTTTGAAGTCGATCTTTTTTACATAAAAAAGTTGTATGTATCTATAGATAGACAGATTAATTATTTATTTATCACAAAACACATACATGCGATACACATAAACAAAAATAAAAAGTAATCGAAAAAACAATAGTACAAAAAAAGTAACACGATAAGAAATACCATAAAAGCATTAAAATAAGATATCATTATTTTTAAATTTTAAAAGGCAAAAGATCAAGTAACAATAAGGACAAACACAGAAATATCTAAGGCATTACAATAAAAGCTCGCAACGCGTTGCATGTGTGCGCTGTGGTGATAAAACGGCCGTAACTCAGCGTAATTGCTGCTCAATTCGAGCAACATATACTGATATTCTGCTACGCCCGACAAGCAGAAAACAGCGAAACCGCTGCGCGGCAGTGAGTGCATAATAGGGTATATCAAAAGAATTAAATGTTTACAGAATCATATTAAAGTGTTAGATTAATAGAAATTACAAAAATAAATTATTGTTGAATGGTAGCAATACCATAGACTCAAAGTGCTTCGGAATACCAAGTTTTTGTTTGCGTAAAATAGCCGCTTTAATGTGTTTCCTAAAGGAAAACTTAGTATGCACAGATCTTATTGGCGGAGGAATATTATTACAGCACTTTGTAGCCTGATGGCGGAAGCTACCCTCAAAAGCTACCATGCGGTATACATATATAACCTGCCAGAATAGACCTACTAGTTCGAGTATGTGCAGTTTGTTTAAATATCGGAGTGCTAATAAAATTAAAATTTAGCAAAATTAATTGGAAGCAAACTTACCATTGTCCTTGGTAAAATCAATTTCTTTAGAATCCAATTTATCTTCCCCAGATTTGCTACTTCCGGACTTGGAGCTCTCTTGCTCTGAAGCTGTGGACTGTAGCGTGCCGGAAGATACAGCGTCCATGATTGCCGATAATCAATTCACTATTTATTAATCTTAAAAAATAAATACGCTTCGAAAATAAAAACAAATGCGTCTATTTGCTTTCGTGGCCTCGTAAAGTTAATTTTGACCTCATTAGCCTTACGGCAAGCAATACAGTAAAATCTAAGTTGATTTTATTACACACTAGTAACGCATAGACAATAAAATTGTATACCTAACTAACGCACTCTGAGCAAAATGATTAAGAGCGGTTACACACGGTGATTTTTAACGGCGATGCAAACCATTTGCTAGCTTTTCTAAATAATTGCTACCTTTGATATATTGAGAAATTAAAAAAGTTCTTGACCAGCCATTCTGATATCAGGATGGCTGGTCGCCACTTTGTTCAGCATGAAGGGAGCAAATTTTCCTGAAGTATGTATTACCAATAATTGCTATTTGCTGCTTTCACGAATTAAAGGTACACGCTTAATTGTGATACATTTGGTTGGTGATTATTGGTAATACATACTTCTGGAAAATCTCCTCCCTTCATGCTGAACAAAGCGGCGACAAGCCATTCTGATATTAGAATGGCTGGTTATTTATTTTTGAAATTTCTCAGAATATGTCAGAGGTAGCAATTATTTAGAAAAGGTAGCAAATGGTTAGCATCGCTGTTAAAAGTCACCGTGTGTAACCGCTCTTAATCATTTTGCTCAGAGTGCGTTAGTTAGGTATACTATACATATACTATACCCTGACTGTCACACGCGATGCAGTCGCTAATCGTCTGTCTACCTTTATATGATGCAATCGCGATGCAAACACAATACAAACGCGATACTAACGCGATGCACGTTTTTAATTAACTGATTTATTTATTTTACGTATTTATTTATTTCACGTTTAAATTTACAATTAAGAAAAGAAAACAATGTGCATAAACCTATACACATTTTTCATACATAACGATTCAATATAAGCGACTGCATCGTTGCAGTCGCGCGTTTGCATCGATTCAATCGTCTATAAATCGCAAGTGTAGCGTTGCAATTACGCGTTTCACAAACGCGCGTTTGCATGGTTGCTAAAAGTCACCGTGTGTAACCGCTCTAATGGGTAATGGTTGCCATAACAACCAATAAACAAGGTGCTCAAGATTATTGCCATGGAAACCAATGGCGATGTGTAAACTTTTTATAACGAAGAATAGATAGTACGAAAGAGATCGTATTCAAAAGTTCATTGTCGGTATAGTTTTTGTTTGATTATTTCCGAAAAATTAATAACTTGCATAAAGTGCCCTGATAAAAAGTACGTATTTATTCAAAACAAAATGTCGCCACTGGTAACTAATTAGTCTTCTTTCCAGAACTTTGTTGCTGTGCAATAAAACTTTTAGTTTGTTCAATACCCATGCTACGGAATATTCCGCTCTTTATAATTAACCATTTTAGTTTTATGTACCTAACAGTGACATTAGGTCCTTTACCCTACCTACCTGCTCTACTGAAAATTCTATTGTAGCGTTAAACAGAAATTTCGAACATTTAAAAAAAACAGGTATACATGCAGTAATTGCCTTGAATAAAATTGAATAAAGGAGAAGTCATTTCTATGATCACACTCCATTTTGTTTAATTTTTCTTACATTTGATTTTTTTTAGATCTTTGTCACACTAAGAAAAAAGTGATTAAACTTCACCCAAAATGCCGAAGAAGCCTAAAGTAAACAAGTTGGCTCGTATGTCAGACGAAGAACGAGCGAGGTACCTGCAACATCGAGCTGATGTCGAAGAAGAGGCTAGAAGAAGGAAACGAGAGCTTATCGCTAGATTTATAAAGGTATAGACTTATTTCTCCCAAATATACAACAAGGTGATTGACTTGATATCGCAATTAGAAGGTAATAGTACAAGTTAAAAAAAAAAGTTTACTTTTCCGTGCATATTACACTGCTGTTTATAAAAACAGCAGGGACGGCAATCAAACATAAGTTTGATCTTTTTGAAATTCACGCAAGGCGTAATATATATGTAATATAATATGTAAATTGCGAAAATTTTGTTTTAATTTTTTAGATATGTGATTTCCAATCGATGTTGGTATCAATGTTTATACCTAACAGCAAAAGTGGGGCACGCATTCTAATTTTATTTGTTTATATTTTAAGTATATATATTTAAATGAGTTTTTTGTCTCGGTCTAAATTGCATGATCTTGGTTTTATTAAAATTTAATTCTAAATTATGGTCTTTTAGCCACGCTACAATCGTATTTATAATGTTTAGGATTTTTTCGTTTAGATTGGTGTTAATGTTACATGAAAATAGGAGGGTAAAATCGTCCGCGACAATAACACAGGTTTCATTTATGACTTTAGGTAGGTCGTTTATGTAGATTAACAAAACAGTACTGCCAAGAACATCTACCTATGGAATCCCTCACTTGCTGCATCTTTGACCTAACAGTTAATTCTAATTACATGTGATTCTTTTTCCGAATACTCTATTGAACATATTGCGATCGGTTACTGAGAAATAAGACAAACCACTGATGTGCTACTCCATAAAATTTTCATTGTTTATCTGACACATTTAATGCTGATTTCATAGCTGTGTACGGACGGTCCGTGCGGACTCTCCGACTGAGAGCCATCCGCATGCGTAGAATCCGCAGTGCTCTGAATCGAGTATTTATTTTAGTGCGGATGTTCACGGAAGATATTCATGGGTGACTTGTGCGAAGTGTTCTGTACGGAGCAATCGCGTCACTATAAAACGATATTCGAAGGCCACACGTGTTACTCCGCTCCGCGGTGCCCCGTGCTCTCAAACCAGCCTTAGATCTGCATTTGCTAATAAGTTAATTCAAAGCGGTATTTACGCTAGCTCTTTCTTTTTTTATCACACACAAAGCTATCACCGTTTATCTATCTGTTTAATTTTTTAAGTTTTCACATGAAAGTAAAATTTGATGAATTATTAAAACTCATGAAACAAATGTTGTTTATGATGTTAATAATAATAGTCGTGGGAGGTTGTTAGCATTTTAAAAATCATCTTGTTTAATTGAACAATGCTTAGTATATCTATCTAGGTATCTACCTAGTACTTGTCTTATTTCAGAATAAACTTGATAAGGAAGAAGCATTCAGTCGTATAAACACTTCAAAAATAAACCAAGGATGGCGGTACATTCTACGACGGATCAAATGCAAGCAGATGGAACAAGATATCATGGTAAGTTCTTAATAATATAGAGAAAATTATGTGAAAATTCATGTAACCGAAAATGTCTTTTGATTTCTATTAAAAATAAGTAAAACCTATTGCAGTTCGCAACATCCACGTATCGAGACGTCAGTTATTTTTGTTTGGTAAAATAATTGTTTCCAACTGGACTTCTAAATTAAAAGAAAATGTAATGTTTCATGTTATGTATGCAGGGAATGATTGACAATTTCAACTTCATGGTAGAACGCAAGGATCGACAAATTTCCTCACTGACCAAAGCAATCGAGGACGCTGATGAACAACATCGCCGCGCATTCCAAGCTCACACAGAGACTCTGAGTTATTTTCTAAGTAAGAAAACATATATTTTAATAAATAAATACCTTCGAAGAGCATCGATGAGGATCATCCGCCAGCGCACCTTCGTTCCCTTTCGTTTGCATTCAAGGGGACTCCATATCCGCCCCGTAACCGGTGGATTTCATTGCATACCAGTGCCTGCCACCTAGGAATGGCTCATATATCTCTCAATCGATCCACAGATCGGATCGTATGGTCTTGAATCGATCTCATAAAAATCGTTTCAAAATTAATTTCGATAAAAAAAGAGATACGATAGGAAAAAAGCACCGCGGGCACATGTACCTACCAGAGAGTGGGATTGTGTACAAACATCACATTAATATTAAAAAAACGGTACATACTGTAGAAATCATAATTTCCTCTATCAGACTATTGTTACGGTTTTTATAGTTGTTAAGTCCAATAATAAACGATTCAATTATTGGAGTTGTTGGTAGATACAGATTTTTGCATCGACATATGTTACCAGCAAAAAGAAATAAGTTTATTGCAACAATATCTATGTACTAGCGTGTTTATTGTTTAATTCTTATAATCAAACTTATCTGTTTACATTATAGTATAATTCAACGGTACAAATTTCTTTTAGATGTCGGCTACCAACGCCTCGACAAACTACAATCAAATTACGATCAACAAAAGAACAGCCTTCTTGAAACTGGAGAAAAAGAAGAACAAGACATTTCTGACAGTCAAGAAAAAGCAGAATTCAAACTGAAGTTGATAATTTACATACAGAATCGAAATTTCGAGAAATATAAAAAGGAATCCGAATACCAGTATGCTACAGAAATTAATGATGGTCGGTTGGAGGTGAGTTAATTTTTTTGTTTATACATTTATTTTATTCAGGTTACAAGACCCATAAATATACATACCTTATAGACGAACATACATAATAATATAATAAACACTAATGACTAATTATTATTTACACGTATTTTCTGAGACGTGTGACGCAACGTGGGTGTCCGGTAGCCGCCCTCGGAAACGTCGGTATATGACACCCTTCGGCCATAACTCACCCTTCATGAAGATCGACAGATGTTGAATTAGTACTCTCACCACAAATGAATTAAAATTCACATTGTGGCGGGACCCCAACTGCTCGACACTCAGGGTAGCATTGGTTTTCACCGTATATACCCCAGAATATCCAGACTTTGTGAAGTAATGAAGCCGTGTTACGTATAACAACGTCGTCGGTATCGCTAGGCGCAGTAAATTAACGTAGTGAAGTAACAGTTCTGTTATACTTAGTATGTCAGTATACTTTAAAAACTGCTCTGTCATAGAAAAACGTACGTGATCAGTAATTTTATCAGGCATTTAACCGTGTCCGTTGTATTATGTAAGTAGGTACTTTATAGATAGCATATCGTCTCTATGGGAGCATATTTTTACGCTAGTCTATTATACGAGTAGTTTCAAAATTCAAATAATGTTATTCATATGTATTGTTTTTGACGCAATCTTTAATGGCACATTTACACTAGGTCGACAGGATGCATTCACTATCCCGCCGAAGGCATCAACCTAACACAACCTCTCAGCAGCAGTAGAGCTCTTTGTGATAGAGTTAGTCCAGGAAATGTCACCTTACCTATTTCCGCCAGTAATGTCAGCATTACTGCGTTTCGGTTTTGAAGGATAAAGGTGTTGGTGAAATTACAGGCACATTATATCAGCCATTTTCACAATTCGGTGTTCTCAGCCTAATTACCGTAGTCATTTTTTTTCGCTTATACCCAATAACATTGAAATATGAACAACCTTAAGCTAAACTATTAGTATCTCTAAATGGCCTTAGAATAAACAAAGTTTTCGAGTTATTAAGACGCACATATTTTATAGCATCGGTAATTAGAAATTGTTATTTTACATGGCTGCGGTAATTAGAAAGTCTGAAAATTTTTAAGAAAACATTAAATTAAAAATAACAACTAACAACATATTTATCAACTTATGTCTCAGAGTGACGGGCGCAGTGGCAGTGTCCCTCAGATCTTAGCGATTGAAAGGTCTTGAGTGGCACTGCAACTGCCATAGACAGGCGTGTCATTTATCACACTGCCGTCCGTTAACTAAAAGAGAAAGAGAATTTAAAAGAGAATTTTGAGCTCTATCCTTTGCTATTTAAAACGGATATTTGACCATTTGTCACTTAGCCGCGTTTTGTTAGTGGAAGGCAGCACAGTTTGTTGGACGTTTGAAACGATTTGTTGTGTCTTCATGCCTAAACTTGTATTTATAACGGCAATCGACGGGATGTAAACAGCGCGTTGACTGCGCCTCCTTCGGCAAAGCGAAGTAGTCTGCCGCAGTCGATCCTGTGTAAACACGCCATTAAGAGGGAGCAGAGGAAAAATTCCTAATCTTCGATTTGATTTTAGAGGGGTATATCCACTTTAAAGTTAAAAATAAAATATTGTATGAGTAACTACACGATATATTCAAGCATAGACATTAATAAGAAACATAAAACAATAAAGTTTCCTCGATAGATAAAAATCACGAAATGACCTCTAATTTTCACATTTTTTCGATTTATCCTCCAAATGCTACAGGTTATTAAGACAAAAATTAGATAATTAATTATATTTATGCATGATCGACAACTGTCACTACGGATTTTTTTAATCCCTTTAGTTTTAGAGTTATTCCGCTAAAACGAATTTGGTACTTTTAATGCGCAAAATTCAACATCTCCTGTCGCATGTCACGCGAACTTCAGGCATATATTCGTTTCACAAATTTGGGCCGAGCCAACGTCAAAACTTTTTTGGCACGAGAGCTCTAACTGTACGTGAGATAACCTAAATAAATTTTTACTTAACAATTATAATGACGTCATGACGATTTCACTATATCGCGCTCAAATAATTAAGAATAAAAAAATCCAATGGTCAACTTATGCATTAACATCGTCGTAGATTCTGTAATATTAATAGTTCAAAATCATAACAACGTGTAGTACATAAATTTACATGCAGATGTAACACAGTTACTCTATTAATTAGCTTGCTGCCATCTTTTAATAATTTCGCCGAAAAAAGGACAGCCCGAACAGATTGATAGAAGTAAATAAAATAAAATAACCCCTTTTTTGTTTATTACTTTTTTATTAACACGATTAAAGTATGTATATAGGCACACGAAACGTTTGTCTTGAAAAACATATTATCTAAATATATTACAAGTACAATTTAAGATTAGTTATATTTAATATTAGATTTACAATAATTTAAGTAAATATTTATTTTTATAGATGACATTTATAGTTAAATTAACGGAAGTTGATGTGATATGTATGAAAAAGACACTGCGTGCAGGCGTTTGCATTTTACCAGGTTGGATATTGTGCCAATGAATTGCTCAATTCATTGGCAATTTGCTGCTAATGTACGATTATACCAACACACACAAACCCACACGAATATTGACCACATCAACTCTTGTTAATTGACCTATACCCAAACTTAAATTTAAAACTGAATGTCATCTTTCCAATCATCACAATTCGCTCGGCCTTTTTCAGACAAACACATGAGCAGATTCTTTGAAAACTCGCACTTGTCTTCTTTATTTTCTGAAAATAAAATGTTAAGTATCTTGAATAGCTTTAGGCAATTTGCAAGCAGCTAGTGATTGCAGTCGACAAATATTATATCGACTATCGACTGAACGTTGTTTACGCTTATGAAATAAATACTCGAACTTGTTTCATTTGAATCATCATCGGCCCATTATTCATCCAACTGCTGAACACAGGTTCATTTGAAATATCAATATTTGTAAGTCCATACACTGCATTTAGAACTATGTCTATTAAAAGTACATAAAGAGTAGACATATTTTAAATATTTTTATTTTAATTCAATATAGATAATGAAATCTGCCTGTTCTTAATGAAATGTCAACTGTCAAAATAAGAACAATAGAGGCCATAACGCAATTAGTAATCATTAGAAAGTCGTCATAACTTTCACAATTTAGGTATTTTTGGCAAAATTTTACCTATCGAGTTCTTAGATTTTCGCGATTGTTACACAAAGGAAATGAAACTATTTTTCCGGATTTAAATCGCGTATATTTGTTTTGGTTTCTTTGAAGAAACAAATATACGCGATTTAAATCCGGAAAAATACTGTGATTTCCTAAAATTTTACCTCTTTTCACAATCTTTCGATAAAACTATCTACAGCACCACACGACTATTTAAAATTTTATGAAAACTGGTAACCTTGCAAATGTCATTTTACTCCGTCTTCAAAAAAGACGAACTTTAACTGGACTCGAACCAGCATCTGTAGCCCTCTTCCCTTCTTCTCTCTTTTAAAAATATGCACTCTTCGCCACTGCTATAATAAATAATAATAATGATGCACACACTCAACATAGCCCCGCACTAGAGAAACCCTGTGTCGCGGTTGCCATGGACACTCACATAGACAACCACAAATTACACTCAAACTCACGAGAAAAATAAATGTTGGTTATACAAACATTTCTCCCAGTCCGGGAATCGAACCTGGGACCCTGGGACACGCAGAAGCGTGGCAGCTCGGCATGGTAACCGTTCGGCCACGGAGACAGTTAAGTGAACTATACATCGAAGTGGTGCTAATATTGGATTTTAATGTTCTCATTGTCAGTAGGATAAGAAAATTTCTCCTTTCCAATTCCGCAAAAGTGACTCCAATAGAAATTGGCAGTTTTTAGAAAGGAGTACCTATCACTATGGCATACACACCATTATCCAGTATTTGGAAGCATTCTTCAATTGACTCTTGAAGAAAATCCCTCAAGTCCTCATTTTTCACGTCTTTGGTGATGGCGTGCGTTACTAAATAACGGTCTGGCATTCCATTATCTCCTGTCTAATAATACAGTAACAAATGAGTAAATGTACCTATTTAATCAAAATAGGTGATGAATACTGCGACTTTCTGAAAGTATGTAAATTGCCTAAATTTAGGAGAAAAAATTTTACTTTCAAATAATTCTAGCTGCAAATGATATTTCAAAAACGAATTTGTAGGATAATAAAATATGGCACCTTTTATGGTTTAAATAAGGAGTTCATGTCACTTACCATTTCCAAATTTTCCAAAAAACAATGCAAAGCGCAGGCTTTAGCATCCACTTTCTTACTAGTATTGTCAGTCGAGTTTTTTTCGTCGCTCCTATAGGAGTCGTCATAAGGCCTCTTGGGAGCCGGATTTGGGTTATATTGACTACGTTGTCCCGAGTTCATGGACTTGGACCGTTTGTAGCGCCGTGGTGACGTCGTTGAAGATCGATACGGGTCCTAGAAAGCAAACAATCTCGGTACCTACTTATGACGACTGCTATACGTCAGCTTACGTAACCTGTACTTATACAATGTGTTATTTTTAACTGGGACAGTATAGGGAAATCGGAAATGCTAAGAGATACAGGGAAATATCATGTAATTTGTGCATAGTGAATTTATTGGTCAAGCGTGAGTTGTCCATAAAAATTAATAAAATTGATTAACACTGTATTAACATTCGGACCAAAATTAAGAACTTAGTACTTATTATTGAAAGCTGTTAATATGTCATCATATTTGATACTTACAAATTCATCATTTTGCTGGAAAGCGTCTTTAGCTGATACTTGACTTCTTCCATATCCATCTGTTTGTCCCATTCTATCACCGTAACCCATCCCATCTCTTCCCATCCTATCTATTCTTTGGTCATAATTATTTATCCTATCATTTCTGTTACTTATCCTATCATCATAATTGCTTCTGTCATATCCATTATTCATCCTGTCATAGTTGCTTCTGTCGCCCCTATTACCCATTCTGTCATTTCGGTCCATTCTATCGTCAAATCTTCTGTCGTCACGGTTTCTGTCCCATCCGTAACCCTCCTCATTTCTATCATTACTGCCAAATTTAACGTCTCTATCCCAAGGTGACTTTTGACGGTTTTTAGTGTCCCTCCTATCATCGTCATATCCTCGATTATTGGTCACATTTTTGCCTTCCTGTCTTTTGAGGCAACTTTTATAGATGGCTCGAAGTTCATTTTCTTTAGGACCTCCATCTGATCGACAGTGCAGGGCCTATACCAATAATAAAATAAATAATTCTTTTAATGCTTAATAAATCGCTGGATACAATTTGTTTACTAACAATTAATTTTTAAAACTATACTAACATGAGCCGGACGTACTAGATACACTCGTAAGTACTTACTGCTGGACACAGGCCACCTCAAAATGGCACGTAGATTGGCGATCGCGGAACATCTACCCAGAGAGAAGTTGGCTTCGGCTCATCTCTTAGTTTTATACCTTAGTAGCTTTCTACGATATTTTAAGAAAGATTCGGTTTTGCTTATACCACACGGAAGAAACTCCAACATATTTCCATTACGAAAAAGCATACTTACACAACTGTTCCAAATTAAACTCAAAAATATCAGAACACTATATTTTGACCACATTTTCTCTTTCGCGTTAGCCATGACAATGAGGCCGCTGGTGGTTAGTCGGCTCATATAATGGTGCACGCTCCACTACTCTAGCGTTCAGGTTCAACTCAAACTACAGTCATAACTAAACAACGATTCTAGTTGGTTCTGGTCAGGTAGGTTCGTTGCTGATTTACTGAATGCGAGTGCGACGTTAGTGGCTACGACAGATTTGCTGTTTACATAAAGCTGAAAAGTAGTGTAGCTGCTTACTTATATCATAACTAAATTCAATTTGAATGCAATTTTGAAAGTTTATGATGAAAAAGGACACAGACGTGGCTCATTTCCTCATTTAATTTTATTTGCACGATTCATAAGTCTAGCCATGACGTGAAATAACCAGACAGCTGCATATGACACAGCACTTGTTTATCTATAAAGAATTATACATGTTAGGCTCATTATCTGCCAAGCGGAGCACAGCAGAACGGTGTTAATCTGTACTATTTTGTTTTTTTGACATCTCCATGCCGCATAGTCAATTAGCCCAACTACAGTTCTTCTTTGCTCAGCTGTAGATGATAATGGTTCTTAGAGATCGTTTTTATTTATTTGGTTCTCCAACAATGAATACAATATACATTACAATAACATAAATACAATTGCCCCATTACTTAGAGGAGAACACTGCATACACAATAATCTGTTTATTTTTTTTACGTAATGTTAACATTCGATAAAAAAATACTTATTAGGAGAGAAAAGAGAATTTATAACTATTAGTGCAATACAAGTCTTTTAAGTAAGTTCACAGACATAGTTGCCAAATCCGCTGAATTGTAATATTGCATATAAAGTGTATACATCTGAGTGAGGGGACAGTGCAATCAGAGATTAGTACGATGTTTTGGAATGCAAAACAACTTCCTATTATGATTTCCCTGTGAACTGAACTTTACAATCTGAATTATTTAAAAATGCCAGTGACTAATTTCTTCAAAAAAAACTAAGTCGTGCATATTGCATCTTGTTTCAAGTGTAGTAAATCCAAAATGGTTTAAACGATCTGTGTATGAGTTGACTTTCTTGGCTATATTGCAGCTGTACGCTAAGTGATACATGAATACTTTCTGTAGTTTCTCAATTCTTATGCTATGAACATTGTAGCACGGTGACCAGACCACGCTGCAATACTCCAAGTGCCTCCTAACCAAAGAATAGTTCATTATCTCTTAATACAAATCCGAGCATTCTTGAAGCCTTTGCAACAATATTGTCGATATGTATGTCAAACTTAATCTTTTTATCAAAGTAAACTCCTAGATCACGTACACCATCCAATACTTCAAGAGTTTCTACCATTAAGTTATATTTATTAGGTATAATGTTTTTGTTTCTAGTAAATTTAACGTGATTGCATTTCTTAATGTTTAAAGCCATCCTGTTTCTTTTGCACCAACTTGAAAGCGTATTGAGATCATCCTGAAAAAAAATCTTTTTGTAGTAATCTGCAGCATTTGTGTTTGTAATGTTTAATGGTTTTTTAACAGGGTATAATTCGAGTATCATTTTTTTTACTTTGAGGCCTTATTCACGAACAGTAGTCATCTGGAATTTGCACTACAATTTACCGAATGTTCAATTCATGATCAATGCCAATAATCCGCAACACAATGAGGGCACATCATACATCTGATCTGTCACACGTTACGCCTGTCAAGCATCATCAGGACATAAAGAACAACCAGGGCTAATTGCAGGAAACGCGGCTATAACCAATCATAAATTGCACCAAGTAATTCCTGATTTAGCTGTTATGATGCTTATGAAGTATTTGTCATATTTGCTTTCAATAGTTTTCCGAATAACGATTATTAAAATATATTTTTGCTGAGTGATCGTGAAGTCATTATTTATTTATTTAACAATTTATTGTACACCGCGTAGCCCAAATAATTAAGAATACATACCAAAATACACAAAAGACGCCTACTTTATAAAGTTTTAGAAATTTTATACATATAGACTTCTCCTCTAATCGCACATCATTACCAAGTATTTTAAGTTGTTCTGTGATTTTAAGGATAACTACGAAGGAATAGAAAATCTTTAACATCTTCACTTCTGACATTTATGAGTACTAAACCAAGCGTATAAGGTACTAAAGAATAATTCCTGTGATTGCAGTTACACTGAGCAAGTCCGATCGCGTATCCTTTTCTTGAAAAACCTTACAACTTTTCAGCCCCTTATATAATGGATAAAACCAAAGACCCTAGAAAGTCAAGAAAGTTGTCTTCATTCTATTACTTTTCATTATGATTGTTTACGTATTTGAGAAAATGTCATTCCTTTGTTATTAGCACGAAGAACAAATGCGCGCTCTCTGCAAACCCAAGCGTCTTGAGATCGAAAACATTTGGGCTCAACTTCGTGAAGTGTACAACTCGTATTCTGAGCAACATAATCCCATTATGGGCCATTACAATTCGTTGAGGGAAAAAGACGACTTCTATCGGAAAGATATCGCTAGAAATGAGCTTCAAATCCAACAGGCAACTGTAAGTATTGAGGTACATAAAAGATGAACTGTATATGGCTACCCACACTCTGAATCTGTACAGAGCACACCAAGCTTGATACTTTGGTTTTTAGACCGTTGTTATCGTAAGCGGCGTAGGTACAGATTAAAACGTGATTACCGAGGTAAATCGAAAACCAAACCATTCGAATTACTACTGGTTCTCACGGTAGTAAAATACCAATATATATGTATATGATATATCTAGAATACACTTTCATGTAAGCTTATGCCGTGTCATTAACAGGATGTACTCCTAAATCTTCAAAAAGAATGGATGAACACGACTAGCTCAATAGCATACAAACTTCAACGAATGAACAATCACAAGGAACAACTAACGAAACGATACAGTCAGATGAAGAAAGATGACAAAACTGCGAAGAACAGAGCTGCAGAGAAACTAGAACTCATGGTGAATGTTAGTCAAGATACTATACAGGTACCTTCTTAGCATTGTGTTTTTTGATACGGAAACCTAACAAAGAAAAAAGGATACAGTGAATTACTACACTGAGCGACAAACTGAGGTATTTTCATGTTTTCTCGACCTGTCGAGGGTCTTCTACGACATATTATGGAAGAAATTAATGGACGCACGTGTCCCATCTAAAATTATTAACTTCCTAAAATACTGGTACCTATTTGGGGTACATAAACAATGTTCGGTGTACAGGGTCATAATCGAAATCATATAGAAATACGTTGGAGTGAGGCAGGCTCTTCAACGTATTTATGAACGGGTGGGCGTCGATCCACCGATGGACGATCAGCAGCACGCAAGTCGGCTGCCTCGTAGACTGTGTATGCATAATGAATATCTTTAGTTTAGTAAACTGCCCGTCGCTATGTGCGAGGAATGTGAGAAATGTGCGCAAGGTAGCAAGAGAGGCAGCACCAACAGTATCCTAAAAATTATCTCCAACAGGCCTGACTGTCCGTTCATGAATCACTGCTGTGCGATTTCTAATGGCATCGCGAATGATCGTTATTAGTGTCACTTTTATATAAGTATATACGTGGATACCTCACAAACTGCGAATCTAACAAATGCCTTGTAAAAACGTGAACTGTACGTTTTTCAGCATCTCGAGGCTTACAAAAATAAAATAAATAAAATAATGCAACTGGCTGAGATTTGTCGTAAATACGAGACTAAGGAAGATATTGCTGTGTTAAGGGAAGCAGTATCATCAAACACCTCAGAGCTGGAATTCGAAAATCTCGACGAAGCTATGGCGGTAAGATAACTTATATTATTGTGCTGGTGAAATTACAGGCACTTGTCAACTTATGTCTCATGGTGATGGACGAAGTGCAGTGCCCATAAGATCTTTGAGATTTAAAACTCTGAGTGGCACTGCAACTGTTATGGATAGGGGTGTCGCTTACCACCAGACACATGACTTGTTCGTCCCGTCACTTAGTATTACAAAAAATTTAAAAAAAATGCCATCTTTTGTAATTCTTCACCATGATATTCAATTATTTTTTGTGAAATTGTTACACTTCTTTGTTATAATTATTACTGATTATTATTTTATACATTAAAAATAATTATTATTACTAACATTACAAAGATGAAACATAGAAAAATTCTTGCTTTTGGTTTTTAACTATTTTTTTGCCGTAACGCCTTTTGTGAGAAATATTGAATATCTTTTTTTTAATTATTCACAGGAAGAATACAAAGAATACCGAAAACTGGACAAGTTTCTACTGAAATCAAACCACGTTACAGTACAAACCATGTGTTTGAAAGCTGAAAAGGCAAAGTTGGCTAAAGAGAATGTCCAACTGAAGCATTATATCAAACAATATTTAACGGAGATGGCTCTGAGGGGAGGAAAAGACAGACCATTAAGTGTCAAATTACAATCGGGGATGCAAAAAATTGACACTGCAGGAAAAGTATTGTATGTACCAGTGTTCAGTTCTGGACGGTATTGTAGAATATTAGATTTCTTTTTCTATTTTTCTTACAAATATTTCATAATAAGAACTTGCATTTCATCGTCAATTACACTTGAAGACAGTATTAAATCTTAAAGTAAAGTAGAATAATATGATACATGTTTAGTATGTTAAGTGCTTATTATTTTTCATTACAGAAACCGTCCTGTTACTTGTATCGAAGGTGTTCTTAGCAATGCAGTGATGCATGAGAAGAGAATGAAAACATTGGCTCTAAAGAACAAGGAACTAGAAATACGGTCGTACCCTAGGGTACATTGCAGGATGTAATCTTTTGTATATTTTAAAAACTTGACAATAAGGGAGCTTTATTTTTATGAAGATTTACATAATAATTGCATAAGTGAATGAAGTTATTGATAATTGCGAAGGGTACTCACCCAAGAATTGAGGACAAGAAGTTTCAGAGATCCACCATAGTTATCTGGCTGTATAAATACCGATGCTATCTTGGTCATAAATGAATGTAGTCAATTATTATGCATGCAGTGCAATATTGCTTCTATGCTATGGAGACCAATCTTATGTTTAAATTTGGTCTATTTCAATTTTTTTTTAATAGTATTACTAAACATTGTGTCTATATTATAAGGTTTTTGTAATTTATAATTTTAAGCATGCCAAACTTAAAATCTTTGTCAATTTAAAATATAAGCGTGAGTAATTTTCAAAAATGTAATTAGTATTCTAATTATACCTGAATAATTGTTATGAAGAGGTTTTTACAACGAATATTGCATAATATATGATAATCATGATTAAAACTCGTTTATTAGTAAAATATAAAGCTTGTATTTGCTATCACTTAAAATAAATTACAAATATACAACTTTTTGTGTAAGACCCTACGCTCACTCCATCGGTGCCACACCAGCTATTCCAGTTGCCTCGTCACCAAGATTCCAAGGGTCATCCAAGGCTGCTAACAGTCGCGCCAAGCCCTTATGACCTTCCAAATCAATGTTCTTCGTCATCTCTTCAGACAATGGTACATACTCGTCACAGAGCACACTTTTCCCTTGTGAAACCCCATATAGCTCGTACCAACCTTCTAGAGGCTCATTTAACGGCCTTTTTAACCTTATCTGTACCTCATGATCATCCACGGTCTTCACAACGAAGCCATCACCTGCAGAAACTTTTGTGACTTTACCCCACATTACCACTTTCGCGCCATTTCTTTGAGTAAGGTGACTGCCGGTTACATACGGCACAAACTCGTCGTTGTCGGGGTATTGGTTGTCTTCAAAATCGTCGTAATCTCCCATTTTAAGAGGAGCGTTTAGCTTTAAAATTCCGAAAACTCAGAAACGCCAAATGAACAGAACCAAAATACCAAACACACGAAGTCCAAACACTTTTTCAACACAGATTAATGAACTAAAATAATAGGTACGCAGTGTTGCCGTTGTACATAAGTGAAAATCCCTAGATGGTTAGAAATTTTCCGCTAGATTTGGGTAAAAATAATTTCCTAAAATCCGCTAGATGTCTCTAGACTACAGTTGCGTAGATTTTGAGTCTTTAAAACATTTTTTACACACATCAGTCAAGTGGTCAATATGACGAATTGAGCTATGTTCAGCGATATACAATGCTAACGCACACTCCGCTCTTGCACAAAAGTTGTATACATTTACAGTCGCTGTAGAAAATAACAATTGTCTATTCTGAAAAATTAGTTCTTTTTTGTTTTTTTTTTAATTTTTTGTGTTTTTTTTGTTTCTAAATGCTTTTTCAAGTCATTACTTTTTGAGTACAATTCGCAGTGGCAATAACTACAAAATGGTAATGGTACTGGTTTCAAGTTTCAACCAATGTTTGAACTTTTTCGTATACTTTTTTTTTTATGTACTTCCATGCTTATTTGAAAATCGAATTTGATTCACAAACAGTCAGTGACTTACAACATAAAATTGCAAATAATTACGATAATATGAACCAAAAAGCATTTATATTAATTTAGTTTTGAACACAACAAACAAGAAATTATTATATTCATCTCATCATTCTGTGAGGGAAAAAATTTCATCAAACGAACGAATGGATGTTAAGAGTTTGTTTATTATAGGGAATTACTGTTCAGTCCGATTCTGCGTTAGTGTTACCAGCGTTAGAACTAGAAAATTGGCCGAATATTACTAATTTACCGTGTTTGATTGACAGGTTATAATGTTTATTTTTGAAAAGAGCTTAGCGGTCAAAAAAACGCTAGAAGTAGCAAAATATTTTTTCTCCCTAAAAACAAACTTTTACCCGCTAAACATGCATAAAATCCCCTAGATCTAGCGACAAAGGTGCTAGAACGGCAACACTGTACGTAACGTACGTCATTAAATTTGAATTCAGCAGAGTTCATGTCAGTTTTTTTTCCTTCGTTCCGTTTGGAACGGGCGAAGGTCAGAGACTATACTGCCTAGTCATTAGTTTCTTTTTTTCTTCAGTAAATATGTTTCGATTTAGTGCGACAATACACGTCCGTTTTTTCCATCCGATAGTCGGATCCGATAGTCGAATCCGACTACCGGAGAGCGCTTGTACCGTATAATTGTATGAACACTCAATACTTTATTATCGGATCGGACGTGACGTGGCGTCCGAGTCGGAAATAGCGTCCGATTTTATTACCGATCCGATTGTCTGAAGGCGCGCTTTGTATACTTTTGCGGGGAGACGAAATACACGTCCGATTCTTCCCTCCGATTTCCAGCGTAGCCAATGCAAATTATTCAAAATCCCCAAAAATGGGGATAGCAAAGGTCATATTTCCCACATGTAATAATATTCATTCATTCTCAGTATTTATTATATTATTATTGTTACGCATAAAAATACATCAAATAATTAAGAAAGTTAAAATGTACCCATCTATTACATATACGTTATGCTATAATTAGAATTAAACTCAACAAGTTGAATTAAGTTTAAAACTTACTAATTAAGCTTGACGAGTGGCAAGTTGTGGTATTAAGGTCTATCCATACACATCCGGGGCGTGTCCGGGACGTGGACAGGCCGTGCTCCGTCAGGGGCTCAAAAAAAAAAGTTCAAAGTTTGTTTTGTATGAACCCGTTCACACATGTCCATGTCCGGGCCGGCGCCGGGACAGGCCCGCAGTTCATACAAACTAGCACGCTTCGTCCACGTCCCGGGCACGACCCTGATGTGTGTGGATAGTCCTTTAAAATACCTAATGCTCGGCTTTGTTCGGCAACAGCTGTATTCTTTTTTCATACCGGGGACCGCTCAAAACGAAGAAGGGTCGCGCGCTCAACGCGCACCGACTGATCATCATCATACTATTTAAGAGACAGGCTCTTGTAGGTGACTGATAATAGTAGTAATTTTATAATTCAATACAAAGTGATTCTAATCATTCGGGATAATTTTATACATATAAGCGGTTTGCTAATAATTCTACATAAATGTTGAAAAAATATCAATATCGTTCGTAAACAAACAAATAAATAGTGTTTTTATCAGTGACCATCAATGTAACAAAAATATGATAAAATTCTAGAATGCGGGGCATTTTACCTACATTGCGTAATCCAAACAAAATCCCCAAACGAGTTGTTGAGTTGAATTTCACTGTATTTGGGGAATTCCTCGTAAATTGGCAACACTGCAGTTCAGAGAAAGTCTGACGTAAGAATCGGACGTGTATTCGGTGAATCCGATCTGATAGTCGGATCCGACCATCTGACACGAAATCGGACGTGTATTACCCCACTTAGGTGTAACTGACACATGTAAGCAGCGTTGCCAATGCCAATTGTTGAAAATCCCAAAAATCACGGTTAAAATCCCCAAATTCGTAGAGAACAATGTTCATATTCCCCACAAATTCCCCATGTCTCAAGTTCTCAATTTTCTTTACTTATTTATTACAAATACATCGCTCAAAAACGTAACAAAAGATTAAGAAACTCAAAATATAACCATTATTACGTTTGCTGTGAATGTAAATGACACGCAGAATGTAAAATATAAAATTATATTAATTTAAATCGTTTACCTATATATTTGAATGAGCTAAGAGCATTGAGTGTAAACATTAGTCAGTCTTATAAAAAAAAATAGTTTTCTTAGCATAAATTTTTGACATATTTCTATATTAAATAATGTGGATTGCGCCTTAGACTAATTTTTTTCCATCCTCTAAGGGATTGCGCATTTGGTATCTTTGCTTGGCTGACATTCTGCTAAGGTTAAAAATAATTAATGAATAAATGAAATTTAGACCTAAATTTAATGTTTAAAGTTGACGAGTAACATGTTGTGGTATAGAAATACAAACTGCTCGGTTTTGTTTAGCAGTAGCTGTTTTAATTATTCTTCATACCGGGAACCAGCCAAAACGGGAGTTGTATGTACAATTCGGGTTGTCCAATTCAGAATCAAGTGCTCGATCCTACCGAACAGCTCCATTTAAGCAGGGGATGTGCGATGTTGAAAAAATAGGAATCGATATCGTTCATCATAGTGTTTTTATCAGTAACCGTCAAACCAGTGATGCATCAGCAGAGAGATTTATAAAAATTTACAATCCCCGCATTTTCCCTACATAGCACCAATCCCCATAAATCCACAATGAAATCGAAATTCCCCGCAATTTGGGGAATTCCACATGAATTGGCAACATTGTAACCAATGCTCAACAAATAGAACTTTCTAGTCGGAAAAAACTATATCGATACATGTCGTTTCGATATTTCCGAATAATATTGATATTTATAGAGATAAATATATCGGCATGCCGATATTTTTTCCAAAGTCAGTAGTAGCTTATTCCCAAAATATGTTTATTAAATATATATAAAACAAAATTCGAAATTTTGTAAAAGATAGATCAGGTAAAAAGTACAATCGTGGTCGCTTGCTACAAGATGAGAAAGAAAACAGAGACGAGAAAAAAGAGTTAACCATCATGTTAAATGGGCTAGGAGGCTCCGCTAAGACTATCAAGTGTTAGTATTTTTTTTCAGATTTTGTGTTGATGTGTGATGCTTAACAAACTATGCAAATATTCACATAGTATTTCCTTTAACTGCGATAAAAAATATTTTATATAAAATTGATACTCGAAAAAAGTCACATTTTAATAATATATCGAGATAAAAAACTATCGACGACTTATATTGATAATTTCATGAAAAATATATCGATATTTTGTTATATCGGTATGTTTTACCCAACTCTAACTAATACATACACATACGACACAAATATGGCCGCCAATTCTGCATTTTAATTTTACGTTTCAGTACTTACTATTCATTATTTACAAATTTACTTTTTTTCATTCGTGTAAGTTAGTAGCTTACATCATATAGAAGTGTAGTAAAAACAGTAAGTATTAACTTCCATCTAAATCTTTGTATTAATCGCGCATCGGCGTGTTATTTTCGAGCCTACCACGCTTGTTTGCTTTTGTCACAAATCGGTTTTAAAAGGACAAAGCTAATCAAAAAGAAGATTAACATATAGTTTTGAGATTCTGTAAATTGATTACAGGGCACAACCACAAACTTAATATATATTTACATATATTTAACGGTTCTGTGACTGTATTTGTTTGGTAGAAGGCGGGCAGCGATGTCGCTGCCGCCGTATTTGCTGGGGCCTAACCCCTGGGCCACTATGATGGCCCAGCAACAGCTCGCGGCAGCGCAACAGGCGGCGTTGCAGGCCCATGCCGCCGCGGCCGCGGCTGCACCGCCGGTGCCGCCCGCGCAGCCACCCAAACCACACCACATACCGGAAGAGAAGATCAAAGAGAAGTGTAAGTGCTAGGTTGTCTTATCTGAGTGCAGCTGCACTAAAATAATGTAAGCAGTCAAAGTGTGGTAAAGACATGAACTTGGACCAAATTCATGTTTATGTAAAATGATGTTACAATAGATTTCTGACAAACTTCGGTTTCGTCCATTTTTATGTTGACTTTGTAATGTTGTGTATATGATTTGTTATTTATTACTAACAAAATAGCATTCCCATTTCTTTATAATGGCTTCATCAATTTGCACAATGATTCTGCCAATGTCAGGGTTGAAAAGGACACTTACATTGGTGTGACTATGTACAGGTGGATAGCCGGAGATCCGCTGGGTACTATGAGAATCTAAAAAGTGACAACACAAAAACAACGGCAGTGTCTCAAACATTACCAACTTTTAAACATAAATGTTTTCTGTGCCTGTTTGAAAGGCAATCTCGGGACGCTGGCTTTATGAAGTAGATTGTTTTGTGTCCTTGAAAATGTTTCTATGTTTGGTATTGCGCAATTTAAATTATTACTCAAATTGATTGTATAATTATTGTTTGTGTCAAATTTAATTTATTTAATGTCAAAATTTTTTAATATTTATTTTTTTCTGCCTAAATCATTGACTTACAATTATATGGACGTCGGGTCCGCGCTAAAAAGTGTCCGCACTTGTAAGTCGCTAAAATCGTATACAGAGCGCGACACTCCGCTTTAGTCTTCATTTGTTCTACGGACAGCGCGATACTGCGATGACATAACAATTTAAATTTCGAATAGGTTGACTTGGGACATTTTTTTCGTGGTTTTTGTATTAGATCCGTCGTCCATTTATTTGTAAGTCAATGACCTAAATATATATTTTGATTGTGGTGTTCCAATTATATGATGGGTCATGGCAGAATAACAACGAGGGCTATGTAATTATAGACTGTTCCAATCCATTTTGAACAAAAAGTAAACAACTCAATAAATTGAATAAGTAACACTTTCACATGTATTTCGAAGATTTCGACCTGATATATCATTACTTTTTGCAACAATATTCATTTGAATAGCATTGTAAAATCATATTTGAAAAATGGTAGTCCAAAAGTGAAGTTATTATTCATGTATACTTCTATGACTTGCCTACGGTTGCATAGTGCTGTTCCAAAAAAACATTCAGTTCAATCGATTAAAGTTTAGTAATCAACTGCCTCCGTGGCCGAACGGTTACCATGCCGGACTGCCACGCAGAGGTCCCAGGTTCGATTCCCGGGCCGGGCGAAATATTTGTATGACTTACATTTATTTCTCTCGTGAGTTTGGGTGTAATTTGTGGTTGTCTATGTGTGTGTCTATGGCACCCGCGAAACACAGGGTTTCCCTAGTGCTATGTTGAGTGTGTGAGTTATTATTATTAATTATTAAATCGAACATTTCAATCGCAATCGAACAAGTATCTAAGAGTCGTATTCTAGAACTCTACTCATTGCTCAAGTCAGGACTTGAGTATGATTCAAAGCGCTCGAAATCATACTCAAGTCCCTGCCATTAGGGTCGTATTTCCAGTGCTTGTGTTTCAATTGCAATCCTGACTTGAGCATTGAGTAGAGTTCTAGAATACGACCCTAAGTGTAAGGATTTGAAGGAGGATTTCAATTGAATTTTTAAATATGCTTAGATAGGTTATGTAAGGAAAACCGCTAGTATGCCTCAATTGAACAAATAGATTCATTTAATTAATTAAACGATTTGTAGTTGGCGTTACAATTGGCCAGCACTAAACCGTCTATGGTCGGGTCAGTGACTTGTTTGTTTACTTTTTGTTCAAAATGGATTGAAACGAAGTTTAGCATAGTCCTCGGATCATGAACATGCAGTAGCATAGATAGTCACGTTAGGATTTTATGGGGTTTGAACCTCTCAAGATGTTAACACAGGGATGTACCCTTTTACCCAATTTGCCAATAATGGCTTGAGGACAAATCCCCATTCAAATGTTTGCTATGCCTGTGTGTAGTTATTATTAAAGCCAGCTTTGGAGTGGTAAGAGTGTAATGAAAATTATAGACTAAAATTTTTATTGAGAAACAGTAATTGAGTAAACTATCTAGTTAAGGCAAATTTAATTATAGTTGATTTCTTGATACTAAAACATGAAATTTTCTTGAAAAACATCAAATAATTGATGTTTAGAAATTAACTGTGTATCAATTTTTTGGTTATTTTTGTATACAGTCATATTTATTCACTAATATTATGATCCTCGAATTTTGTGGACAAAAAAATAAAGTAACAAAATTTTGTAAAAAAAAAAAGTAAAAGAAACAAAATAAAAACGGAATAGGTCTAAAAATGAAGTTGGCGTAGAGTTCATTGGAGGTACCGATATAAATCTCATAGTTTAAGATAACTGTTTAAGTAGCAAAACGATTTGCGAGAATGTTATAAAGACAAAAATGGCATTGTAATGAGATAGATTATCAATACAATTATACTTTCATGAAACTTTAATAACTCCAAACTAAACTTGGGCTGTAGAAGGTAACACTGGAGGTAATTGTCTTAGATCCCCTCTAGGTTCTCGGTTTCACATTTTAGATTTTGCTGAAACCTTCTCTTGAGGGGTACATCATGAATTGCAATGGGTTATTCTTTTCCATAAGTAGATTTAACTGGAAAATGCTGTAATTGCACAACAATACAAAGTACAACACCACTAGTTGTTGTTTTTGCGTGTATATAGACTGAATATAGGCGCCTAGATGTCGCCTGTTACACCAATCATGACTTTTTGGCTATTGGTGTAGGTCAGTTATTTTTTAATTTCATTATCTGAATAAATATTAAAAGTCAATTTCAAGAAACTCCTATCAATTCTATCCTATGCTGTTCAATTGGACATTGACGCAATGTAAATAATATACGCAAAAAAGTAAAGAATCTGATAAATGCTCATGCCACGACTTTCACCAGTCCAAATCCATTTTACACCCTTTACATACAATCTATCCTAAGAATATTCTAAATTGTTCTGTATTTAAAGAGTTAATACCACAATAGGGCGTAATTAAGCAAAAATGTACAGTGTCTTTTTCAGAGCTATCTTTAGCAGAATATGCATAAAACGCCCTATTTTTTTTTATGTAGCATTGAATGTATGTATATATTTATGGTTGCTACTACTAGCACTATGAACAAGAAATACTTCCAAATTTATTTATATTCCTTTTTTTTCTAATAGCCCAAAAATGGCTGCAACTCCAATCAAAGCGTTTTGCCGAGAAACGCAAATTTGGATTTGTCGACGCACAAAAAGAAGATATGCCTCCAGAGCACATCCGAAAGATTATCAGAGACCATGGCGACATGACTAGTCGCAAATATCGACACGACAAACGCGTCTACCTCGGAGCTTTGAAATATATGCCGCATGCGGTCATGAAGCTTCTGGAAAACATGCCTATGCCTTGGGAACAGATCAGAGATGTCAAAGTACTTTATCACATCACTGGTGCCATTACGTTCGTGAATGAAATCCCATGGGTGATTGAGCCAGTATACATTGCTCAATGGGGCACAATGTGGATCATGATGCGTCGAGAGAAGCGCGATCGTCGGCATTTCAAACGAATGCGATTCCCACCTTTTGATGATGAGGAACCTCCTCTAGATTACGCGGATAACGTTTTAGACGTTGAACCATTGGAGCCTATACAAATTGAAATGGATCCTGAGGAAGATGCTGCTGTTGCCAATTGGTTCTATGATCACAAACCTTTATTAGGAACACGTCATGTCAACGGATCGACATATCGGCTGTGGAACTTGACATTGCCGCAGATGGCGACACTTTATCGTCTAGCGAATCAACTGCTTACAGACTTGGTGGATGATAATTATTTCTACCTTTTTGATTCGAAGAGTTTCTTCACGGCTAAAGCTCTGAACATGGCAATACCTGGAGGGCCAAAGTTCGAACCCCTTGTAAAAGACAACTCTGCTGGAGATGAGGATTGGAATGAGTTCAACGACATCAACAAGATTATTATCCGACAGCCAATCAGAACAGAATACAGAATTGCCTTCCCTTACTTGTACAACAACTTACCTCATTTCGTGCAGTTGTCTTGGTAAGTTTCCCTTCATATATTTTATTAGCTTTTTTGGTCATTCATTTCATTATTTGATACTAACCTATCATTAATATTCAATGTTGTTTTATACAGCACTTTTTATGGGCTTTTTAGGTAGTTTCTTAAAAGGTAATGTCACAACTTGAGTTGTATTAATGATGAACAACATTATCTATATGTATACTTTTATTTAAGAGCCCTCATGCCAAAAAAGTTTTGACTTTGGCTCCACCCACACTCCCCGTTACCCGCACCTATCATTCGCCGCCCGCTACCCGTACGTCGCAGTGCAAACCGATCAAAAGTAATTTTCGCGCGCTTATCGTCGACCCGTAATCATTGAATCCATAGAGTCGTATTCGACTACTTAAAATTTTTATTACACTTTATTCAAATAAATGTATTACGTATTTAAATATCTAACCCTAATTCTACAATTATTTGCTTGAAGTTCCCGTGACATGCGACAGGAGATGTTGTCTTTTGCGCATTAAAAATGTCGTAAGTGCCAAATTCGTTTTAGCGGAATAATTCTGAAACTAAAGGGATTAAAAAAACATCCGTAACGACAGCAGTCGATCATGCATAATTATAATTAATTATCTAATTTTTGTCCTAATAACCCGTAGCATTTCGAGAATAAATCGAAAAAATGTGAAAATTAGATGTGTTTTAGTGATTTTTATCTATCGAGGAAACTTTATTGTTTTATGTTTCTGATTAACGTCTGTGCTTGAATATATCGTGTAGTTACTCGTACAATATTTCATTTTTAACTTTAAAGTGGATTTACCCCTCTAAAATCAAATCGAAGATCAGGAATTTTTCCTCTGCTCCCTCTTAAATAATAAAAATACACCAATAAAGCAAACCAATATTTCAATGACAAAATCATTCAATAGCTAATACAACTTCAATAACATCAAATACACAAACAATAGTTCATGTCCTAAAATGATGTAAAATTTTATTTATTAGTAGACGTATCAGCAGAATACTCGGTTATATTTTTATCCTTTTCTTGATAGTGTTGTTTATCATTGAAGCGATGTTCGGCACTCACCAGGATGTCCTGGTGACTTGAATGACCTATTTTGCAACCATTATGTCAAAGCAAGAAAGAGATGTAGATAGGTAAATGTTGTTCTATATTATGTTTCTTAGCCTTGCAGGTACCATATTTGTTTATTATTTCCAGGTACCACACCCCAAACGTCGTATACATTAAGACGGAAGACCCTGACCTGCCGGCATTTTACTTCGATCCCCTTATCAACCCAATATCCCACAGACATTCTGTCAAGTCCCAATCTGATCCATTGCCAGACGAAGAGGATTTTGTACTTCCAGAGGATGTCTCCCCATTCTTGCAAGAAACCGCTCTATACACTGACAATACAGCGAATGGGATCGCTCTATTATGGGCTCCAAGACCTTTTAATATGAGATCAGGTAACTAATATTTTGTATTTTAAATTTTTTCATGCATTCTTATCTTTACTTTTCACATTTAATTTTTCATTTCATTCTTATCTTTATTTTTTAACTTTCTTTAGTAAGTTATAATTTACTATAGTCCGCCTTTTTTGAAGACAAGAGTAAAATGACATTTGTAGGGTTGCCAGTTTTTATGAAATTTTAAATACTTTGTGTGACTGTTGTCGATAGTTTTATCGATAGATTGTGAAAGAGGATCAAATTTATTACAAAATATTGACAATGAAGAAAAACTTTGACACCAACACACAATAATTTAACAAACACACTACAGAGACAAGAAAACGTTCGGAAAGCACGAAATTTGTAGAAACAGTGGATTAAATGGTAAAACTGATTCGGAGAATTTAGCTATTTCGCCTTTGACAGTTTGTCTGCAGGACTATCAGGTCAGCCCCTGACAAACTGTAGCGTAGCATGGCTACGCATGATTGTCGCGACTTGGCTATCTAAATTAGATCTGATTGAGACAGCCAATAGCGCGCGCTTAATCCAATTTTATCGCGCTTGTCGCGACTATCATGCATAGTCATGCTACGGAGGCAGGTCTTAAAACAGATGTTTTTGTCTAGGTCGGACCCGCCGCGCCATCGACGTGCCGCTGGTGAAGACATGGTACAAAGAGCACTGCCCGCCGGGTCAGCCCGTCAAAGTAAGGGTGTCGTACCAGAAACTCCTCAAGTACTATGTGCTTAACGCGCTGAAACACCGACCGCCTAAACCACAGAAGAAGAGGTGAGTTTCATGAACTGTAGGCAGGTCTTTCTATTTTCATATAATAAGGATAAATTTATTTCAATATAACTTAATTGCATTAAAAGGAAAACCAATGTAACTAAAGCTATTATAGTATTAAAATGAACATTAAGAAAAGAACCTAAATTATACAATGTTCATAGTAAAGTTATATATTTTAATATTAGAACCTAATGTGTAATTCCGATGAGTAAACTAAGTAAATGTGTACCTGTATTTTAGGCATCTCTTCGCGCAAATTTCTTTATATTACAGCTTAAAAACAGATTTTTTATATTTAACAATAAAAGAATTTATAGTTATAAATTAATGGTTATATTAAAAATAATTAAGGAATAACTAACTTCCAGCAAGCTCTCTGTTTCATTGTAAGTTTTACTGTTAAGCCTATCTAAATAAAATTCTACCTCTAGGTACCTCTTCCGCTCATTCAAATCCACGAAGTTCTTTCAAACTACAACCTTGGACTGGGTTGAAGCTGGTCTTCAAGTCTGTCGTCAAGGCTACAACATGCTGAACCTTCTCATTCACCGGAAGAACCTCAATTATCTGCATCTGGACTACAACTTCAACTTGAAACCAGTGAAAACTCTCACAACAAAAGAGAGAAAGAAATCTCGATTTGGAAATGGTGAGTATTAGTTGTTGGCTTGCGACTTTGTTGACTTTGTTGAGACGCAGTTATTCCAATTCATCACAATCGTTTAGTAAATATTATTAAGCGAAAAACATATATTCGCGAAAGGTTATTTAGAATATTTCAATTCACGTAAGATCCTATTCAAACTTCATTTTATGGTGACCTCACTGAGGGAGGCAGAACTGATCCATCATAATTTATTGAAACTCCAATTGACTGCGCGCACTTTTAATGGATAATAAATAATATATAGTAGTTATTATTTAAAAAAATCTGTTAGGGAATTACTGTTACCTTACCCATTTCTGCCGTCATACAGTAAAAGAGTCAAGTCACACTTATGCTCGTATTCCAGAACTCTATTCATTGCTCAAGTCTGGATTTGAGCAGACTTGAGTATGATTTCAAGCACTGGAAATACAACCCTAATGCCAAGGCCTTGAGTATGATTTTCAGCGCTCACTGCAATACTCAAATCCTGACTTGAGTATTGAGTAGAGTTCTAGAATACGACACTTGAAAGAGCAGCGACCTGAGGAGCACTTTTGATGCAAAGTATTACTTAGCATTTTGAATATTTTGAAGAAAACAAATTCAAATTGATTTGAAATGTAGAATGTATAGTGCGGCACTGCGAGTAGCCGCGAGGCTGCGCGAGAGTAGCGACTAGTTTAAAGAGGCACCGCGCTAGCTCCGACCGCTGCGCTTCTGATATTTTAGCGTGGCTGAACCTTTACTGCGTCTCATGGGATTTGTCAACTTACGACTCAGGGTGACGGGCCCAGTGGTAGTGCCCCTCAGATATTTGTGATTTAAATTTCTTGAGTGGCACTGAAACTGTCATGGATAGGCGTGTTGCTTAACTACCAGGCGTACGAATTGTTCGTCCCGTCGCATATGAAAAAAAAAATGTTATTAGTTTGTTTATTATTATTAATACAAAGATCGAACAAATACGAAAAAAATTCTTTCGATACGATTGGACTCCAACCAGTGTCTGTTGCCTAAACGTGGCTGCATTCAGTCACTTTTGTTTTTTTCTTTCAGCCTTCCACTTGTGTCGTGAGATACTTCGCCTCACAAAGCTGATCGTGGACTCCCACGTTCAGTACCGACTCAACAACGTGGACTCGTTCCAACTTGCGGACGGGCTGCAGTACATCTTCGCCCACGTGGGTCAACTTACCGGCATGTACCGATACAAATACAAGCTGATGCGACAAATCCGTATGTGCAAAGATTTGAAGCATCTCATTTACTACCGGTTCAATACGGTAAGTTTTTCTTTTTTTAAGATCAATGACATTTGTATGTGTTAATATATTTATGAATTTTTTTTGTGAATTTAGTTTTTGTGAATACGAACAACTTGCTTAGCCGCCATTTTTGTTTAGTCCAAATCAAAGTTGGTTTTATTAATTATATATTTTTTATAACGCACACTCTTATAGCTCCGCACTAGGGAAACCCTGTATCGCAGGTGCTATGGACATGCACATAGACAACCACAAAGTACATCCAAAGTCACGAGAAAAATAAATGTAGGTCATATAAATATTTCTCGACTCGCTATTTATTTAGATAATAAATTTAAAAATAGGGTCCAGTATCGAAAGGCCCCGGGTGCGGTTTCTGGGCGCCGGGCTGGCGCGTGTGGCTGTTCTTCATGCGCGGCATCACGCCGCTGCTTGAGCGCTGGCTCGGGAACCTGCTCTCGCGCCAGTTCGAAGGACGACACTCGAAAGGTGAGTATCGGACTGCATTATTTCATATCCTGTTGAAACCTCATTTTTTAAACGTTCAGGCCTACTATATCTAAGTAATCATCATTAAATTGCTCGACTCTGGAGTCTCATCGTCAACTTCGTTGGTTGAAAATCATTGTCATTTATAACAAGTAAGGAAGCCATCATCCTATTTAAGAGCTATAACCTTATCGGTGTAGCCTCCTGCACGCCACACTGTTCATAGTCAGTTCCTGTACTCTTGTTCTTTGTCCGACATCGGTCTAAAGTCAAAGTCAAATAATCATTTATTCCATAGGTAACATTTTTAGTTGAAAACGTCATTTAAAAAAAATTACGTTTTCACAGATAAGCTACTGACTTCGTATTTTTATTTAAAGTAAAATATCAAATTCATTAAAAAAAATCAACTACAGTACTCACAAGTACCTCATAGCCAATTGTAAACTCGTTATCACTTCCTAAAGCGAAGATTACACCGAGTGTCGAGTCTGTGTCCATTAATAAGCAACATAGATGCGCGTGGGCAGAATAATGAAGACATTTGTCTCAGTACCTGTGTCGTTTAAAACTTTTGGTTTGAGTTTGTAATAAACATCGCACATAAGTATTGAAGTCGTACTGGACATTCAAAGCCTTGAAATCTTATTTTTGATAAAGTAATTCAATTCCAAACAAAATACAAAGTTTCTTAAGTGTATGGTTATTTTTCATTTTTCGCCCATACTGTGGTGGACAACAGTAGAGAATGTACAATGTGTCAAATACTTTGTCATTTACATAAATTATATTACAATAAAGTGGCATTTTATTTAGTGCTGTGGTTAATCGTTCAGCTGCTGCTCGTTCACTAAGCTGACCTCCCTGAGAAGAACGAGCTAGAGACTCTAGGGATTGCTCTTTTCAAATATCTACTTAAATGCTATGAAATACATTTTGAATCATATTTGTGTGGAATCTAGACTCGCGTTATATTTCCATACATCTTTATCTAACACGTAGTTTTCAATTTTGTAATAGGACTTTTCAATTAAAATACTTTTAATGTAAGTTTTAAAGTTAGGAAATGGTAATCTTAATACATCGAGCATATAACCAGAAATAGAGACGAAATAAGGGCCATATATTCCTGGTAACACGTTAGCGATACAGCTTTTATAAATATCAACCCTCGTTTGCACTGAAATATGGACAGGCCAACTACTGACCTGTGTGTATGTCTCCGTATATTCCAAAAAATATTCTGTATTTATTGTAATAAAGATAATATCTCTAACAATGCCGTGCTGTTCTATTCGGTGGTGTGGGAAAAACAGTAAAACATATAATTACAAAACAAACGGAACCACATTTCATTGGTAATTAAATATAAAATATGTAATTTTGCAATTTTCGTCCATTGTAGCAAAGCTCAAGTTAACTGGTCGATAAGAAGTGAAACAGTTGACGACACCCATTGACGATACCCGTCAATTGTTTCGAACTCGGGCTAGCCAATCGGAGCGCAGTTGTCACAGTAATGATATGGCAGAATAGTTTTCAAACAAAATAAATGACATTTTGCCTCTATTTCTGGTTATATACTCGATGTCCTAATATATGCTCCGGAATCTTATTGTAAAAACGTATACATTTCCCCATAAAAGAATCGTTTACCTTAGTTAAACGAAATCATAGTACCATGAGTTTGGACTTACTTCTAAGATTTATATTATGGATATGGATCTTCTTTCTTAACGAAATTATGTTTATTGTTATTTTAATTAAGTAAATTATGTCCGAAACAATAACTGTCAAATAACTAATACTCGATCAAATTAAAAGATGCATGATGCGAATGAAGTTTCATCCGTGACATTGTTTTTTTTTATTTTAGTCGAATATTACTTATTTGACTGTAATTGTTTCGGACTACTGTCCGACGGAGAACGAGAGTAGAGCCGTGACCCAGCCCCAGCTCCGTGACCTCTCATTATCTGCTCATTTTGATCTTCTTTATTTGATCACTATATACGATTCCTGATCTTCTCTTTCTTTTCCCTTGTATCTTCCCTTCAATTATCACTCTCACGAATTCGTCATTTCGTAACAAATGTCCAAACATTGTTACCCTTCTTTTCTCTATTGTATACAAAAGATTTATTTCTTAAAAAAATGTGCCGTCACCCGATATAAAAATTAACGGTTGAATGACAGTCGCAGCGGAGGAGACATTGTTCCAGCTCTTCGCTACACTCAGGAATTCGTCTATACCGTCGAGCTTCAAAATGATACCATTGTCAGGCTCGACGGTGTATACTGGCTAGTGTGGACTAGCTTATACGTAAATTCGTGATATATCTATTATTATTATTATTATTAGAGTGGCTTCATTTGGGGCCTATGAGGCCCCTCATCACTGCGACCGTAAATGATCTATTGTGATCACCACTAATCACAGCTCGGAGCCAAGACCAACAGCATTAAGGAACTTTAGGACTTTCCTGGTTCCAACAGTCTTTATGTCCTCTGGGTGTGGCCTGTGCCTACCCAGTGTGGAACTTCTCAGGCCCATCAGAGGGCAGCACTGAGTTAGGAGATGCACAGGAGTTTCATCCGCCTCGTGGCAGAATCTACATTCTCTGTTTTCTTTCTGTCCAATATTTGACATGTGCTTATTCAAGGCACAATGTCCTGTTAAGGCTCTAGTCAGCATTCTGATGCCATTCCTGTCCAGTGACAGAGCTTCTCTACAGTGTTTGGCACTGAAGGCAGCTATCAGGGCTTTAGAATGCTCAAGACCCTAAGTGTCGTACTCCAGAACTCTGCTCAATACTCAAGTCAGAACTTGAGTATTGCAGTGAGCACTGGATATCATACTCAAGTCTTTGCCATTAGCGTCGTATTTCCAGTGCTTGAAATCATACTCAAGTCTGCTCAAATCCTGACTTGAGCATTGAGTAGAGTTCTGGAATACGACCCTTAGTCTGCAGCCACACGTCTCAGGAGATGTGGGAGCTCTCGTTCAGCAAAGTGAGTTTTGCCAGGCTGTGTGCTATTCCTATAAAGGGCTCAGGACGAATGAAGGCCTCCCTAGCACCAGCCTTTGCCAGTTCATCCGCTGCTTCATTACCCTGCGTGCTATACCTAAAATAGAATACTAAGAATGTCGATTTTTCTCTATCCAGGTGTAGCAAAGACGGTGACGAAGCAACGCGTGGAATCCCACTTCGATCTCGAGTTGCGTGCGTCCGTCATGCACGACATCGTCGATATGATGCCGGAGGGTATCAAGCAGAACAAGGCAAGGACCATCCTGCAGCATCTCTCAGAGGCTTGGCGGTGCTGGAAGGCAAATATTCCTTGGAAGGTGAGTGTGAACGCCGAGGTGTTAAACCTCATTATTATTGTAATTATATATTTGATTTCATACAGGGCACGTATCTTTGAGCTCCATGAACTTATTCTAAGGAAATTATGATGCCGACGATCTTGGCACGACACTACTGAACAAAAAAAAAAACAGAAGTCACATATTTGCAACATTTACGCCCGATTAGGATAGAAATATCCTACTAATTCAATTCTCAAAAAATTATTTACATTATTAAGATTAGTTTATGACTGAAATGACAACTATATACTGAAGTTGTAAGAGCGTTGTTAGCCAAAAAGAATTATTTATTTGTACATTTGCAGTACTTAAAATTAACAATGCCTTGTCAAACCAGGTGCCAGGTCTACCAACTCCGATCGAAAACATGATCCTCCGGTACGTGAAGATGAAGGCAGACTGGTGGACCAACACGGCGCATTACAACCGCGAGCGAATAAGGAGGGGCGCAACAGTCGACAAGACTGTCTGCAAGAAGAACCTGGGTCGCCTAACGAGGCTCTATCTCAAAGCAGAGCAGGAACGACAGCATAACTATTTGAAGGTATGACTATTCTAAAGTTTTTTTATCATCTGATGTCATGATGACTTTAAAGACCGGTCATTGCGCTTGCCGTTTACGTCGATGCTAAAGGACAACTAATGTTTTTAAAAGAAAATCCCGATAGAGTGAACGTAAACTGAACCAATTCCTTGCATTAAAAATAATGTACCGAAAAATTTGTCGTGATAAAGAGTACTATGAAGTACCCACTATTTTTGTGTCCATTAAACTCTGCTAGGTAGTGCAGTTACTAATATTATATAAGCATACAAATCTCAATATTTTGGATACTGACACACCACTTATATTTTTCGAGATACGTTTTAATGTAATGATATGATGGAGGATGGTTTTGCAAATTGCTATTTTTCAACAGGACGGTCCCTACATCTCCCCTGAAGAAGCAGTGGCGATATACACAACTACTGTGCATTGGCTGGAATCCCGCCGCTTCGCGCCTATACCTTTCCCGCCACTGTCATACAAACACGATACAAAACTCTTGATCCTCGCATTGGAACGATTGAAGGAGGCCTACAGCGTCAAATCCAGATTGAATCAGAGCCAGAGGGAGGAGCTGGGATTGATTGAACAGGCTTACGACAATCCACACGAAGCATTATCCAGGATTAAACGTCATTTGCTTACACAGAGGACTTTCAGAGAAGTAAAGTTTTATTTACAAATTTCACGATGGGATTTCAATAACTACTACTCCAGACTCCCCGTGTACATGAAAATGTATATAACATGTAATTCGGACTTTCGGACCCGGAGACAATAATAAAAATACCGCATTCAAATTAAGCGCTATACACTCCATTGGTCATATGATATGACTGTATTTTATATGACCAATAGAGTATCCACAAAAATCTCTTTAAAAAATGCAGGTTGAATTTTTCATACAAAACTGAGGGCACGCTTGCTATATTTAGTACGTTTTAATTACGTTGGAAGTTTCGCGCTTTTCCCATAGTAGTGTCCTGGGTTTTAGGAGAACAATAGAATATAACTTCGATATTTTTTTCTCTGTCAACACAAGGCAAAAAATGTGCCTTTGTTAAAAATATGACAATATTAAATGTCATTTGCTTAGCTACGAAATAAAGACAGGAGTTAGCACCGGCCCTGAAGTGGTTTTCTATGTCCTCTTTATGTGCTGATTCACTAGTGTCCCGTTTTGCTCGACGTGTACTTTTTAGTGTCGAAACATCTTTATTTAGAAATAAATGTAGATTATATATATCAATATGACAACTCCGTTTAATTTTTTTTATCAGGTGGGTATAGAGTTCATGGATTTATACTCCCACCTGGTTCCTGTGTATGACGTGGAACCGTTGGAGAAAATCACTGACGCGTATCTGGACCAATACCTGTGGTATGAAGCTGACAAAAGACGTTTACTGCCGCCGTGGGTGAAGCCTGCAGACACCGAACCTTCACCGTTGCTCGTTTATAAGTGGTGCCAAGGTAAGTATTGTTCTATAAATACAACCTATAAAAATTGCTGCGCTAAACAAATGTATGCCTACAGTGTTACGCCTCCGCCTTTAGCAGAAACGTTTTATGGTCATTGAATAGAACATTTTCGTCAGTAATAGAAGAAACATTCAAGAAAGGAAAGCAAGAAGACAGCGATTACCCAAAGTGTGCGTTGTGGCAAAGGAGATCTGTGGTCATACCATCCCCTTGTTACAAACCTCACTTTGGTTGATTGCACTATTCGCCGAATGAAAAAACACCGAAGAAATCGAAGAAACTACCTTTTAATATGGATTTCATTGCCGTATATTTCCAGTAGTTCCATGTACTGAGTTCCACATGGAGCAATTTGTAACCTTAAAATGTCTGTATTTATTCCCATTAGTTTCATGTAATTGTAAACTAGCTTTACACCTGATTTTTCTTCGAAGTCAGATCTTTAGATCCCCATTTCCAAGATGGACAAATGTTTTTAAAGAGTATAAATGCAGGACATGCGATAATAAAACACTTTTATTTTGCCTTTTATAAAAAAATCTCTTAAAATAGACTCTCGTGCAGAATTTGAAAACTAGATTATTGCCCATGCTTTCAAAACTAAAAAAAAACACTCACAATTTATTAACAAACAATAATGCGCCTTAGTAACACGTGTTAAATTAAATATACTTATTTTTCCAAACATCTCTCGGTTGATTCTATTCATCGAATAAGGAAACACTGAGAAAAACTACCTTTTAATATCGAATTAATTTGGCTTTAGCAACATGAATTCAAATGTATTTCTTCAAAATTTCTCATTTTATAGCATTGACCTACCAGTAAATAGACGTCGGGTTCGCGCTAAAAAGTGTCCGCACATGTAGGCCGTTAAAATCGCATACAGAGCGTCAATTGCGCAATAGTCTTTATAATAGTTTGTTCGAGTGACAGCGCGGTTGTCATTCATGCAGTAAACAATATATGCAGTACAAATAATAACTCGTAAAAATTACTGCAGTAAAGTGTGGAAACAGGATTTTGTATCATATTTTCACTAAACAAATATATTGTGTTATCATAGTTGTCTTTTAAAAGTGTTATTTTGTACAGTTTTATAGTATTTAATTTATATATAACTGAATCGTAAATATAAATTACAAAAGCACACGAAATAATGAAATAGCTAACTGGTTTTTTTCTACTCATTACATGCGCAAAAGATGGAAAGAGACCCAATACGTCAGTTTCAAGAAGCTTATATAAACTTCTTGGTCATTTTCAATTGTTCGAACCACAAGCAATTGAAATATTTAGAACAAAGAAACTGTAGAGTGGCTTTGATTTTAATTCTATTTTTAAAATGATTTTTTTATTAAACGTTAGCAATAACTAACAAAATATTGTTGAAGTCACATTTGCCCGAAATAACATTAGCTCGAATTTTCATAATGTGTTTTTACGAAGATTACAAAACAAAAGTTAATTTTGTCTATGTAAAAAGCATCAAATTACTCGAAAGCGTGACGGTTTTGTTATAAATCGGAATTACGGATATTTGAGTTTACCTTTAGTTAGAATATCGGTACATTTCTTATAGTACACGCTTATTTTCACATTTGTAGTAATAATTGTATGTATGTATCTGCCCAACTCTTTATTATACCTTTAAGTGAATTTGTACAAAATTCGACATAATAATATATATAAAAAAATTAATTAATATTTACGAGAAAGGTTATTCCATTACTCTTGTGTTCAAGTAATTTTCAGTCGAAGCTATAGAATATGGTGTTTTTGGGCCCTTAAATTTTTGTAAGCAAATTTAGGCAGTACTGCAATGACGTTACAATTTAAATTAAATGTTTTAGTTTTTTATATTTTGTTACACATCACTACGTTTGTATAGGTTAACCTCGGACATTTTTTTCGTGGTTTTTGTATTAGACCCGATGTCCATTTGTTGGTAGGTCATTGTTTTATAGTGAAAATGTAGCATTAAATAGTCCCGGTTCTACCAAGGAATATTTCCATCTGAACAATTTCTTATGAAATTTACTATTTTTTTGTGTGTTGACTTTCGAGATTGGTCTTGTATAGGCCTGCCAAATTTCAGTTGACACATTTAAGAAAACAACTATCATCAAATACGAAAAATGTTACAAACCATTTTTTCACAGGCATCAACAACCTGCAAGACGTATGGGAAGTCGGTGAGGGCGAATGCAATGTACTGCTGGAGTCGCGATTCGAAAAGCTGTACGAGAAGATCGATCTGACGTTACTCAATAGACTGCTGCGACTCATTGTCGACCATAACATCGCCGATTACATGACGGCTAAAAACAACGTCGTTATCAACTACAAGGTTTGTTACAAACGGCACAATTATTTGGTCTTTCCGCCCGACTAGTTTTTTCAACGCCATCTACAAGTGTGAATAGATGTATTTGCACTTATTTCAATTTACATTTGACCGAATTTACATTGCAAACGGAATGGAAGCCATTTTTTGTATACTCTGTCTTTTTTTGTACATGAAGTAAAATGACAGTTCATTACAAAGTGTTGCCCGCTTGCAAGCAGTTAGTGATTGCAGTCGATAAAGAAATATTCTATCGACAGAATTATGGTTACGCTTATGCAATAATAACCGACCTTGTTTCATTTGAATCATCATCGGCCCCATTATATGTCCAACTGCTGGGCACAGGTTCATTTGAATCTTCAATTTTGTAAGTTCATGCATACATACACTGCATTTAGAACCTTGATAAATTGAAAATACTGAGTTGACATATTTTAAGTTTTTCATTATAATTCAATATACACAGTAAAATGCATATGAATAAAAAATTGATTTCGATACTGGTAGGCCAACCGTCAAAATAAGAATAAAAAAGGCAATAACGCATATAAAATGTATATAATGTAATCATTACACCGTCGCGTGTTGTAATATTGACAATTCAGACATTTCTGGGAAAATTTTAACTTACGTCGTAATCTATCGATGAAACTGTCGACAACAATTACATATATGACTATTTACAATTTTATGAATGCTGGAAACCCTGAACATGTCATTTTACACTATTTTCAAAAAAGAACAAAAATATACAAAGGATAATGCAATTGTGTAAGGTACAAACTAGATACTATACGATATCTGCGGGAATTACCGAGACTTCGTGAGAATTCTCCGAAAGACGTGAGCGAGCTTTTCTTTGGCTCGTATCGAGTTTGTACCTTACACAATTGACATAAATTTCTTAAAGATGGCACTACGGCAAAAAGTCGTTAAAAAAAACCAAAACAAAGATCTGGAAGCAAAGCAAAGAGCGTCTGGCATGGCTTCCTAGAAGACGTTTGTTCGAATCCTGCCAGATGGAAGGAATTTTTTCTAAGTTTTCGATCTTTTTTATTAATAATTATAATACACTAGTGGAGTAATTTCATAAAAACATAATTGAATGTCATGGTGTTGAACATGACTTTTTTAAATTAATTTTTTTATTGAAACTGATATAAAAAAAAACTTAATTTACAGAAAGCTTACGGTTTCCATGAAGTTCTTCTATGGTTGTAAAAATTACTTTCTGTACCGCATGTTAAAGCCCTGGACTGTCTTCGACATCCTGCCTTTCTTCAATAAAATTCCTTATTGATTCAGGAAGTGGATTGTATATTTTCATAAAACTTATTCTATCTTCGTCTATCTGACTTATCTGACAAGAATATCGAACGCAACTGAACATTTTCAACTTAATTACGAATGAGACAATGAGAATAATTTTCACTTATACCAATACCGGTGTTTTCGACACCGTACCGGCCCTATCAATTGGCCGCTGACGCCGCTCAGCCAATCAGACCTCCCGAATTATTCATTCTTGCTCTGACGCGTACGGCCGTCCATAACACCGCGGCATTGTAAATTGAACCTTAGTTATTACTCCCTTCGCAACTATACTTTGAATTTCTACTTGCTATCAACGGTCTTAATAGATATCTACGCTCTAATGCCAAATGACTAACGAAATCAAATTCAACAGGACATGAACCATACAAACTCGTACGGCATCATTCGAGGCCTGCAATTCGCTTCGTTCATCGTTCAATACTATGGACTGGTGTTGGATCTTCTGGTCCTAGGTTTGCAACGAGCCAGCGAAATGGCCGGCCCACCTCAGCTGCCCAACGATTTCCTGTCCTACCAGGATAGACAGACCGAAACCGCCCATCCTATTCGCCTGTACTGCAGATATATCGATAGGATTCATATATTCTTCAAGTATGTCATTCACAATAACCATCATGCGCTTCTATTTTATTCTTAACTTGCGACTGACAACTGACGCTAGCTTCTGCCATTACTTGTTTGTTATTTAAAATATGTACGCATTGAGTTCTTCCTAAAATTATAACTATCAAGCACGTTTTTACTCATTTTGTTGGGCTGTTGAGAGGAAGAAATATTTAAATTCTCTTAGCTCTCGATCCAAATGTTTATAATTAATTTGGTTGTAGTCCAGTAACGCGGGACAAGGGCGAAAGCTTATGTATGTATTGTAGTCCAGTAATTAGTGACAAAGACTGGAACAAGTCCGCAGAAAAATCCGCACTGCTCGCAAACCAGCCAAAGATTTTAAACCTTTCACTAAATTGAAAGTGAAACTAACAAGAATATAAATCGTGTTTTTTCCCACAACGTTGCCATTGTAAATTCCGAAAAATAACATTACAGTAGAATAATAAATAATTCATTAACATCACAGTAGAATAAAAAAATACACCTGTTAAAAAACTTGTTAGTATTGGTAAAGTAGTTGTAGTGGGAGATGCTTATTCTGTGATATAAAATTGTTATAGGTGAATGATATGATAATAATCCTATTGATTAACGTATAGGTTCACGGCGGAAGAAGCTCGAGAGTTGATCCAGCGGTATCTGACCGAACACCCAGATCCAAACAACGAGAACATCGTCGGGTACAACAACAAGAAGTGCTGGCCACGAGACGCGCGCATGCGACTCATGAAGCATGACGTCAATCTGTAAGTATCACTTTCAAGTTGCTCTGACTTTCTTAAAGATTCCTTTTTCTTTTGAAATTCAAATTATCATGGGTCTTCTGTGTTAGATAAAAAGTTAGATTAGAAATATGTTCAGGGGGCAGAAAATATTTAGAGTACTTTGTAAAACATTACTTACAAGAAAAGTTTAAAACAGTTATACCGCGTGATGAAACCATGTTGATAATCTTTATATATTAAAATTATGTCGGAGAATTCACTCTTTCGGTTTAAAAAAATTACACAAATTGTAGGCTCCTTATATTTTGTAATTGCATTGTTTCGCCCCAGTCCGTGCTTCACTCGTACCGGGTTTGCTGAAAACCAGTGCTACAGGTTAGATTTTCTGCCCGTAGCTCAGAAGACCGTTTGCGTGCGCCACGACACGCATTTTTTTATCACTATATTTTTTTAAAATCATTATAAATTAAGTGTTTGACTCGTGCATTTCTACGCAATTTAATTTTTTGTGTTCACTTTTGTTGTATTGTATTTTAGTTTTGAAGTTTATAATATCAAGTGACGGGACGAACAAGTCGTGCGCTTTAAGGTAAACCATACGCCTGTCCATAACAGTTGCAGTGCCACTCAGAGCTGTAAATCGTAAACATATGAGGCAGTGTCCCACTGCCACTGTGGTCGTCAACCTGAGAGTTGACAGATCACATGTGCTTGTAATTTCACCAGCACCCTTACCCTTCAATACCGGGACACAGTAATGCTGACACATTACTGTTTGGCGGCAGAAATAGGTGAGGTGGCAGTGGACGACCTCTTTCACAAGGAGCGCTACTGCTACTAAAATGTAGTTTTAAGATCATGTGTGTCTCGGCGATTACGTAATAAAATAATTCTTATTCTAATTGCTTCAAATGTTCCTCATATGTAAACCGACTAATGTTATTTTATACCATCAGGGGCCGCGCTGTATTCTGGGACATAAAGAACCGGCTGCCTCGCTCGGTGACTACTATCCAATGGGAGAACAGCTTCGTCTCTGTTTACTCCAAGGACAACCCCAACCTGCTCTTCAATATGGCAGGTTTTGAATGCAGGATATTGCCTAAGGTATGCATCTTTACACAGCCTTTTATAGTTTTATTTATGTTGATAAGTTATTTAGTAAAAAAATACATGACATTGTAGGTGTGGTTATGTTACACTAGGCTTTTTCACGTCAGATATGAAAACCTAGACGCTTATCCTAGATGTATTGTCCACTTACCAAATAAAAAATAATAATTATATACGTTTATTTAAATGGTGGCCAAACATCGTGACATTCGGGGTAAACTTAAAAATTACAATTATTAAAGCGACATTTCTGATCAGCTGCTGGTAGCTGGTAAGGTGCCTAACTGAGTGAAGAAATAGATTTGTCACAGATGGCGCTACAGCAAAAGTCGTTCGTGTACTCTCACATCGTGTTTTCTCAATTGCATAATTTTTTAGTGACGACAGTGTTTGGTTTCACATGTAATATCATTTACCTGTTATCATCCTGAATGCAGCAATTCGCCTTATATAGCCGCTTTTCGGTACAAATAGGTTAAGCGATGGATCTACTCAAGCGGGCTTTATACAGACTGAAGCCTACCACTAGCATACGAATGCCTATCGGCTTCACCTACTGCTATGTATAGGCCTCCCATAGCACGTACCATCCACTCTGGGGGGTGTATTCCGAAACAATTACTGTCAAATAAGTAATACTACCGCCCACAATTTTATCGAAACTTTAATTTAACAGTGCCGAAGCCAACACGAGGAACTGTCCCATCGTGATGGGGTATGGAACCTGCAGAACGAAGTGACGAAAGAACGCACAGCGCAGTGCTACTTACGCGTCGACGACGAGTCTCTTGCTCGCTTCCACAACCGTGTCAGACAGATCCTCATGGCCTCTGGATCCACGACATTCACCAAGATTGTTAACAAGTGGAATACGGCTTTGATTGGTAAGTCATTTATTTCATAGTCCATAAGTTATTGTTCCAGTAATCACTGAAATATAAACACAAAAATGTTTTTTTTTTCACATCTCACGCTCATAGTTTTGTATATTCTTTGGGTTGTGGGAGTGAAGCAGAACTTTAGCTAGTTAAAGTATTTTTTCTTTACTTTTTAATATCATTTTTAAGACAGAAAAATTCCGTAGGATAATGACATAACTTAATTTATTTTTCTTTAATCACTAAAAACAAAATTCAATGGCGCGCTTGGCAGTTTTTATTGAAACATGTAAAAATGTTCTATAATCACTGTAGAATTAAAAAGTAAGGTGATTAACTCAGCAGAAATCCATTTAAACACGTATCATAATAATGTACTTTCAAAAATATAGTTTCTTTGCTTTTATGCACTAATAATAGTAATTTAAATAATCTTTACTTAATTAGTATTATAATAAAGATGAAAATTAATAATTAGGAATGAGTGCCGCTCAACTAAAAGCAAGTAAGATTCTTTTTGAATGCATTTTTTAAAAGTATTGATAATGATGAATCGCGTAGGGGTCCTGAAACCAGAGATTCTCTGTGCTCTGGAGGCGAACATCGATCGGGTACTTGCCGATCGCAAGATACCACGACGCTGCTCGTCTGAGAATACGCTTACTGATCCATAATAAGTATTCTATAAGAACCATTAATATAACTACTTTATGTAACACGCAATGTAATTTCCACAGGCTTAATGACTTACTTCAGAGAAGCAGTAGTCAACACTCAAGAGCTTCTAGATCTGTTGGTGAAATGCGAGAACAAGATTCAAACTCGTATTAAGATCGGTCTGAATTCGAAAATGCCTTCCCGTTTCCCACCCGTGGTGTTCTACACGCCGAAAGAACTTGGTGGACTTGGCATGCTTTCTATGGGCCATGTACTGATTCCACAGGTAAATAAACCATTGTTGTTGCATATTGTTAACTTACACTACATAAATCTATATATGTACCGATAATTAGATGCCTTTGAATAGCTTTGAAAATCAAAAAAAGTGCAAAGTGCGAGGCAAAAGTGTAAACCGAATTTAAATTACGATAAAAAAGTTGCAAGCACAGAACGGCTGTAGCGCATTGTGACGTCAAACTTAAATGGTGTAATGCAAGCTACATATCAATGATATTTTGCTAAAACTCACAACGCTTTTAAATAAATCTTGCGTTATACTCCGTCCCGTTCCCGTTCATATGGAGAAGAATCCGACGATTCATTGTAATAAACAATAAGAATTTGTTATAATTATTTATAATTTGTTTCATTTGACTATAATGTATTAGACAGGTACCAAAATTTATCAACTTGAATGATCTTCGTTACATAATCTCTTGACTCGATTAATATTGGCGCTAAACAGCATGTCGCTTCACTAAAATTACAAAATAAAAGAGTTCTTGCAATATTATATGCCTCGACTCGGAAAAGATGCAGTTTTCGATCAGGAGAGGCAATCAATACTTTGATGAGAAGCTTACTTTTAGGGACCATTATAATTTTCTAGTATCAAAAACTTGCAAAATGTTAGGATTTGTCACTAGAACTACTAAAGAATTTAAAAACCCCAAGACCCTCATTGCACTGTTTTAATACCTTAATTAGAAGCACTCTTGAGTATGCCTGTGTTGTATGGTCACCTTTCTACGAGGTTCACTCTAAACGTCTGGAAGGTGTACAGAACAGAGCTCTCAAAATAGTAAGTTACAGATCACACATGAGTCGCAAATTGTCGCGTTACGAAGAGAGGTTATCACATTTTAAGGTTATGTCCTTGAATTCCAGACTTAGGGTACAGTATCTTCTATATTTACATAAATTACTTCACGGCAGCCTTAAATCCTCAACTCTTCTGTCCCATATTAATTTTAACGTCAAGTGCAATCCACGACGCCTTCCTAGACCATTCGTATTGAATGTTTATACTAATAATACTTCTTTTTACAACCCTTTGCCGAGAATGTGTCGGGCCTACAATGCCTTATGGCTGATCCTGGCGATGATTTAGGGATGTATATATTTGATGGTAATATTAAAAGACTTCGCAATCGAATCCACAACCACCACGGTTTCTATCTTTCATAGTTGTAGTCATAGTAATTCTATTTTATTTAAGGTTACAGTTTTATTTATGCCTAAGTATTTTATATTAATTTACAAACAAATTATATTTTAAACAAAATTGTTTACTCATGATTGGTCATGCTGTATGTACATGTTTAGGTTTACATTCTAGAGTAGAACTAGTAGTAATGTTTAAGCTTTTGTTAACGAGTGAATGTAAACTGTTTTGTACATGTAATAAATAAATAAAATTAAATTTAAAAAAAATCAAAATCATGCCGCAGGAAGTATTGTATTGTTTTGTGTATAGTTGTATGTCAATAATTACGGAACTTTGGTGGCATGTGTCGGTCAAAGGTTAATAAATAGTTGGACGGAGTATGGTTGAAAAACTAATTTCGTAGTTGTTAAGGTGTATTGTTTGATGAATATAATATTTCAAATCAAATACTCAATACAATTTATGTCGGCCTGAGACGAAAGACTTCTTGGATAATGCCATCTTTTCCTCTGGAATTTACACTTGGTTATAGAAGAGGTAATAGAAGCTCGTCAGTATAGATGCCGAGGGAATAGGCTTACATAATATATCACCATTGACTTACAAAATCACAGACTATTTGTATTATTAGAGAAACAGAGGCAATGGACTACACGTCTAAAATACACAAATCCTGTTTGGCAAATTACTAAGAATACCTTTATCACCAGTAATAAGTAACGTTCTTTTCAGTCGGATCTTCGATGGTCGAAGCAAACGGACGTCGGTATCACTCACTTCCGCTCGGGTATGTCCCATGATGAGGATCAGCTGATCCCTAACTTGTACCGCTACATCCAGCCGTGGGAAGCCGAATTCGTCGACTCCCAGCGGGTATGGGCTGAGTACGCGCTTAAACGGCAGGAAGCCAATGCTCAGAACAGGTAAAGAAAGAAATGTATTAATAACACAAAAGAACTGTATGCAAACATGCTGAAAATAACTTTAAATCATAACGACCTAGAATATCGTCAAACAAAAGGTGATCACGCGGTCCCTCGTGTTTGTTTAAATACATTATATAAACGACGCGGTTCGAACTCGAGATCCTTTTGTTTCTGAAATACAAACGTTTGATATAATTGAGCAGAAGCAGCTGTTCATGCTTACTATATGGGCAAAACTTATAAACAATGATGAATCGCGTAGGGGTCCTGAAACCAGAGAATTTATGTGCTCTGGAGGCGGGTTGTAATCATGGACTTGCCGATCGCATGATACCACGATGCTGCCCGTTTGAGAATACGCTAGCTGATTTTTATTACACCTATACACAAGTCTAAAAAAGCTGTTTTGAAACCTAAATACTTTATACGTTTGTTATAGGCGCCTGACTTTGGAAGACTTGGAAGATTCATGGGATAGAGGCATTCCCAGGATTAATACGCTGTTCCAAAAAGATAGACACACACTCGCATATGACAAGGGATGGCGTATTCGTACTGAATTCAAACAGTATCAGGTATGAGAGCTTTTCAAGGCTGTTGATTAGGTCTATTGAAAAATAGTCTTGTGTTCCGTCCACAGAATGAACTAGTGTTACTACAGTAACTGTTAGGTTAATGTTATGTACGATTACATAATTGTCATTTTTTTATATAATAACAAGTCACGGGACGAACAAGTCCTGCACCTGATGGTAAGCTACACGCCTGTCCATAACAGTTGTAGTGCCACACAGAGCTTAAATCGCAAAGATCTAAGGGACACTGCACTGCGCCCGTCAATCTGAGACATAAGTTGACAGGGGCCTGTAATTTCACTATTATTACGGATAATAGCAGTAACAAATACGACAAATTCTTCTTACGCGATACATGCTATAAAAAAAGATGGCCGTTTTAGAGCATTTTATAAATTCACGCTAAGAACAAACTCATGTTCAAGATTCTACCCCTTCCGCTTGCTGTATACCAGTCTAGGTGGTTGATGAAAAACGGCCGAAGTTACGGCTAAATAAATTCTGTATTTATCTTTCATTACTTCCTCTAGGTGCTGAAACAGAACCCGTTCTGGTGGACCCACCAACGCCACGACGGCAAGCTGTGGAACTTGAACAACTATCGTACAGATATGATACAAGCGCTCGGTGGAGTTGAGGGTATTCTCGAGCATACACTTTTCAAGGGCACTTACTTCCCCACTTGGGAAGGTCTCTTCTGGTAATTAGATTTCATTTTTACTTAATAATATTGAGGGAGTGAATATGTTTGTTTCTTTGCTAATTTTGAAAACCTACACAGGGAGAAAGCCTCCGGTTTCGAAGAGTCGATGAAGTACAAAAAGCTGACGAACGCGCAGCGATCCGGTTTGAACCAGATCCCAAACCGTCGTTTTACTTTGTGGTGGTCACCCACTATCAACAGGGCTAACGTCTACGTCGGTTTCCAGGTAAATTTAATTATGTATTCTTTTGTAATCGGGGTACTGACCCCGATTCAGAACTCTTCGATATCCTAACCGAATCGTTCGATTGGAAAGCATTCTCGAATCGAAGAGCGCTTTCCGAGCTATTCAGAACATTCGAGTTAAAACGTTCGATTCGGATTCGGATACGATATCGTTATCCAACAGCGTTTACGGAGTTAGTCGGTGAAATAGATTATAAGAGAGTTGAAAATTCTTACATTTTTATGACTTTAGAGGCCTAAAATATAGGAATGAATTAGTCTCGCATTAAAATAAATTAATAAATTTTAACAAAATCCAGATTTTATTCAAAATAATAAAAGATTTCCTTATTAAATTCTTTCTTTATAAACATTCGGACGTTCGGTAACTTTTGTTCGATAACTGTATTCTGAATAACATCTGTAGCCTTTGCCGATCGAGAACTACGAGTAATCGTACGGGTGTGACGTCATTTCGGTTCGGTTTCGAATACGACGGTTTGACGTTCGATTCGGTTATTGTGAATAAAAATGAAAAGAAATCGTACGATATCTAATCCAATCGGTCGACAACAGAGTTATCGTAAGGTTCTGAATCGACCTGCAGGTGATTTTATTATACAGTATAAAATTGCTACAATGCTATTTTAGGTTTACAAAAAAATAACGAGAATTTCTTACCTCAGAACCGCATTCAACTTAAGCGGAATAAATAAGTGTTACATAAGGGACCACATCAAACCTGATGAAACCGTGACTTTAGTATTTAAAAAACATGCTATAGTTTTGGCTTAATGTAGGAGAACGATTGAAAAAAGAATAAGAACAACAACAAAAATATCGACAAATAAAAAGCTTTTTTGTACTAGGTGCAACTGGATCTGACAGGCATCTTCATGCACGGCAAGATTCCCACGCTGAAAATCTCGCTCATTCAAATCTTCAGGGCTCACTTGTGGCAGAAAGTCCACGAATCCATTGTCATGGACTTGTGTCAGGTACGTTTGTAATAAATAATACTTTACCCCTATTGTAAATTGCTCATGGCTAAGATTTTGAATTTATTATAGACCTACTTTCTTACATAAAAAAGTTTAAGAAGTTTGTGTCGACACGGAAGGGTTATGAGCGAAAATGAATCAATGAAAGCTATCCTCGCGACCTAAGCAAATCTATTATAGATTTCGGAGACGGGAGTTCAACCTAAACTGGTAGACTTATGCTCGAACAAATACGCACTGTTGTGGCCGCTATTGCCGTTTGACAACGCTTTTGTCTACTTATAGGTATTCGATCAAGAACTGGACGCTCTAGAGATAGAGACAGTGCAAAAGGAGACTATACATCCTCGAAAGTCGTATAAGATGAACTCCTCGTGCGCAGACATTCTGCTCTTCTCCGCTTACAAGTGGAACGTATCCAGGCCTTCGCTGCTCGCTGACACCAAGTGAGTTGATATTTATATGACTGAGTATGTTCCTATTTTTGGTATATTGTTAACCAATGTACAATTTTTTTGTAACTTGGTTGACAGATTAAAAATGCATACCCAATGTAAAAATTGGACATGTCACATACTATATGAAATGGACTACAAGTTCAGCTTTAATTCCCTGTATCAATTTGATCATTAACCCCGTTTTACTAAGCTTCAAGTTATTCAAAAGAATCAAAACAATATAACTTTTACAGAGACACAATGGACAACACAACCACGCAGAAGTACTGGCTTGACATTCAATTACGTTGGGGCGACTACGACTCCCACGACATCGAGCGCTACGCCCGCGCCAAGTTCCTCGACTACACCACTGACAACATGTCCATATACCCCTCACCTACTGGATTGCTTATTGCCATCGATCTAGCGTACAATTTGCACAGGTTCGTAAGCTATCGCAGGTTCTGTTTTGCTTTTCATGTCAGTAAATTGTTTAGTAAAAGTATTTTACATGTTACTAATAATCTATGTTTGTATTAAACTGCCCATTCACTACCAGCATGGCAGTCAGCCGCGTAGGCAGGAGACTGACTACTCACACACTATCCTGCGGCCAACGTATAGTCTCGCAGGACGCATTGCAGGATGGACTGCACGCTGAGACTACATTCATAATCCTGCATTACGCTGCGGACTGTATTGCAGGATAATCAATATCCCCTTTTAGAGATTTTGATACATTATCCTTCACTTGATGTTGTGGGAGCTTAAAATCTTGCCATTTCTTATAGTTACACTCTTTCAGCGCATACGGCAACTGGTTCCCGGGCTGCAAGCCATTGATCCAGCAGGCCATGGCAAAAATCATGAAGGCCAACCCCGCGTTGTACGTGCTGCGCGAGCGCATCCGCAAAGCGCTGCAGCTTTACTCCAGCGAACCCACAGAACCCTACCTCAGCAGCCAGAACTACGGCGAGCTATTCTCCAATCAGATTATCTGGTAAGTCTCTTGTATTGTCAATACACTTTGAATTGTCATTTACAGACCCATTTCACAGTATACAGGTTGAGCTAAATAAAAGTGCAGCTAATATAATTTCTATCTGTGTACATATCTAAGTACATTACCAACAGCTAAAGCTATTATGAATGACCTGTTACTTTAATGTCTTAACGCAACCCCTTTTCTATCCGTAAATATTAGGATGCTATTCTGTCCGGAGATGTTTTCCCCAGGCTTAGCATATATTTCTGTATTTTGACCAATCTTGGTTAACTCTAAAAAAGCCAATATTTATTAATTTTCTAATGCAACATGTAGGTTCGTGGACGACACAAACGTGTACCGCGTGACCATCCACAAGACTTTCGAGGGCAACTTGACGACGAAGCCGATCAACGGCGCCATCTTCATCTTCAACCCACGCACGGGACAACTGTTCCTCAAGATCATCCACACCAGCGTGTGGGCCGGTCAAAAGCGTCTAGGACAGGCGAGTTCTTTTACAATTTTTTTTATTATTAATACAAATTCGAGAAACTGGAAAACAACAATAAATCAGCTAACTGCTTGTAACTTGGAACAAAGTCAACATAGAAACATAAACATTTGCTAAAGAAACTTACACACATATTGGAAAATGGCAATAATTAGATGGATGATAGATAGATAGAGAGATATTAAATAGCAGCTGTAGTTAATATAATTATATATAATTTCTTCTTTCTTTGCAGCTCGCGAAATGGAAGACTGCAGAAGAAGTGGCTGCATTGATTCGGTCACTGCCCGTTGAAGAACAGCCCAAGCAGATCATTGTCACTAGAAAGGGAATGTTGGACCCGCTTGAGGTGAGACTGGAAACTAATATACAAACATGCTACTAAAATGTAATCTTAAACTGATGGACGCTGTTAACTTGGTATAATTAATTTCAAAGGAACACTGGTTTTTTTTAAATGCTCCCTCATTACGTTTTTCCACTTTTCATGGTGTGAAGTGACTTGCTTCTGTGACCACCGGTTTTCGTTTCGGGTCTATTCGCCTTGCTGGAGCTCTCCACTTGGCGCGTTTACTCTCCATTTTGCCTAAGCTTTTTAAAGCTATATTTTGAAAGAAGTGATTATGAAAAATAATACTCTAGTTAGTTCTTTGACTAAATTTTCAAAAAACCCTAGAATGAAAAATTGTTGCATAATATGCCACTATAACGAGTAAGTTCTCGTATACGAATATACTGGTGATATATACGTAATCCTATAATTAATTCCCCAGGTGCACTTGTTGGACTTCCCGAACATCGTGATCAAAGGCTCGGAACTGCAGTTACCATTCCAGGCGTGCCTCAAGGTGGAGAAGTTCGGCGACCTCATTCTGAAAGCAACAGAACCCCAAATGGTGTTATTCAACTTGTACGATGATTGGTTGAAGACTATCTCGTCTTACACTGTACGTATGCCTATAGAAAATTATAGTTAAATGATGCGTAAAGTTAAAGCTTAAGATTTAGCGATCTTAATGATACAACTACTTTGAAGTGTATATTCCGTGATACTGGCATATAGGAATATCATTATAACAATAAAGTATCCCTTCAATTATGAAGATGCCATTATTTTATATATTTTATTGTCATTAGTTGATGGCAGCCATAGGGATTTTGTGCGATATCTATTACATAACTAGAAGTATGCTTCTATATGGGTTCATAATATGGGTTGGGCCTCTTTGGAACCGAAAGTCGCACAGTAAACATATCTAACACTTATTCCAGGCGTTCAGTCGTCTCATCCTTATTCTGCGTGCGCTCCACGTAAATACAGAGCGGACCAAGGTTCTTCTCAAGCCTGACAAAACAACATTGACTGAACCGCATCACATCTGGCCTACTCTGTCCGATGACGACTGGATCAAAGTGGAAGTTCAATTGAAAGACTTGATACTTGCTGATTACGGCAAGAAGAACAAGTAAGTCTCATTAACTTATGAGAGAATTTAAAATAAGTCTATTTTTTCAAACAATCATAATTATTATAGCCAATAAACATGTATGTGTATTTTTTATATTTGTGCATACGTTATTGACGTTACTGCAATTATTCGTGTATTAAATAATGTAATCCTTTCATTTCCAAACACTAGGCAAAGTCTCAATGTGTTTTTTTTCTAGTTAAGTAACACCTACTCACTTTTTCAGTGTAAACGTAGCGTCACTGACCCAATCGGAAATCCGAGACATTATTCTGGGTATGGAGATCTCGGCGCCATCAGCACAACGTCAACAAATCGCAGAGATCGAGAAGCAAAGCAAGGAACAAAGTCAACTCACTGCCACAACCACCCGAACGGTTAACAAACACGGAGATGAGATTATCACTTCCACTACCAGTAACTACGAGTCTCAGACGTTCAGGTGCGTAAAGCAATTGTTTTCTTTAATAACGTAAATCCGGTGCTGGTCATGGAGACATAGGATCTACTGTATTGCGTTAGCTGTCCCTGTGTTTTGCTTTACGATAGACAAGGCTGTTATACCCAAGCGGGTTCTGCTCACCCAGAAGCCCTAGTCAATAATGAAGGAAAACATCGTGATGAAATTGCACGTCGATGTAGGTTCACAATCCTTTTTCAAACGTCTGAAGTCCCCAACGTGCAAGGCCGGACTATGGCTTAAACCCTAGAAGGGCCATGTTTAACACTGCAACATATAATGAGTGGGCAATGATTTCAAGTTTTTTATCTAATATGTTTGCGAATTGCGAAACTCACCCAGTGAAGAAAATTATTATAACCTTTGATGCAGTATTTATTGAAAATACGCTCTTACATATAAATAGTTATCTTCAGGCAGATTGGAAGACAGGCGATGTTTGTAGCAATTTACCGGATCTTTGGAGTCTATATCGAAGCTGCTTAATAAATAATAGTGTAGAAAGAGGAGAGAATTTTGTTTAAGCTATTATTGTCTATTTCTTCTAGTTCAAAGACGGAATGGCGCGTAAGAGCTATCTCCGCGACGAATCTACACTTGCGAACTAACCACATTTACGTGAGCTCTGATGATATCAAGGAGAGTGGTTACACTTACATCCTGCCAAAGAATTTGCTCAAGAAATTCGTGACAATATCGGATCTTCGGTCGCAGGTAAGAGATGTTACTGCTAGATGTATTATTTAATCATTTTTATAAATAAACATTAATTTTCGTTTACACGTTATGTACCCTGTATAATTTTAAGTAAGTATTAAATTCAAAATATGTCAGGTAAAACTATGTATATTAATGTTTAGTTTCAGTGTAATAGTTACTGAAAAAAGTGCTTTTGGCAGAGGTATTATTAAAGTAATGGTAGTAAAATTATCAATTTTTTTATGTAGATCGCGTGCTACTTATACGGCACGTCGCCCGCGGACAACCCGATGGTCCGCGAGGTACACTGTGCGGTTCTACCGCCGCAGTGGGGCACGCACCAGCAGGTGCACCTGCCACGGCAGCTGCCTAAGCACCCCGCGCTCGCGCACCTACAGCCACTCGGCTGGATGCACACGCAGCCTAACGAGCTGCCGCAGCTCTCGCCGCAGGTAATTAATTACTTTACTGTTAAAATTTACATGAACAAAGTGAAATAATCTTCCACGCGAAAAATGGAACACCATCCTTTCAAGACCAATTGGTTCTAATGATTACACTAATTGTTACGGTGTTGATTTTTATTCGAATATCTATTTTCTTATCAGGATATTACAACACACGCAAAAGTCATGGCCGAGAATCCAACCTGGGACGGCGAGAAGACAATCATCATTACGTGCTCATTCACACCAGGGTCATGCTCCCTCACCGCGTACAAACTTACACCTAGCGGCTACGAATGGGGTTCGCGTAATACGGACCGTGGAAATAACCCTAAAGGCTATTTGCCCAGTCATTATGAAAGAGTGCAAATGTTACTATCTGATCGTTTCCTGGGATACTTCATGGTTCCATCACAGGGCAGTTGGAATTACAACTTTATGGGTAAGTTTCAATTCAATCGTTTTATTTCAGAGGCTTGTCTTCTGACTTCGTTACGTATAGTATTATTACATCTATGATATATTAGCTCTTGTAAAACGAACTTTGTCTAAGTAACAAATTACGAAGTAAATTCAAAGTTTAATTTACTTTGTTAAACTTGGGCAAAATTCGTTAAGTACATACGAAAAACTTAGTCGGCGACGTCTTTGCTCAGTCGAAGTTAGATTGTTTTATAAATCTCAGCAATAGTACATAACAGTTGCAAAAGCAGTGTGATTGGTAAGACATTCTAGTCTCCTTTGATTTTAAATCAGCAAATCACTATAATTATGCTATAATTTTCTCAGGTGTACGCCACGATCCGAACATGAAGTATGGCGTACAATTGGGCAATCCACGCGAATTTTACCATGAAGTTCATCGACCGGCGCATTTCATGAATTTTGCAGCCATGGAGGACGCCACAGCGCCGACTTTGGCCGCCGACAGAGAAGACTTCTTTGCTTAAAGCTGTGCTAGTAGATAAGGTGAATATAATATTTTATGCATAAGTTTGAATTGAATTGTATATAAGACTTAATAAAAGTTTTAATAAATTCAAGAAGTGCATTTTTATTTAGTTGCAAATTTTTTACAAAGCAGGGATGTTACAACATTTGGATTGTCTTCGAACTTTGCACATCGAATGATTTTGTAATCAAATACACGTCGCGTGTAATTATGTTTTAATCTCTAAAATCCATAGGCGGAGTTAAAATAATACTACCAATACTAATTTGTCTAGCTAGATCCTCATTAATCTCATTCACAGTTTCTCGTACCAGCTCTTCATCAATTGACGTATCGTCAATGGTCTTATCCATATTCGATTCTTCGACTGACCCTAAGAATTGAGTCAGCGCCTCGGCTATGTCAGATTCGCTGCTGACGTCAATCAAATCTATATCATTTTCTTCATCAGGATTTGAATTATCATTACCATTTATATTAGATATGTTTTTATTGCAATCATTTGCGAATGATTTTGCTTCGATATTTCTTGTTTCTATACTGATACATGCTATATCATTATTCGAAATATTGTTTGAGCTATCTTTATCATCTTGTGTCTCATTTATCAAATCGTCATTATCAATGTTCATGACAGATGTTAAAAGTTCGTTGGAAGATTTTACCGACGTATAATTTCTTTCGTTTGTGTGCCCGTTTCCGGCATCGTCTGCAGATGTACTATAAACAACTTTTGATCTCAGATTTTTATTCTTGTCCGTATTCGATCTTATTTCTTCAGGTGATTGAGCGCTGAACGTGTTATGTCCATTTAAATTATCACTATCAACATCAGAGGCATTGCATATTATAACAGGCTTTACTCGAGGTGGCGTTCTTAAAGCACTACTTCTTTGTATTTGCTCGTAAAAAGAAATATTTGTGTTAGAGCATTCAATTTTATTTTGTTTGGTCAGAGAGGTTTGTCTCCTTGAATTGTCATCTGAATAATTAGCACTACTATCAATTCTTATGTTACTTCTGTCTCTTTGCCTTATTCTTTCTATTAATTGCGAATGTTCTTCTTTGAACTTTCTTATTATTTTTTTCACATTGCCTGAATTCGGATGTTTTCTATATTCTTGTCTCAATTCAGCGTTTAATTTATAAAGGAGAGCTTCATCGTTACTTTGAGGTGTATCGATTTCTTGCGGCTGATACATGCAATACATTATAGTACTTTGTAATAAAATTAGTATTATTTCTGAAGACTACCAAGATTTCGTTAACGATTAAATAGATTGAAATTTAAGCCGAAGATATCAATGTTACTGAGGTCAACAACCATTTTGTATAGAAGGAACATAAATATATGTTCAAGTTAGTTTTTGTCTTGTTTATTATGGAAAAATGTAACCATATTGACGTTTTTCAAAATATTATTGACCTGCCAGTTGAGATCCGAAAAATTATCGCTAGGTCGGTTATTGTATTGCTTATCTTGTATCCATCATTTGTTTTCAGCGTGAACAAAATAAAAATACGAACGAAGATAGGATCTGGCGTCAATCGACATTGCTCTGGTGACCTAAGAAACTCCGCGGAACCAAAATAAACAAAAAACTCGATTAGATTATATGACACATGATGACTTCCAATGACTTTATATCACACTTAGTTACAATTTGTACTCAAGTATCACGTGGCATTTATTTAGTGCACAATGCACTATCAGGCAGCTACAAAACTTATCTCGCATTACATTTTGCGTATAAGGCTTATTGTAGATTGCCGTGAACGGAATTAAAGCGAATTTTCGTAACGAAATTGTACATAGCATAATAAACTGTGTAACGTATATACTAATACTAACTAGATACGAGCCAAACATCAGGTCGTGGGTGTTCCGGAGAATAATGTTGCATTTAAAGTGCTTTTCCACCGGCGAGGAGAGACGAGACGAGGCGATGCGAGAATTGAAATCTCGCCGACCTATTTCCACCAAAAATTGCCATCGCGAGCTCGCGCGATCACGCGCTGGCTCGTGCGAGTACTCGCGAGCTTGCGCTATGGTTATGGATAGTGAAGACACAGTGCTGTTCAATTCGTCTAGCGAATAAACACGCAGCTAAAGTACCATGTCCCGCAAATTCTTATTATTAAATATGTTAACGGAAGAAGAATCAGATGAAGATACTGTAAGAAGAAATAATCATGTTGTAATAAGCTGTTTGTACACTCTAAGATAAAATAAATAAATAAAAATAAAAAGAACTTTTTCGAAAATAACTTGTATTTATAATCTTTTATCCCATTTATTACGAATTAGCAAAATACACATAAAAAGTTTACAACTGGCGCTGGTGTGTTTACATTATATTGCAACTATATTGTGTATATATATTTTTGAAAACGATGCAATGTTTTAAAAGTTGTTACATAATTATGGTAAAATCACAATCTAATTGTGTATATTTGAATGCAATTATAAATATTGTTAGGACCGTCTCTGCAAGAGCTACCAACCGACCGTCATAGCTGCCAAATGTCAGCGACGAATTCTATATAATTCGTTGTAAACCAAGCTAATGGCTTTTTTGCTTTTTGCTAGTGTGCTCTCGACGCGTTTACCTCTCGTTGATTTGTATTGCGGCCCGTGCTTTTCAAATTTGAACATTAGATTTTGTAACCGATTTTTATTTCATTAAAATTATTTTTAAATTGTAGTCGTTTTTATGATTTCTGGTATAGATTTCGAATAATGTATAATATGCATTGTGTAAATATTTATGAAAATGGTATGGATACATGGAGACATGTATGACACCGGGACTATATGTATATTTTTCATTGACTAGTTTGTTTATTTTTCTCTGAAATAAAAGTATACCTTTTTTAAAATAGTGTAGTGATTACATATTTTTGAAAACAGCACAAAGTACATTTTTTGAAATATCTAATATTTACATAATTTCGGAAACTATCCCATAATCTCGCGATGACAATAATAGCCACCGCGAGCACGCGCGATATCGTACGAGACGTCGTGAATCGTATTTCCGTTGCAGAGTTAATAACTCTACATAGACTCTCTATGTAGGCAGCAATACGGTTCAATGTTACATCAACAAATATTACAAATCTCGTCTCGCCCATCCTCGTCAATCCCGACCATTCCCACCTCGAAGATGCACTAGATAGAGAATTGATATTTTGCCATACAAGTTTTAAAAATCATCTCGACTCGTCTCGTCTCGCCTCGCCGGTGGAAATACACCCTTACATCAGGTCGACGCGTTACCCGTCGCGACGGGCAAATGTCGCTTGCCCGCCAAAGGGGGCAAACCACCCGGGGTATGTTGTGAGTCGTCTGACGTCGTAGTGGTCCGAAGCAACTAGATGTAAACGCTATGGGCGACACGGTCGCCTTCGGCAAGCGACAGCCGACCAAACAGATTTCAACGTATACGCGGCCGCGCCCCACCGCGATAAGAATTTTTTTATAATATCAAGTGACGAGACGAACAAGTTGTGCGCCTGATGGTAAGCCACACGCCTGTCCATTACAGTTGCAGTGCCACTCAGAGCTTTAAATCGCAAAGATCTGAGGGGCACTACCACTGCGCCCGTCACCTTAAGACCTAAGTTGACAAGTCCCATGTGCCTGTAATTTCACCACCACCAGATTACTGCTTGGCGGCAGAAATAGGTAAGGTGGCAGTACTTCCCTAGACGAACTCTTTCACAAGGAGCTCTACTGCTAGTGAAGTTGGCAGATGGCTTTAGGCAAGGCGAAGTAATTGCCGAAAGGGGCAGGCGACTGAATGTAAATGCGCCATTACCGCGCTTCTCGAGGATTCCCGCAACTACTGTCGAGGGCGTCCAGCAAATCTGCGGTTGTATTGTAAAGAGACGCGCAGTGCGACATCAAAAATCTTACACACGAAACAGGTGTACAGTACATTGACTTACTACACAGAAGTGAATGTATAATATTTGCAAAACGTTTGATATTGGCCAAAAAGTTTCGTTTCTTTCATAAAAATCCAAATATCTCTTTTAGTTTTTTGTTCTTCTTTCTTTTATCTTCTACTTCACAAATAAATAAAATAACAATATCCACCATTCTAATCATGTAAAAGATCTAGACTAAACAAGTGAACCATATTTAACAGCCTCAACGCGCAGTTGCGACAATTCGCGAGCTTTCTGGCGAAACGCACGTCATCGCCTGCAACGAGGCTAAATTGAAGCTTCCGTTCTGCGGCAATGTATATTGAGCCTAATTACAATTCCCCGTAACAATCAACATTTAATTTTGTAATTAGGTGTTGCCTATAAATAAGGATTCGTAATTAATAACGGTCAAGTGGTCAAGAAGACCAATACGTATGTAGGTATCGTGCCTTCTCAGGTTCGTGTTTCACAAAGTTTTGAGATGTTATTTTTATCCGAAATGGCATTGTGGATTAATTTTCAAAAACTCCCATCTTTCGATTATAAGCTTTATGCCCGTGGAAAGAAGTTTATCATCTTGGCCAAATGTTTTTGTTTATTTTGAGGATATAACTAATAATAAGTACGTAATCCACAAACCTTCTTAGTCTGTGATATGAGTTCAGCAAGTTCCATAGCCAATTTGACAGTGTTTTCAGGAAGATTCGTTTTAGCGGCGAGTGCCAAGCCGTAACGCTCTACCTTAGTAGTTCCAGGTTCAATTTTGTGTTGGTACACCAAACGTTCTTGCGGATTTGAGTTGCTTTGCGTGTCTGCTATTTCTTCTTCTGTTACTACTGTATGCCGACTGGACAAATATATGGGGTAAAATAACACAGCAGGAAATTGATGTTAGAACTTTAAATATTACTATACATTACTTTGACAGTGTAATATTTTTATAACTGCCAAATAACATACGTAAGGCTGCTAACAGATTGACTGCATGTTTGCAGTTAAAGCGTGAAGTCGTCAGCAACAACGAAGTCTCGGCTGCATGAAGTTTTTTTTTTAATAACGCGCACACACTCATAGCCCCGCACTAGGGAAACCCTGTATCGTGGGTGTCATGGACACACGCTATGAACACCATAAATTACACTTAAACTCACAAGAGAAATAAATGTAGGCCCTACAAATATTCCTCCCGGCCCGGGAGTCGAACCTGGGACCTCTGCGTGACAGGCCAGCATGGTAACCGTTCGGCCACGGAGGCAGTTGAAAACGACTTCACGCATTAATTGCATGCAGTCGATCTCGGCTGCATGAAGTCGGTTTCGACTGCATGCAGTTAATGCGTAAAGTCGTTATCCGAAACCTCGACTGCATGAAGGTTATCAACTGCATGAAGTCGTGGTCTCGGCCGCATGAACTTGATTACGACTTCACGCATTAATTGCAAACATGCAGTCAAACTGCCTGCAGCCTAAGATTTACATTCAACGACACTTACGAAGACTATTGAGACATAGTATAAAGAGAGTAGTGCAACTTTTGCCTGTTGAGCGCGTCCTACATGTCGCTCGGAGCATAGGGTTGTCACATTATTATTTTACAGGTTGTAACAAAACAATTTGAAAAAATCATTTTCGTGTTATAATGAAAAAGCCTTTGTCAAATACAGTACTTAATTATTGACATTTTTATATCAGCATCGTTAATGTATCTCTATTAAGGGAGTATGATCGTAAAATAAAATTTAAATGTGAGTATGTAAATTTATAAATAAAAATAATATAAATTTGACACATTTTGAACGTCAAGCAAACGCTCCCATTCCATTTTTTTTACAATATCAAGTGACGGGGCAAACAACTCGTTCGCCTGGTGCTCGCCTATCCATAGCAGTTACAGTGCCACTCAGAGCTTTAAATCGCAAAGACCTTAGGAATACTGTTACTGCGCCCATCATCCTGAGCCATAAGTTGAAAAGTTCCATGTGCCTGTAATTGCACCAGCACCCTTACCCTTCAAAACCGGACCGCATTTATGCTCATATTACTGCTTAGCGGCAGATTTCTGCCTACATATTTATAGATACAAGAATGGGAGTCAACACCTTTAGTTTCTATAGCATCATCAAACCTTAGCAGTCCTGTAACTAAGCCTTTACCAAGAAGACAGTTCAGCCTATAGTCTTCTGAGCTGACCCTATTCGAATGTCGTACTCACAATACACGTCTTCCGATGCAGTTTCATCGCGTGGTTTTTCTTCACCATTAACGCATTAGAAGACAAAAATCTCTGTTATAAACCCGCGGTGGGAATCGTATCTATGATTTTTATAGCAAGAAAGAAAGAAAATACATTTATTTGTTTACCACAATGACACCACAAAAGACAAAAAAGTGGAAACGAAACAAAACAGAACTAAAACAAAACATGATCAAAACATTCAACGTAAAACATAAATAAATAATTACGAAACAAAAACACGAAAGAAAAATGTATATACAAAAATTTGAATAAATTAAAACACGAACTATTCACACAAATAATAAAAAGAACACTAAATATTGAGATACTTTGTGTGGTGCCAGCCGCGGTAACAAAAGGATCACAAACTCAGTATTTGCTGGAAAACGCAATGCGTTTCCAGCACGATTTTCAGTTAAGGACCCTAAGTGAGGATGGGAACAACATACGCAAGCATACTTGAGTACTTGAATATAACATTAAAATTATTGTATATATGTACATATTAAACTGTAACAGATGTGTGTGGGTGTGTGTATGTTTAAATACTTCCAAATAATTGTATGTATACGTATGAAAATACATCAAAATAATTAATACACATACACTGTAAGATTGATAGACTCTATGATTTATATAAGAGTCATGTACTGTCTCAACTAGTTTATTACTGCTTCCCAATAACTTACTTGACAACGTTAAAATACAAATCCTGCAGTCTAGTTAAATATATGAAATGCGTCGTGAAGAAAGTGAACGCCTCAGTCAACAGCAACTCTTCGCAAATCGACCAAGCCATGCTGGTGCCTTCTTCTGCACACGTTCCCCTAAAAAGTTGCTTTTATAAACCGTATCAATGTCTATACAGTCCAGTCTAGGACATTGGCCTATTCTAATGGCGTATTTACACTAGGTCGACAGTTCGCCTTCGCATACCCGCCGAAGGCTGCAACCTACCCAATTACGTCGTTTGACGACCGTAGATCGGTACCGAAGTCGATTGAGTCGAGTAGGTGCCTTCGTTTGACCGCCGAAGGCGACATGCTATCGAGCTAAATACTGAGTTGCCTGACGACCATAGATTGCAGTCAAAGTCGACCGAGTCGATTAGGTGCAAATGCTACGGCAAGCGACTGTCGACCAAACAAGTTTTCATCGTGTCTGCGGTCGCTCCCCCACGATGCGCGTTCTGGGAGCCAAAGAATATCTACCTAACCCATTAGTTGTTGAATGTTTCTAACGATTTGTTGTCTTTGTGCGTAAACTTGTATTTCTAACGACTTGGTGATTTCGGCGAAGGCGGCAGTCAACTCGGTGTAAACAACACGTCGACTGCATCGCCTTCGTCAGCCGAATTCGCTTGCCGGAAAGGCGGGGCATTCGAGTCTGTGTAAATGGTGAGTCACCTGCGCTTCTTACGGCAAGGCGAAGTGGTCTGCCGAAGGCGGGAGTCGACCCTGTGTAGACACGCCGTAATAGTCCGGTTCCACGATTATTTATTTAAGTACTTTTATTTACTTGGGAACGTACAGCTATTTTTACACGTGCCTTAACACGTGCTAATGACAAGTTTTATTTATTTGACTTGCGCAAGATTATACTAGTTTTTTATTTTGTGCGTGTGTTTTTGAACACGTGCTCATGCATGTGCCTTTTACGGGTGACCGATTACCTTCAAATTCCTTATGAGTTACTTTGAATGACTTCAGTAATCCTAACGAATAATCTATTGTAGTGATTCATCGCGGTTTATTCACTACCGGAGTAAACAAAGGTGGAACGCAGCGAATTTTGACCAAATCCTAGTACGAGCATTTAATCGTTAATGTATTTTGGTTTATTATATCAAATTTGCACGTTTCGCATCTCAATATTTTTCCGAGCGTGCATGAAAAGTTTCGGAATTGTTTTCCTTTCTTTGATCGAAAAAACTGTTTGGTGATTATCACTAGTATCAGGTTTCTTACCACGGTATGACTTCGTTTTATTTTCCCGATATTTCGGAACGGTTGCACGCTCCATGGTCACTGGTTGACTAATAACCGTGACAATCATTTAGTGAATAACCACGAAAGTCTTAAAATCTATATAAACTGTTTGGTATTTGAATTGACTATTAAAAACACTAACCTGCAGAGTTCGTCGATAATTACGAGACTTGAAGATGTCAATCCCGTCATTATGTGTTGCATTTCTTTCATCTGAAGCAAATCTATTAATATTCCACAAAGCCAAGCCATTAATGGCGTCGTGTAAATAGAGACAATCCATTATGTAGTGTTTCTAGACCATACACTAAATTAGAACGACTACTAATTTCCGTACCACACGTGCATTGAATTCGCTCACTCTCGCCTTGTGTGAACGTGCATCCCGAACCACTCCACTAGTTTGCCTTTACTAAATAAACAATCATGAAACTTATTGTAATACTGGCTGTAGTGTGGATGGATGTTGCGAATTTGTCCCGGCCCGGGAATCGAACCTGGGACTTCTGCGTGGCAGTCCGGTAACGGGTACCCCGTTTAATCTTATTAGAAATGAATTTAAAAAAAATATGTTAATATAAAAAACAATAGCACCATTGTCGGCAACTGGCGCCTCCACCTTACAAACCAAAAAGTACATTTTGAAAATTCAAAAGTACCTACTTAGCTCTAAGTTAGTTCTCAGCTCTTACCTCAAAAACGTAAGTAGAAGCATTAAGTTCAACACTGTCGTTGAAACCAATTCTAGAAAATATTCGGTCACATAATCGAAGTACCGCATTAGTTGCAGGTAGATAGCAACCAAGCTGCAAAATTGGTTAAACAATTGATTATCTTTGTCGCTCATTAACTTTGTAAAAAAAGGTCTTTGTTTTATTTCTGATTACTCTGTTATTAATTCGTCATGCGTCACAGAAACACACGGTGTCCCTAAGGATTTTGCTAGTTTGGTAAAAAAAAAATTTGTTACAAAAAATTAATTATCTTTATTTTCAGACAGCTTATTGGTCCACAAGATTGTTAGGAAACAAAAACCTTAATAACTACGTTAGCACGAAAATATAATAACAGCTACACAACGTACAATAACGTTGGGTCGGTTACCGAGACGCACGTGTTGCGTGCAGCTCGTTGAACCTGCCGTGTACAACACTGTCCAGCCTTCCCGCGACAACTTGTAGGAAGGAGTCTATTGGCGCTTCCCTCACTCAAATATTTTTTTAATGGTGGGTGAAAACGCGGCTGTTTGGTAGAGAGAGACACAGTGTAGCTTTAAGCTATAGTACCAAATTGTAAGGGACACCTTGGGCCTGCCACAACCTCTTAAAACAATATTACTTTAACCCTACATTGACTTTTCGTACCATAACGCGCTTAAAGTAAGCTTATTTGTAATGTTAAAACTATGATGTTTTATTGGCAGCTTTGTGACTATTCATTTGTACCATGACGCGACTTTCATATTAAAGTAATATTGCTCTTATGTCAAATTTAGCAATCTTAAAATAGTTACACGGATGCAATGGAAACAATACTATTTTCAGTTTTATTGTTTTAATATTGATTAGTAATGATTAAAAGTTAAGTTGAACTTATTTATTTACATATATCTCTTCAATATTTCGTTTATTTTTTATTTAATAGCATATAGGAAATAATTTCTCATGAAATAAAAATACGCGATGTTTATTTCGTAAAATTATGACAGCGCCATCTATATGCTCCTTGGCGAAACCAACAGTTGACACTAGACTATAGTTCCGAATTCCGAACGTGACCATCAAGACTCAGCTTGTTTTATTTATTTTTCTTCATGAAAATGCGGAATAATAATTGAAAACAACCTAATTTTAATAGATTTCATATTTACATACTTTCCTTTTTTTGGCATAATTCTCTGTATGTAAATAACATTAAGTACCACTTACTAACTTATTAAGTACTACTTTAACATTATACTACGATAACACGATTCGGAACATCAAAAAAGAAAGAGATGGCATTAAACAGTTCACATAGCGATATTGGGAAATCATTCGTTGTTTCAGTCATTTTAGCAATAATACATTTGTTGGTACACAAGTTTGTCTTGGTACGAACATGAGTAATATTATAACAAGCTTAATTTAAGCTTACATTGAAATAAGATTGTTTTTGGAAAGGTTATGGTAGGTCCCCTTGTATCTCTGGGACGCGTGACGGATGAAGTTTAAGTTGCCATTACTAGCACCACCCGCCGAGCAGTAGCTGTTTTTATATGGTAAACATAATATGTCGACAAAGCGCAAAACGCGCTTCACCTTGCTTTACGTCACTTTTAATGTAATCGTTATGTAGCAAATTCGCTAACCAATCAACAGATAATCGAGAAATGAAAATATGGTTTGAAATGACTTGAAGTGCAAACCTGAGCCATGATCTGCATAAGCGCTATCTGCTTGATGTAAATGCTCTTCCCTCCCATGTTTGGTCCGGTTATTATTGTGAAATTGTATTCCGGACTCGCAAACTAAAAATCAGAAACGTGTTATCGATACTTCTTACAAAAGTACCATGAAGGATAAGGAAGTTTTACCAGTTGCAATAGGTCATATTCTATTTACTTCGATAATTTTAACTATATCTATCATATATCCTTTCAAATACTTCTTTAGTTTCTAACAACAAAACTTTACGTTAATAAAGTTAGCGTAAAAATAATTTAAACGGTCAAAGTACCTAACTGAAATTTGGTCACATTCTTCATACCTTTAAAGTACCTACTTAAAATACACATTTTACAAAAATGATTATGATTAATAATAATAACGCACACACTCAACAAAGCCCCGCACTAGGGAAACCCTGTGTCGCGGGAGTCATGGACACACACATAGACAACCACAAATTATACCCAAACCCACGAGAGAAATAAATGAAGGGAATACAAATATTTCTCCCTGCCCGGGAATCGAACCTGGGGCCTCTGCGTGGCAGTCCGGCATGGTAACCATTCGGCCACGGAGGCAGTTGATGACGGAGATTGATGGAGAAGTGCGTCTTGATTCATTAAAATACTTAATTTTGAAAAATTTTTAATGCCTACGTTATTTTAAAGAACCTTAATGTATTCATAAATATTAAATATTACTTTAAAGCCGACCCGACACACGCCCGACCTGCACCCGCTCTCTATGTGTTTCACGCTTAAATGTGGACATTTTTTTTACGTACTCAACATAGTCCCGCACTAGGGAAACCCTGTGTCGCGGGTGCCATGGACACACGCATAGACAACCACAAATTACACCCAAACTCACGAGAGAAATAAATGTAGGCCATACAAATATTTCTCCCGGTTCGGGAATCGAACCTGGGACCTCTGCGTCGCATGGTAACCGTTCGGCCACGGAGGCAGTTTAATACTTGGTTTACCCGTTTAGATCAATTTTACATTGACTGCACCCAACTTTTTATTTCATATCTCGTTTATAAACAATGTTTCATAAACAACAGTACAAAAGTAGTACTTTAAAAGGCATAATGCAAAATAAGAAAAATCGCTTACAATGTCATTAGGTACAGGCATTACTTGACTGTTATAATCAAGTAAAGGATGCACACCATTCCGTATATCCATATATGTGTTAAAATCCGGTCTTATGTAGGAGCCAATTGAAGTGGCCTGAAACAAAATCAGCCCATATACCAAATTGGCCTTATTTGGCATAGTGCAATAAGTCGTAGTTACAGAGCATGTAACTATGTTTCCATTTTTAATGTCTTCTTGTGGTCTTTGAGGTGCACGTTATTTTATTTTAAAGTGTTTTCTGTTGAATTAAAAGCACAAACTATTGCTCTTGATTCACTTGCAGAAATAATTTTTCAGCCTATATTATAACGTGTAATACTTATCTATATTTCGTAATCTTGTTATACGAAACGTGTGATCATACGTCAAAGGTGCTTTTATCACATGAAAGTCTTAAAAATAATACGAACTACATGAAACAAATTATATTTGCAGATGTGGCCATATTATATCAAGGGTGTGAAATACATAGTACTTCTAATCGCATAGAATCAACATAATCATTTGAACAAAGCTAGATATTTTAATTAGCACTGTCGGATAATTTTCATTACCTATACCACGAGTTTACTGTGACAGTTGTGGCTAGCGAAATTTTAACCGACTTCAAGAAAGGAGGAGGTTCTCAATTCGACTTTTTTTTATGTTACACGATTACTCCATAAACGATTTAGAACCGATTTTGACGATTCCTTTTTTGTTGAAAAAAGGATACTTCAGTATTGGTCCCGTTTCAATTTGAAGAAAATATTGCATCCCTAAAGGTGACATACTAGGGGATAAATCCGGTGTCGAGAATTTTCCGGTAACCGATTTCAACAAAACTTGGCAAATAGATGTAATTCTACGCAATTTTGAGGTAGTTTTTTTTATAAAAAAGTTATAATTACATTGTTACAGCGCCCCTAGCGGTCATAAGAAATAACATTTTCTATACAAAAATTTTACGCTCAAGTCGCAGGTCAAGAAAACTAACATAAAAATTACCCTACTTGTAAAAGCAACGTGATAAAATTTTAACTTACTTGGGCCAAAGCTAGCAGTATATCTAATTCGGCAACATCTTCACAAAGTTTGTACAAACTGGACATAAACGGTCGCAGTTCTTTAAGTAAGCCTGATATTACACTGAAATTGGGGTAATTGTGCGTTAAATAAAAAACTTCGTTTATATTAAATCAAAAATTCGTTGGGGTGTTTCAACCCCAACGATAAACCCCATTCAATAAACTTAATTACAATTAATAAAGCGACATCTTTGGTCAGCTGTTGGTAGCTGTAAAGGTCTGAGTGAAGAAATAGATTTCTCACAGATGGCGCTACGGCAAAAAAGTCGTTAAAGAAACTAAAGCAAAGATCTGCAATAAGCACATAGAAAAATTCATAGGGTCCGCTGCCTCATTCCGTGGCTTAGTTGGCATAGCGTCTGGCACGCTTTTCTAGGAGACGTTGGTTTGAAACCCGTCGGATCGAAGGAGTTTTTTTTAAGTGTTCGATCTTTGAATGTATTAATAGTTATAACAAAAATTTAGAGTTAGTATAAACAAGTAGAAGAGGTTTACGCTCGCACGCAGGCACGCAGGCACGCGCACAGGCAAGTACGCACACGCGCACGCAACATGTACACGCCACTACGGCTTGCAGAACCGGTCCGGTTCCTAAAATTTTTTTTCCCGGTGCTGAGTTCAGCTCAGTACCGGTAATCTCGGTATTCCCGGTATTTCTTGAAAAGCTTTAACTGTAAGTATGCTTTTTCCGGGTTATCCATACCTATTCAATAATTTTCGTAATAATAATAAAGAAAAACTTACTTCACAAATCACACTAAAGGTTTTTATTCAAAATATCTTTTTGAGAGATAATATAATCACTGTACCAGGAGTGAGATTGACAAACTATATTTCATCCTGGTAATGCGGTCCATATAAGCGTTATTTTTGTAGCGTTACTCGAAATTTGTCCATGAGTAGGTATACAATATTTACAAAAACTCACATGTTACTCATTTTCTGAATTTCATTGAGAGATTCTTTAGCTTGTTGATCAAGCACAACTAATTCTTCTGTTGTCATTGTCACACTTGCTCCATTGTACTGTACCTAAAATTATACAATGGTTGAAGGTGCTAATATAAGTAGTGTTTAAAAACAAACTTTAATATGTGCCAGATAACCACACCAACTGCCTGATCTCAAAGTAGGGAATTCCCTGTACTATGAGTATCAGAACAACGGAATTCTGGAGCACGCCCCAGAACACCCAGACAAGAGCAAATTTAGAAGAGTTCATTTCCCAAATTGGTCCTGGTAACCTATCACAAACTCGAATTTACTTTTTCCGAAATAATGTTTGTTCGAAAGTTCATAACCCCGAAAACCGAATTATAAGGAAACCGTTGTTCTTTCAGGATATGTTGGATGTTTATCGGAAAAACATGATTAGTGCGGTTAGGTTACGTTAAATGGAGCTAATTCATTTTCAGCCGGATTGTGATCACGATACGTTCTACAAAGCGGCGGCTTACGTTTAGCTATATTGTTCACAGGGAAAATGTCACCCTGACTATGAATTACGCATAGGTCAAATCTTGCGCCTCCTATTCAGTAGGTTAGGTTAGTGTACGAAAAAGCAGCTAATTTGTTTACGTTATTTTTTTACACCATCATTCACTATTTTTGACACAGTTGCTGTTTGGGATGCAATTTTTATTGGATGACCTAGCTCTACTCGTGGCTATATTTGGAACTAAGTATCTCAAAACAGTGTAACAATGACACGCCCTATTGTATTCCGGTGGCAATATTTGTTAGTCGTTTTGTGGCCACGTGCTATTACAACGAGGCGTACTTTTTTAGGCGAATTGCAGAATCCGGCTAAATACGAGGTAGCCGTATTAGAAAACAGTGCCGGCTTGTAAAGCGGCTAGCCGTAGGTAATGTAATACGGCGCTTTATACAATGCGGCTGCGACATCGAGACTGGGTTATATGTAAAATATTAAAAATCTCTTAAGACTATATTACATCCATCATAAACAACAACTTGTGTTCCATCACTTTTTACATAACATAATACATTTACCAAAATTAAACTTTTTAGTTTTTGTCGTACTATCTGACACTTTTTAAGTTCTTTAGCATGGCTTTTGCAGAGTGTTGCCCATTCAGTATCTTTAATTTTGGTATAAATATATTTTTTCAACAAACCAACGTTTCGGGCCTTTTACAGGTCCCATGGTCACGGTTGATGGTCGTGTCAAACACCGTCGCGTAAACAAGTCTGCAGTCTGCGAGCATATCATGGATAAACCTACACATTCAATGATGTTTGACAAACCCCAGGTCCTTGCAAAAGAAGTCCGTTATTTATCCAGGATACTGCGAGAGGCCATTGAAATTAAAAAACATCCTAATTTCAACATGGAAAATGGTTTCTCCGTACCACCAGTTTCGGATTCAGTATTTCCTCTGATGAAAAATCCTCAACAGACAAGGCTGCAGTACTAATTGATATGTTTTAATTTTTTCTAATGTCCATTATTAATTAATAATAAATTTAACTTAATAAAATTCATATTGTTAAAATGAAATTATTTATAAAACATAATGTAGCGTAAATTGGTATGTTTCTTTGTAAAATTAAAAATAAGGTATTTAATTAATAACTTCTGTAACTATAGTGAAAAAATAGGGTGGTTTGCATTAATATTAGACATAACTAGTTGACGACTGCACCACTTCAGCCAACCGTGACCATTGGACCTGTAAAGGGCCCGAAACGTTGGTTTGTTTGAAAAAACGAATATACGCGATATAAATCCGGAAAAATAGTTTCATTTCCTATGTGTAACAGTCGCGAAAACCTAAGAACTCGATATGATAGCACATTATTATTTCACTTTGTATAACACTGCCAGGGATTCGTGCGCACACTCATCAATGCATGCACACGAATTGTATTGTGTTATCTAACTATTGTTTATGTAACTGTGGTGAATTAGAATCTATCTCACAGCATATTATGTACCTCGGTCTAATAATAGACAATAAGTTTAACTGGAAATCTCAAATAGAATATGTATGTAAGAAGTTGAGAGCAGTCTCGTCAAAACTTTCCTTGCTGAAACATAAGTTACCTTACAAAACATTAAGAATGCTGTACAACGCACTGGCAGATTCAATAATTGGGTACGGGCTCAGTAGTTATGGGAGAACATACAAAACATACTTAGATGATATTTATAAATTACAAATAAGGCTACTAAAATCTTTTGTGCCAATATCGGTGTAGCGAATCGCAGCAGTCGCTATAAATCTCTTTTGTATACATTTTATAATCTCTTTAAGTTTTAGTTTTATATTTAAATTCTAAATTTAAATGTGTTTGTTTTTGGCGCCTTTTTCTTGACTTTTGCTTGTGTTGTTTTCTGTTTTGCTTTGATAACAACGTGTTTTCCAAAAATATTAATAAACTGTTAGTACGTTTTCTTGGCCTTGCTCACTCGTTGTTAGCACCCGCCCCTTCACCCATTGATACAGTCCGCTACAATCGGTTAAAAATAAATATAGAAATGATTGTAACAACTTGTTTAGGTACTGTAAAATCTTAGGCTCAACTCACACTGGCGCAGAGTCGAAGCGTCATGTCGTGTCAAGTCCTGTTTTTCAATTACAACGCTTGGAGACGCGCGTCGACGCGCGAAGCCGCTCGACTGCATCCAAGCGTCGACGCCCGTTTCCATATTTGCATAACACAAATTTGTACCTTACTAATGGGAAAATAGAGATGAATATACTATAGGCGAAAATATAGGCGTCACGACGCTTCGACTCTGCGCCAATATGAGTTGAGCCTTAGATATACACAGTAAAATAAATATATACATAATTTGTGATCAAATAGATAAAATTGCCATGTTAAAACAAACGACAAGAATCGGTAAACTGCGTAATCTAAATTACCTACCAAGGTATGTTCTTCCTCCATACAATAACTATGGAAAGCGTGTCTGGAGATACATGTTACCATTACTGTTCAATAAATTGCCAAGAGACGTTTTTAATAAACTTATAGGTAAACCAAAAAACTGTAAAACTATTCTTAAGTCAATTCATTTATCAAATTGTGAAAGTTAATAGTTTTTAAGTATTACATATTCATTATTTTGTTAGACGCCTGATAGCATGTGATGGCAGCGACACATAAATCTGTTGAGGGTTTTTATTAGCTGTTTTATGTTTCTTTTTGTAAACTTTTTAAATCACAATCAATTCACAAATATAATAAAAAAAACTTACCTGTATAAAGATAGGCGGTAAATCCTCAACACTAAAATGCCTTCTTTGTTTTGGAGCAACAGGCATCACCATATGAAATCCCTTCATCATATTCTGATTCAATCTTATAGGCAGGTCATATACTTCACTCAATTGTTCTACTATCTTTTGTATATCTTCTATGAGCTCTGAGTACGTTCTTCTAGCTACGTCTAGAAGGCCGTTAATATCTGGTTTTACTGCGAAACATCTTTGCAAACTTCCCTGAGCACCTTTTTCTAAATGGGCATCTTGTTGTATTATGTTTCGTATGCGGTCTGCTATTTCTTTGTAGTCAGGATTTTCAAAGTCCTGGTTTTTTGGGTAAATGGAACATGAAATAATTTTGGGTTATCTTATGATAAAAAAAAATTAATAGCTGCCAAAAGATAACAAATATAGGCGAAACTTTGAAACCGGAGTGTCATGAATAAAATCTAGGTTATAAAAATAACTACAAAGGGGTGCGATTTGTGGTTTTCCACAAATCGCACCCCTCACGGCATAAATAAAGTTACGTCAAAAATGTTTATTGCTCCATTGGATGCAGAAAATATAACCCACATTCTCTCCACAATATAATAATAAATATATAATAATATAATAAATACAATAATTTGAGAGGGTGTGGGTTATGTTTTCTGCATCTAATAGAGCAAAAAACATTTCAGTCGTAATTTTACTTATGCCATTCTTCCACGAGGGATGCGAAATGAACAATTTTTTAATAAGCAATGCTCGTAACTTCTTAAGTTTTTTATGATGGTAACATTTTTTGTAACATGTTGATTTTCACTAAAAATCGATTGTTGGCTTACCGCTATCATTAAATCAATAAGCAATAAATTCATCATATCAGATGTTGCTCTGTAGTAAACACTTGTAAACGATATGCCCCCAGCGAACAAACAAGTGACGCAAAAGCAATAACAGGGAAAATGAGCCGTGTTTTTCAATTGTTGAAAGTACTCGATAGCTAGATAGATAAAACGTTCATTATCTTCCCACAAGCACACACGCGTATGAAATAATTAGAAGAAAAAACAGACATACCTAAAACAGAAATTAATACTGACAGTGAAAACGATAATAATAAAAAATGTTAAAAAAATATTATATGAAATTATGATAACAATTCTATTCAATCTGTGTGTGCTGCAGCAAGCCAACAGGTCTTCAGTGCGAGTTTTGCCGAAAAAGTTTTTCGGCTATCATGTATCACCTTTGGGTCAGCATGGTGCGGTGCATCAAGAGCAAAATAAAAATAATAAAACGATAGCATATGATAGCTAATAATATAACTTCCGACATCGAGTTTATAACCAGAAATAGAGATTATTTTGTAATTAGATATTTTGCTGTTTTTCTCTCACCACCGAATGGAACAGCCCCCATTGTTAGAGATATTATAAAAAAAAATTTCATATTAACATTATTTGTTTCGTGTATAGATAGTACTATTTTTATTATATATTTTCATGTGATTCTGACGTAGTATGATCACTTTGGCACCAAGAGTATGAATTTCGCTTTGATCCCAAAGTAAGTAGCTATAGCAATTGTTTTATAATTTTTTTTTAATTGATATTCAATTATTTTATGTGAAATTACTCCACTAGTTTGTTATAATTATTAATACAAAGATCGAACACTCAGAAAAAATCCCTTCGATCCGGCCGGATTCGAACCGACGTTTTCTAGCATATTGTGGCAGACGCCATACCAACTAAGCCACGGAACGAACCAGAGGACCTCACGAATTTTTGTATGTGCTTGTTGTCGTGTCTTTGTATTTGGTTTTTCAACGACTTTTTAGTCGTAGCGCCATCTATGAGAAATCTATGAATATTTTATCAATTTTTTAGGATTTTTTTCTGAGTGTTCGATCTTTGTATTAATTTTTTTTTTTTATCGTACACACTCAACATAGCCCCGCACTAGGGATACCCTGTGTCGCGGGTGCCATGGACACACGTAGACAACCACAAATTACACCCAAACTCACGAGAGAAATAAATGTAGGCCATACAAATATTTCTCCCGACCCGGGAATCGAACCTGGGACCTCTGCATGGCAGTCCGGCATGGTAACCGTTCGGCCACGGAGGCAGTTTAATAATTATAGCACTATATATAATTATAACACGGTACCACAAACACCCAGACCCGAGACAATATAGAAAAGTTACTTTTCAAACCAAGCCAGTTTTTGCAAGCCATGGACCACGGACAAAATGTATTTATGATATTTTTTTAATAAAAATGGAAGTAAATTAGTTTGCTACTCCGCGAACATAGTAGAAGTTAAATCGTGCATGTGTTGAATATTTTTTCATGCACTTAATTTTCCCTCCGCATAAAATTAATAAAATAAATAACACTGGCGCAATTATACAGCCACAGATGTCTCGAACGATAATTTTTTTTTATAATATCAAGTGTGACTGTGACTTTGTTGGTAATATTTTAGGTAATCGTTGCATAATGAGGGTTCTGAAAGTCAAGCACCGTGTTTTAATAGGTTTACGACCTAATTATGTAATGATTGCATATGATACTTTTTCTATGAGTATATAAAATAATGAAACAGAACCAATATTTAGTGTATATTTTGTTAACAATCCATTACAACAAACTCGAACGAAAGCCTTACAAACGCTACAAAACAAAAACCAAAGAGATGGAATAGAAATGGCCAAGTACCGCTTATACTTTAATCAATCTTTTTTTTAAAGGTTTATGGCCCAGTAGCAAGACCTCAGACCAATTTAACTAATCAAGAGGCAGTGGAGCGTTTGAGTAGCGTCATATTTGATATTTTAATTAGCGAAAATATGACGTCCTTTTTTAACTTATTATAGTTCTGTGTATACTATGATGAAAATTTTCAGTTCAGTAGTAAGTAGGTATACCATAGAATTTTGGTTCAGAACTCAAAAGTGCGCCGTTGTGACAGTGAGCAGAAAAAATATTTAACACAATCGTGGCTATTTTGCACGATTCAACTTCCACTGGGTTCGCGAAGTAGCTAATTAATTTACTTCCACTTTTATTAATATGGACTTCCGCAAAATGATCCCTGAGTCTGTTAATGCGATTTTTTTACAAAACTACAAAATTTGTTTTTGCCGCTTTTTGGAGCACAGTAGCGACATCTCTTTAAAATCGTTCAAACTAATTTGTTTGTCTGTTTTATCGACTGAGAGACTATAGTGCTAAAGTGCTTTAGTGATTATGAGTTAAGGCTTCAATTCCCTTATCCACCGGTGTTCCTTCTACCCTACCTGGCCCTACTTCATTTTAAGTATTTACAGCAAAAAATAAAAGATAGGTGAGTAGTTACTATTTTAATCGCCCGAAGTCTTCCACTCTCGGCACCTGAGAGAGCTTCCACGAGTTGTGGCACGACATCCATTGTGGTCTTCAGGAGGAGTGTCTGATTTAGCTGGGCTTCACCCACTTTGTCCATATTCTGGTTCTGAGTATCCATGCAGAGAAGTAATATTTTGTCGACGTCTGCTAATTTTCTTATTACATACTAAAAAGAAAAAAATGAATAATTATTCATACAAAGATCGAACACTTAGAAAAAATTCCTTCGATCCAGTCGGATTCAAACCGACGTCGTCTAACAAACCGTGCCAGAAGCTATGCCAACTAAGCCACGGGATGAACCAGCGGAACTCACGAATTTTTCTATGTGCTTGTTGTCGGATCTTTGTATTTGGTTTTCAACGACGTTTTAGCCGTAGCGCCAAATATGAGATCTTATAGATGGCGCTACTTGGCAGCTCTTATTAATTTATTTATGTGCTTGTTTAATTAAAAAAAATGTTACCTGCAAAGCTGTTATCAATCCATTTTCATTGGCAATGAGGTCTTGTACAGCGTCAAGTCTTTCTTCAATGAACTCTTTCTTACAAGACGGTTGTAATATAGCCGCTCTCAAAGCTCTTATACCACCAACTGTAGACGTAGGACCTAGTACTCCCAGAAGACAACATGTAGAGCCTGCTGACGGCACTAAAGGCTGGACTAGTTCCAGTTGGGTCGCAGTTCCTACGTCTGTGGAAGTTTAAGACGCTCAAGTTCAAATTCGTATGATTCTTTATTGCAAGCACATGAAGAAAATAGAAGCAAGGATGTTGTAATAACTGTGCTAAAATAGCTTATTAACTTTGTTTAGTAGGTTAGGTACCTATCTCAACGTTTACTTATAACGTAAGAAATGACGTAAGATTAAAACTTAATATTCATTTGTTATTTATTAAGAATCTCTATTTCAGTAAAATAAGTTATATCGATGGTTTTCTTCTCAAAAATATATATTTCATCAGGAAAATGGTTCAAATTATAACCTTTTTTTTTGAAAAAAACCGACCTCAAAAGTTCGTGGAATTACATCTATTTGCCAAGTTTTATTGAAATCGGCTACCGGAAAGTGCGCGAAACCGGATTCATCCCCTAGTTTGCCATCCTTAGGGGTAGAATATTTACTTCAAATTTAAATAGGGCCAATACTGAGGTACCTACCCTCTTTCCAACAAAAAAAAGAATCATCAAAATTGTTTTCCAAAGTAATCGCGAAACATCGTACAAAAAATTACAGTCGAATTGAAAACCTCCTCCTTTTTTGAAGTCGGTTAATAAAACTTAGCCCTGGCTGCTACGCAAAATTAACATTGTCGTCAACGTTTTCATGTGATTATTTTAACCAACGAACAGCTCAGTATCCCAATCACAATAAAATTTAACATTTTCCGAACTAATGTCAGCAATAAGAATAAATCAAAAAGGAACTATATTGCATCAGGTCTCTATTCCTGAAAAGCAGCGATATGTATATATACAGGCATGTGTGAGTACAAGACTTTAATTTCTAAGTTACATACATTTGAGAATATGTTAATATGGAATACCTCTAGCTACCTACTAGTAAAGAAAAACGTAATGGAACCTGCGTGGCGAAGGTTTATAACACTTGGAAACTGTAAAGTCCCCAACCCGCGTTGGGACAGAGCGTGGCGAACTTTGGCCTAAATTCTTTATTTAGATAAGACTCGCACCTAACAATGGGAGGTATGAAGATAACTACAAGACTTTTGTAGTAATTTAATAATTTCCACCCTTAAATTATTAATGATTGATGTCATTACCATATTAAAACATGTCTGTTTTTGTATCGAATGTGCTTCGTATGCAAGACTGGGCAAAATACTTAATTATATCTTAATTAAATACCTACAATATAAATTACAAAATACTTTAATGATATTATTGCATGTATAAAATTACAAAATACATTCAGTACAGGACACCACGAAAGTATTTGATATATCAATTACAATACAAAATACGTATTTGTATTCCTAACATTTCTTAAATTAACAAGTCGTGCGCCTGGTGGTAAGCGACACGCCTGGTCATAGCAGTTGCAGAGCTTTAAATCACAAAGATCTGAGGGGCATTAATTTGGGCTCGTCACCCTGAGATATATGTTGAAAAATGAAAACGATCACATTACTGCTTACCTGCAGAAATATGTAGATAAGGGGAAGTACTACCCTGGACAAACTGTTTCTGCTACTAAATTCAAAACTACTCAGCCTTGCTCTTATGTACCTACTCATATTAATGTTAGTACCTATACGATTACCAATAATCATAGTATGTTCCGATGAATGATACTCGATCTTCAATGACTCTCTAGCGAACACAATGCATTGAATGTATTCTACATATTTCAGTACTGCTGCAGCTGCTGTTAGCGCATAAAATCTGTCAAATATATTAACGGGCTTATTGCACTATTATACGAGTGGTTATAAAAGTTGTGCGGTTTGTTGGGTACTTTATATGATAGTGTATTTTATAACATATATCTTCTGTTTTCCGTAGGGGAGATATTCTTTGTAAAGAGAATTTTTATCACATTTATTATTTACAATAAGTATTGTTAATCAATATCATAGATAGAATATATTACAAAACAAAAAGTTTATACAAAAATTTATAATACAATATAACTACTGCGTACTCGGTTAATAAAAATCCATGGTAATTACCCATTATCTTTTTCAGGTTGTCTCTGCCTGTGGTATTTAAAATAAATATTGTGTAACATCAGCAAGTGAGACAAAGTAGTCACTTTTTATCACACTGTTTTTTTTAAGTAGATAATGCGTTGAATTAATATATTAATTATTAATATTAGACAACATCACATACGTTGCTTTGATCCCAAAGTAAGCGACTAAAGTATTTGTGTTATGGAAATCAGAAACAACTACGGTACCTACCACAAACACTCAGACCCGAGACAATATAGAAAAGTTCGTTTCTATACTGACTCGGCCGGGGATCGAACCCGGGACCTCAGAGATGGCGACACCATGAACACCGGTGTGCAAGTCGCTCGACCACGGAGATCCTCAAATTATTGAAAATGTTGTGAGAAAACCGTTATGTTGAAGATTAACAATACTCCTTGAAGTCTCATGGTCTCCAACCCAGGTTGGGTTAGTTCCGTAGCCCAATAATCTACTTATAGGTAAACTAAATATATAGAATTCTTTGTATTCCATAGTGGACACCTGTAGGCCAAGAGCCACTGCCTCCTCTTAAAGATAAGGTATTTATTTCAGTTTTATCTTTTACTACAAATGTTTTGTTAGTTCTTCAATACGGCATAGACAAAGCGGTGCGAAGCTCCAAGGTGGTAAGAGCATTGAAGTATATACCTTTATTTCAACTGAAATAGCATATATATTATTAATAAATGTACTCCCGTATGCCAATTTGCACTGGCTCTTAGGCTGCTAACCGATTGACTGCACGTTTGCAGTTAATGCGTGAATTTGTAATCAACTTCACGCATTAACTGCATGCAGAGGAAACCGACTTCATGTAGCTGAGATCGTCTACATGCAGTTAATGCGTGAATTTGTAATCAACTTCACGCATTAACTGCATGCAGAGGAAACCGACTTCATGCAGCTGAGATCGTCTACATGCAGTTAATGCGTGAAATCGTTAGCAACTTCTCGGCTGCATGGAGTTGATAACGACTTCACTCATTAACTGCAAACATGCAGTCAATCGGTTAGCAGCCTTGTAGCGGTTATTAATTGCGACCTACTGTTTGCGAATATCATAATGAACTTACTTATGTAAAACCTGAAGGTAAACAGCACTATACTGCGGCGCACAAAGCGTTTGAATCTGTTGCCGACCAGCGGCGTCGTTGAAATGTCTTCTTTGTACCGTGGTTAGATTGACAAGAGGGTAGTGGTCTTTTATCAATTTGTACAACTGATTCGGTTGGACCCCTTCACAGAATGTGTGAGGTACTATGATCTGTAAAATCGTAACTATATTTCAGTATACAGAGTTAGTTGTAAATTGCTAACAACCTCGGACTATATAACTAACATCATAGACAATAACTTTTGTTCCGAGACTTTTTACAAAACATAATCAATTTATCAAAAATAAAGTTTAAAGTTTTCGTTGTACAAAAAATAAAAATATTTCAATAGATCGCTCTAAACGGTCATAACTCTGTGTGCGCAAAAAAAGGACGCTTGCACCCACTACAGATCTTTTATTTTGCGCACACAGAGCTATGACCGCGTTTAGAGCGATCTAAAATATTTTTATTTTTGTATGAAAGTTAAATCTGACAAATTATGAAAAGTCGTGGAACAAAAGTTGTTGTTTATGATGTTAGTAATACTGTCCTCCGAGATTGTTCGTATTTTACAAAATCTTTACAAATAACCTTGTATAACGCCTGTACTTTTATCGTACAAGAAAACTGTTGAGATTACTTTTATGGGTTGATATCGTACTTTAAAACTGAGGTTATCAGTGCCAAAATGGTGTAACCGACGTTCAATTTTTTTCTACAATATTACTTTAAATGGTACTAAAGTACATACTTATTTCATATCTGAATGCTATTTTAATTGTATTTAATTGTAATTTAGCATCATAAAGGAATATTGTGTAAAAAAATTAATGTGAGTAACTCTACTTTTGCGTTGATAGCACGATAGCCTCAAATTTGCATGGAATATTTTAATTCTTGTCCAGACCGCTAGGGGCGCTTTAGTATTTATCAGACAAAAACAACCATAATGTGCAGCTTTAGGAATCTCCCTACGTATGGAACTGATGGCAATAAAGATGAAAACATTAAATTTATTCCCACTAAATCGATGCGTGGAACTTTTGGGTTACAATTGTTCCACGTGGAAATGAGTACACGAAACTACTGGGAATAAACCATTTTTTCGTTTGCGTTCGCTAGCGATTTCATTATTACTGAGTTTTTAAAGTATATAACTTTTTTAAGGAAATGGACTTGCTCTTGACCACTACTTAGCCCTGTAAGGCCAAGGGCTCATTCCCATTATATCGTAACGGTTTATTTATCGCTAGATGACTGTCGCGTCTAGCTTGTTCTCATATCACGACTATCTGTCGTGACTGTATCGTGAACGTTTATTTTATCGTTGAATTTCATCGACAATTTATCCGTTCACACCAGCCGCTTTATCGCTTGCACGACATAATCGTTTGAAGCTGCGATTATCTGTCATCACATTTTTATCGTGACGTTTTATTTATTGTTGGACGACTGTCGTTCTTGCTCTTCCCATTGTCACGACAGTCTGTCGTCCTAACGTCAAAAAAGTCGTGAACGACAGTTAATCGTGTTGTACTATATATGAACAATTTCATAATAAATAAAACTGTATAATAAATAATATACAAGTCACGATTCTTTAAACTGCACGACATCTGTCGTTACGACATAATGGGAACACGCTCTAACCCGACAAGGCGCGACATGTGCGATAGCGACATAAAAGCGCGGGATCTCTATGCGAGAATAGCAGTATCTCGCGCTTTATGTCGCTCTCGCGCAAGACGCGCTGTCGTGCTAGCCCTACTGGAGAAAAGATAGGGTCTATGATGGAACGGAAGACGCCTATTCAGTCGCACCTTAAATCGGTTTTCGATAGTCGGGTGTATGTGCTCGGAAACAGTCGCAGGCAGGGAATTTTATTCTTGGCCGTGCGCATAATAAAAGATGATGAAAAACGCTTAGTACGCCTAAAGGGAATATCGACCAAGTAGAAACGGCAAGATATGCCGTATATCTGGTCTTTATAACACAATTATATCTCTGTTGCTAGGAATCAGTGACCAATTATCCTTTCAAAGGTTTGAAATCATTATACAAGTGAATATATAATTCTCACTTTTGTGGAATGTCACGGTTCCAATCATTAATAACATTACAATTTATCGATAACAAAAATCATGCCCGAATGAGTAATCGATAAGATAAATAAGACACGTTGATAGATAGGATTAAACAATTGATGGCGGTATTAATACTTAATAGGCATATGGTATTACTGTTCTTTAGGTATAGGTGAATTTAGATAAAAATGTTTTGAAAAACAATATTTATTGAATCGAAATATACCACGCTATTAATACACTCCGGTAATCTTACTGGAAGTTTATTTAGTACAGGAATGCATAACCTGATATAGCATGACTAACTGTATACTAACTTAATACCGTATTATAACTAAACACTTTATACACTCATGGATATATTCTAAGGAACGCTAAAAAAAGGTTGAATTATTATAACAAAGTTCGCATGAACCATAGCCTCTAAATATCGCCGTTATACTGGGAAAAAACTATTATTTCACTAAATACCCACTTTGAAATAAATGCAATTGAAATTTCAAAGACGTATGTTTCTTATACATACCATGGTCTTCCCACGTCATCGAGTGTATAACCAGAAATAGAAACGAAATGTCATTTAATTTGTTTGGAAACCATTCTGCCAAATCATTACGATGATAACTGCGCTCCGATTGGCCAGCTCGAATTCGAAACAATTGACGAGTGTAGTTAATTGTTTCACTTCAATTGTCCAGTTTAACTTGAGCTTTGCTATAATGGACGATTATTGAAAAAATTACATATTTAATTACCGATGAAATGTGATTCCGTTTGTTTTGTGTTAGAGATATTATCTTTATTACAATAAATACAGAATATTTTTGGAATACACGGAGACGTACACATAAGTCAGTTATTGGCGCTACTATTTGTTGCTGTATCAGCTTTCTAATTTGTGATTTTAGCGCAAATGAGAGTTGATATTTAAAAGTGATATAAGGCCCATTTGCCTGATAAGTTGCCAGGGTTGGATGGCCCATAATTCGTCCCTATTTGTGGTTCTATACTCGATGTCCTACGTTAATTTGTGATTCCACATTTCATGGTTTACGGAAATTTTAAAATGTTTGCTATTTACATAAACAATTTTTAAACTTGTATTGAATTGATATTAATGAAATTACTCTACTAGTTTGTTATAATTATGTTATATGTATAAATAATTATAAGAATTTTTGTCACTTTATTCTAAATTAAGTCATTTTCTGTGAAAATTCCAGATAATTGGTTTTCGCAGTATAACAACTATGTGTCCATGAGTGTAGTTGTAATTGCTATTTCAAAGCAAGCTAATTCTTTCTAATTCTAATTTTGCGATAGATCGGCTTCAACAACAGCTCGTAACTCGTCATTATTCTCCTCAATCTGTGGTCGTAAACGAAGTTCGTTTTTCAAGTGATAATTTCTACTGTGGAATCGGGTTAACGAAAATGCACAGTGCGTTCGTTAGTTCTATATATTTCAGTGGGAAGGCGTCCAAACTCGATTTCCACCGGGTTGCTTAAAACTTTCCACGTATTATGAAATATTACATTTTGTGCTAAATTTTAAGTGTAGAATAAGTGAACCAGTGAAATGAAGTATTACTATCTTGTGTGCTAATAAGTTGTGTTTATAGTGTCACCAAGGCGTCATTTTTTCTTACAGTAGGTGTTTTTCGTTTTTCTCCGGCTTTACTAACGACAAATGTCACGCCTCGCCACTAACATATTTGTTCCCTTTTGCATTTCGGTATCACAACCACCCTTTTATTCCCACTGCAAGAAAGCAGCACTGCTGTGGTGTGTTCTGTTTTAGTTTAAAAACAGAGAATCGATAGTCGGTGGCTATCATTATCAATCAGGCGGATGCAATAAAAAAAACACGTGATGTACGAAACCGACATTCACTGAGAGGTTCTTGAGCGAAGTAAGTAATACCTAATTTGTTACCAAGATTCACCTCTTTTTTCTTACCTCTACAGGGTTGAAATAGTTGATTTTGGTTAGCGTGTGAACATAAAGGAGAGTGTCACTAAACTGACATAGAACAAGATGAGGGTGCTTGAGATCGACTGCAGCTATTCCTACTTCGCCTCGTGCCATGCCTCTGCCTTCCGAAATGGCTAAAAAAATATTCTCTATAAAATAAAATCTCTGGAAAATAACATTGCTTCTATCTTATTTTAGACGAACTCTCTTGCCTTTTATATGTACTTATGGAGTCATATGGTAAAAAACACTAAAGAAAGACATAATTATGTCAAAAATTCAATCAGCGGGCAAACCATGTAAGACGAAAGATGCCCAGTAGCGATGATATTCTGTCTTTCCGGCTAAATGTTTTTACTAATCTTCTTTGTAATAAACATGGTTTAACTTATTTTGCAAAGTAAAATTATAATACTTAGTACGATATAATTATTTAATATTTATGGTCAAAGTAAATTAAATGCATCTTTTTATGTTATTAAACTCAAAAATTTCAAAAAAAAATCGAAGAATCCCTTTTGCAGCTTTTAATCAAAATGTTTTTGATATTACAGTATTTTGAATTGATACGGTAGAACTAACAAAATATTCCTGTAACCCACTAAAAGGTTTAGTTTATTTTGCACACTAGATATAATATTCCATTACCCAATATAACACTCGGTTCTACGGCAGATGTGCTCGTAGATCTAGCAGACCTGGCTCCACTGTGACCACCTGGAAGGAATTTACGTCTGGTAGTCTCCAACTACTGAATACATGGTTACTATAGGCACCTAAACTCAGGTAAAGTTTCAACTAATAACGCACACACTCAACACAGCCCCGCATTAGAGAAACAAATTACACCCAACGCACATTACACACGAGAGAAATAAATAAATGTAGGCCGTACAAATATTCCTCCAGGACCGGGAATCGAACCAGCTGCGTGGTAGTCCGGAATAGTAACCGTGCAGCTGCGGAGGCAGTAAGGCAGTCAATTACATAAACTATCGAATTCTTCGATGAAATATTGGCGCCCAACGTGGGCCTGTTGTAGTCAAATTTAAATTGCTAAGTAGTAAAGTACAATTTCAACAAAGAATTTTAACCATATTGGATTTTTAAAGTTATTTTGTGATCCGACATATTTCATCCAAAGTACACATTCTAAAGCGGAATATCATTAATGTCCTCAAAATGGCCTGATACTGTATTCTGATGACTCCGTAGACAAAAGTAACCGAATAAGACTACTTATTTACTCAGTGCACAGTAGATTCAGTACTGAATTTTTTGCGTTAGTTATTAAAAGCTCGGGTAATGTTGCTACGTATCGGTTATTTTTATTAAATATAAGTACCTAACAAACAGTATTAAATGTAGCCCATTGGAAAGTCCCGTGTTAATTAACAGGGGCATAACTTGGAATATTTATTACATTACGTAAATAACATTTCCTGCTCACTTTTATAACTACTTTAGGTATCATTGATTTGGAAATCCCCATTATCAGTCCAGAATTTTGGGGTCATTTAACCAAGTATCGTGTTTATATGCAGAAAGGTATGTAATTTAAAGTGAAAACAGTATGTATATATTTTTTTATGATACCAAGTAACGGAAGAAAGTTGTGCGCGTGCTGGTAAGCGACACGCCTGTCCATAACAGTTGCAGTGCCACTTAAAGCTTTAAATTGCAAAGATTTGAGGGTACTACACCCTAAGACATAAATTGACAAGTCCCATGTTAATGTAAATTCACCGGCATCCTTATCCATCAAAACCGGAACGCAGTACTGCTGACATTACTGCTTGGCAGCAGAAGTAGGTTAAGTGGCAGTACTTCTCTGGACGAATAAGGAGCTCTACTGCTACTAAACTAACTTGTTCTTTCCTTACCTAACTGAAAATGCTAAAAGAGGATATTATATAAAAATCGCTCGTACTCTGTAACTACAACGCGCATGCGTATGCAACTTTACTACGTGCTATTACTACCCACTGCTGTATAGGGTTTGACCCTTAACAAACTATTGGCTTGACATAGCCACGTGTTTTGTAGTTTTTTTAGCTTGACGGTATTTTACAGTGTACTCGTAAATGGGTACGAACTTTTAACACCAAATGGTTAAAAATATTATCTGTTCTATATTAAACGGTCGTTCCCATTCGACGAAAATTTATGGTACCACCAGACGCACGACTTATTCACCCTATCACTTGGTATTATAAAAAATAAATAAAATGTGTTTTTTATGTTTATTGAATGTGATGTTGTTTAAAAAAAAAGACATAATTTATTTGACATGCAATATAAAGAAAAGAAAATGCAAATTAATAATAATTAAACAAAACACGTCAAATGGTTCTATGACTCAGCGACAGATGACAATGAAGAACATTGTTCTGGCTGATATTCTGCTATAGTCTAGAACACACTAAAATATATATATAATTAATTATGATTAATATGGCCATAATAACATAGACATAAGAATACTAATAACTGAAATGCAAAATATTATTATAATTCCAAATTATTAAAAATCAGTACAACAACACACAAGACACGAACGAATAAGAAACCTCCGTAGTTGTCTATGCAGATATATTAAATAGCCATTGTGAGCATTTACGTATGAATGTCCGTAACGATAAAGACACTGATACCATGATATTCAATTATTTTTGTGAGATTACTCCACTTGTTTGATTTAATTAATTAATACAAAGATCGAGCACTAATAAAAAAATCATATATAGAAATAGATTTCTCACAGATGGCGCTACACTAAAAAATTCGTTAAAACGCAAAAAGAAGGATCTGTAACAAGCACATAGAAAAATTCGTTAGGTCTTTTCGTTCCGTGGCTTTAGCTCTCGCACGGTTTACTGGAAGACGCTGGTTCGTATCCAGCCGGATAGAAGGATTTTTTTATTATTGTTCGATCTTTGTATTATTTATGCTTATTTTCATGAACATTCTTTCCTGATTACAATCACTTAAACTGCTAATGCCACATCAAAATGTACATAATATGTGAAGAGATTCAGACCCAGATATTATTCCTACCACAGACCACATAAATGTGATTCCTACCATCACGTATAAACGCCCAGTGTACGCTATAATGAAAATATCGCATTCAAATTTAGCGCTATACATTCTATATGACCATAGAGTATCTAGAAAAAAACTGAGGCCATACTTGCATTCGACGTTTAGCGCTTTTCCTGTTGTAGTTTTTTTTTTTAATTTTAATTTAATTTGCTTACCTCTGCTGCTGCTACTTATGTATCTTAGAGCGGTTGGTCTATTCCGTGGTGTGCAGAAATCAGAATTATCTGCTACTGAATCGTTGGCCAGTACCCTTGGGTGTGGCTTGCCGCTGGAGGAGGATTCCGGCTTGGTAGAAGAGTTTGAATTGGGGAGGAATCTATGAGAAAATTTATTAGTATGTTGTATTTGCTGTAGTTTTTCCTATATCAAATACGTAGATCGATGTTAAGTACAGGAAAATATAGATAACAAATATACCTCTAAATACTATAAAAACGAGTTAACCCTTATGATTATTGGTATATGAGTACACATCCAACAAAACCTTGTTTTACTAATAAACTAAGATGAGAGTTGGTTTGAACTTTATATTTCCAAGTCGATATAATTATGTTATTTAAGGTAAAAGACAATGTTAAGCATGAAGCTTCATTCGCATCATGCGTGTTTTAATTTGGTCGAGTATTAGTCATTTGACTGTAGGTAATTGTTTCAGAAGGATAACGAGAGTACAGGGCCTGACACACATCTTTCCCTCATCAGCTTGTGTTAGCGCTTTCATACATGCTCGTTGGTTTAGGGTAGATACTCTTGACCTAAGAGGAGGACGATGGGGCGGTGTGACCCGCTTCATCGTAGGGAGGAGGAGGACGTAGCTCCTCCCAGGTGCTGGGGGGTTCCGGTGCGCAAAGTCGATCCCGGATACCTTCCGTTAAAGCATCGGAAAAGGCCATCGTGGGGTTTTAGCCGGTAAAAGTCCGACTTCTCTCCACTCCTCTGCCCTCGCGGCGGAGAGGTCACGAAAAAAAGGGTGAATACTTTGACCTGCCTTTCTTTAGGATGTCCTCAATTTGGTCATGGTAAATTCGCCTTAGGCAGCCCTTACCTTCTTCTTATTATATCGAAGGCATACACTATCAATCTTGCTATGTATCGTGGTGCAAGGATTTGCCAATCAGCTTTAAGGGAACTGGACCGACGAGTACATTATACTTATCGGGCATAGAGTTATCAGTTCATATCGTCCCTGGTGGTTACCGCAGAAAGTATTTTTTTCCTGTACCTTACACATTGTGGTGAAATTACAGGCACATGGGACTTGTCAACTTATGTCTCAGGGTGACGGGCGCAGTGGCAGTGGCCCTCAGATATAAGTTTATTCTTTCTACTGTGTTACTGGGTTCAAGATTTTTTTAAACATGTTTAGTAAATTGCGGCCTTTGCTAAATATATTTTGGGTTTTTAAAATTATACGGCCAATAAAAAGGAGATGCCAGCGCCATCTATTGATTAACGATGGCCGTCTTCATGGATATGCAAAGTAAAAATGTTCACAGTGATTATATCGTGGACTCGACAACTTGCCTATTGTAGCCCAGGATGCATTAGACGTAACAAGAAAGTAATACGTCGTCTGGGGAGGCTCCAAGTCCATAGATACCAACTTGCCCGCCCACTCTCGCCTTATAAAATCTGTTTCGTTAATCTTCTTTCATTAATTATCTCAACATGTCTGAATCATCTAAGCATTTCTTTAAATGGCAGTATAATATAGTATTTCTGCCTACATTTAATTAGGCAGATTAAGCCTAAGGATTAAGCTGACCACCCTGGAGTATGTAGAGCAAGACCATCTTTTAATGATAGTTGCGCTAGGAACAAAATTGTAGTATCAAAAAGGATGAGGACCACTACTGCTCTCATCTTACTTAGCATGTCTAGCAAATTAATATTTCTAATTATCCTACAATAAATAAAGGTACATTTTTAATATAATAGTCTACAAATCACATCGAGTATATAACCAGAAATAGAGACGAAATGGCATTTAATTTGTTTGAAAACTATTCTGCCAAATCATTACTGTGACGACTGTGCTCCGATTGGCTAGCCCGAATTCGAAACAATTAACGAATGTCGTCAATTGTTGCACTTCAATCGACCAGTTTAACTTGAGATTTGTTATAATGGACGATAATTGCATTATTACATATTTCATATTTAATTACCGATGAAATGTGATTCCGTTTGTTATCTAATTAGATATGTTTCCCACACCACCGAATGGAACAGTCCAATGTTAGAGATATTGTCTTTATTACAATAAATACAGAATATTTTTGGAATATACGGAGACGTACACATAAGTTGTTGGCGCTGTACTGTTTCATTTTTCTAATTTGTGATTTCAGCGCAAACGAGAGTTGATACTTATTTAAAAGTGATAAGGCCTATTTACCCGGTTAGTTGCCAGGGATGTATGGCCTTTATTTCGTATCTATTTCTAATTATAAACTCGATGAGAAATTATCAAAGCATTAGTTTATTTTGAAGGAAAAAAAATATTTGTAGGTAATTCTGTTACACTTCCGGTTCAGTAATGGCGACGAAAGGTGACAGACTGCAGTTTAATTTGATTCTGCTTCACTAACCTGCGTTTAGTACTCAGAGGCACGCCCATTGGAGGCCCCATAGAGTTATTTTTAGACGTCGTTGGTTCTTCATTGTTGAACTGATATCGAGGGGTATTATTTGTAGGTCTTGATACCTTCAAGGTATTATACGACGCTACAGGCAGCACCGAAGGTCCTCTTATTCCTATATCCAAGAAAGAAACAAAAACACAAAGAGAATTAAGTAATTACATTACATCTTTTATTTATGAAATTGTAATGAAAATCAACTCAATTACCAAGAGTGGTGTCTTTTATGAGAAATGCTTTTCTATTTCTTGCTTGTATTTTATTATTTGCTGGCTTTTCTCTTGGAACGACATTCATTTTTGCGTAAAAAGCTTTTTATTTTGGCGCCATTTTCATGAAGATTAAATAATAGGTTAATTTAGTATATTCATAAAAAAGTTTACAAAGATAGGAACAAAAAAAAAACTAGTTAACTGGTGTTTCAATAGTGGATTAATTTATTGAATGTTATTAAAAACGAAGAACACAAAGTACGGGTTAATCGAAGACAAAAAGATATATTGAAAACGGTTACTTGCTGAATATCATTTATAAAGACGGAGAAGGAAAATAATGTATTGAAAACGTTTACTATGCAAGATTTTAACTACAGAAGATCAGGCAGTGTGGCAAAATTTGGACAAATATAACTCCACAGACAGACTCCTATTGTGTTCTACGTTTAAATATATCTTTTAAGGTTTATTTAGCATGAATTATAAAATTGTATAAGCATTGCTAAATGTAATTTTTTTAAACTCTGCTTTGCCTTATTTATTTATTTATGCCATAACTACAGAATACAGTGAAGATGCTTAGAGCGGTTACACACGGTGACTTTTAGCAGTGATGCAAACGCGATGCTGTAGCAATGCAAACGCATTACTGTCGCTAATCGTCTACTTTATGCATGCAGCGATGCAAACGCGATGAAATCGCTACACTTGGGCTTTCTATGCGATTGAATTGACGCAATTGCGCGTTTGTATTAATGGAATCGTGCGTTTGTATCGATGCAATCGCGCGTTTCACGAACGCGCGTTTACATTGCTGCTAAAAGTCGCCGTGTGTAACCACTTTTAAAGCTAACATGCATTCCAATATTTTCACAATATAGTTGAGTACCTTCTATTAAAAATATTAAAAAAATATTCAGAAAACTATGATTTTTCAAAATGGAAATTTTTTATGACCCAAAACTAGTCAGGATCAGGGTGGGGTAGGTCAGTGTGTTATAGCCCTTATAATATATAAGTGAAATTGAATGTCAATGTGACAAGCTAGTGGTGTGGTGCGTATTTTGAATTGCAAGTATTTTAGATTTTCAAATGTAAATTTTAGTGTTTTTCCGTCATGGGCGTTTCTATATTAACGCTGAATGACTATTATCTTTTTAACAATTAGGAGTGATGGTAAAAGCAGTTGTCTATCTAATCGGACATGTATTTGCGAGCGTTGAACTACAGCTTTATCAACAGGTAAATAAGTCAGGATACAATATTTTCTATAAAAACAATAAATAAATAACATATTTTATAATACATTATTATGTGCATAAATTGCGGTTGTCATTCATGACATCTAAACACATGTATGGCATAGGTTAGATCCTGGTACGTAATTTAGATAAGCGAAAAAAATGTTAGCAAGGTCATTGACAAAGTAATAAATAATTTGCCAATCCGTTTGCTCACTGACGTACGTAGATAGCTAGCTTTGTTAGAAATTAAACCTTAGTAATAAAGATAAGCTATTGTACTTCTCACAACATTATGTTGACAATATTTTTATTGATAGTTTAATGGCGGATTGTTGCTAGGGAATCAGTTAAGGTAGGTCTATCAACTTAAATTATTTAAGTAGCTCCTTAATTGAAAGACAGATAGGCGGAATGTATAGATGGCAATACATCAAGCTACACATTGACAAATCTTGTTCCACTGCACTGAAGGATATTCAAACAAAAGTGTATAGCTTGAATGTGCTGTTGACTGTACAAATGTATGTATATTTCTAAGTTATGTGCATTAACTAAACTGCCTCTGTGGTTGAACAGTTACCATGCTGGACTGCCACTCACAGGTCCCGGGTTCTAATCCCGGGCCGGGTGACATATTTCGACTCCTCTTATGTAAAGTATCGTATGTCGTAATTGCTAAGCTTACAGCCGGGTGTTTTAAAGTTTATTCACTGAAATGAGCACAACACGTGACTTTGACATTTCTCAGTTTTATTCGGCAAAGCTCACATAGACCAATCAACTACAAGATCATCAGAGATATTTAACCGATATCTAGTGAATTCAGAACTTTAAAACGCTCCCCTGTAAACTTGGCAATTTCAACATACGGTACTTTACTTTCGAGGGGTTGATTTGTATGGCCTACATTCATTTCTCTCACGAGTTTGGGTGTAATTTGTGGTTGTCTATGTGTGTATCCATGACACCCGCGACACAGGGTTTCCCTAGTGCGGGGCTGTGAGTATGTGTGTGTTATTATTATTATCTTCTTAATCTTTAAATCATTATCTTCTTACACAAAGAAGGTTCACAGCACTTGAAAAACATGTTAATACCACAACCTGCATTAGCTTATCTTATTATAAGTATAGGGGACTGTATCTTATCCTTAGATTTGCATTAAAATCTTAAGTCTAGACAGTTGAGATTTAAATTCATCTCTATGCATTTGATAACAACGGAGTAAAATGTCTAACTTGATGTGTTCGTAACTGCACAAGGAATGACATTACACAATTCTATATTGATCTAACATAATTATACAACAAATTGCTTGATACTCGAAATAACTGTATAATTACTGAAGCTCCTTTAATATTATTAATGCATAAGTTTGAATATTTTTTAGTAAGTCATAAACCATACAGTAATACTAAATTACTGGATAGTTTATAACACATAAATATATAACATATATTTATATCACATTGGGTTTTTTTTCTCAGTTACAAATGAAAGTCGAAGAGGAAGTCATAAATAAACAAAAGTAAATAATAAAAGCTGGAAATCGTAATGTTCAATAAGTGGTAATACAGATTTTGTTCGTACATTCTCTATATTAAAAGGTTTTTAAACCTTAACTTTCATGTTAGACAATTAGAGTGCTGATCATGTATATCTTTTTGAAGATGCAAATAAATGCCTCAATTGAACAATGATGTTTACAATTGTAGACCCCCAATAGCTTCGTTAATTGGAAGGCATGACTCTTTCCATAACATACAACAGTGTCATCAGGATTGATTGTAAATGCAAAAGCAGTATGTGTTCGTCAACTATTCGGCCTTAATAATGATGTGGATCAACTAGGAAATGAAACTATTTTTCCGGATTTAAATCGCGTATAATTTGTTTCAAAACAAATTATACGCGATTTAAATCCGGAAAAATAGTTTCATTTCCTATGTGTAACAATCGCGAAAACCTAAGAACTCGAGATGTGGATCAACTTTTTTTTAAATTGTCTTTTAAAGTTTTTTATAGAATGTGCTGATGGGTCTGTATCCTCATCATAAGTTATGGAAATGCTGTATCCTAAATATTATATCTAAATTATTTTAAATGGGATTTGACCACCATTAGTTGACTATAAGACAACCAGATAAATCCTTCTACAGTAGAGTATTAATAATAAAGAAATAGTCAATTTTGTTTACAAATACTAGTTTCTATCAAATTAGTAAATACTGAGAAGTTACCTCTGCACTCTGGGTCTAATTAATTTTTAACATAAATGTGTATTTGTCAATAGAAAAATATAGTTTATAAAACATCTGCATCATAGTGAGGGTTAAAAACATTTCAATGTATAAAAACTTTACCTTAATTTTGAGATAACTCAAGAGAGTATCAGTCATATGCTAGACGCGTGATTTCAGTTTAATAGATAACCCAATGGCTTTTGAACTCTTTTTGTTAGACATTGCAATTGCGAAACTGGTCATTTAAATTGCAGTATTCATAATTGTTTTAGATGTGTGTGCAATGAAATTTGCATGAAATAATTCCACTACCCCTTAACCATCATCGACGAATTAAAAGTAGAATGGGGTTCCATCCTTATGTAGTGAAAATGTATAATAACACCCTAAGTGTTACGCTTCCATATTTATAAGGCGTGGCGTTTATGGAGTGAAATTCCCTGCTGGAAGACTTTGTTCCCTGAATGTTATAACTTGGACTTGTTCAAGGCACATGTGTATATCCATTACACGGATGTGCGTGTTCCCTCAGTTCATCATCCCTTTCCTTAAGTTGAGATAGAGGTTAAATGCACTGTTATTTTCAAGACTAGACTTCAGATCCGGTTGACTTCACACTTTCAACTTACATTGCCACCTTGGTTTTTCTTGGTTTGAAAATTTTATAAGGGCTACCACAGTTAATGTCTTCAAAGGTAATGCGATTTTTACTGCCAAAACATTCAAAATAGTAAACTCTGGTGGAATGCTTTGGATATATTGTTTGGATGAATGATTAAAAACATATAACATTACAAATTTTCGGATTAAAACCTCTTTGCTCAACTGTTTACCAACATAAACAGAACCAGATTAGGTGACAAAAATTGTGTTAAATTTTTATGTAAGAACTTTACATAATTCTTTATATTATTATGTTGCCCTTAAGATGAATATTATGTATATTCAAAGGAATTATAAAATCATAGTTTATCATCCATCTGTGTCAATAAGAAGTCATTATTGAGGCAATTGAATAGATAATAAACCCCCCGTGAATCGGTCATTATACTTTAGTGATAAAGTTTTCTTATTCAACTTTAACAATTATTAGTTTGTAATCTAAATTTTTCTTAAGATATAAAAAGGTTTTTCAAAATCTATTGATGATTATTTTATTTGCATATGCATAACGCATATTGCATATACCTGAATGCACAGATGAGAAGGAAATTCAATAATAGATTTTCTTACATCTTAACATTCATTTTAAAATGTTTTAAAAAACAGGACTTTTTGCTATATTTATTTTCTAGCAGGTCTAATTAGTCACTTTATTATTTTGCCCTTGTTTGTTATTGTTATTGCAGAATAAAATTGCGCAGCAACAGTACCTTGGTACCTATTTTTATTAGGTTTTTGAAATGACGACATTTAAAAAACAAGATTATTATTAGGTAGCAATGTGATAACGCTTTGCGCCCGGCCCGACGACCGACGCAATTCGCAAAACAATTGTTTCCACAAACATTCCATTCGCTTCTATAGCGAGGGAAAGAGAAAGATGTCGTTTCCGCGCCCTTACTTTAAATGTGTCTCTCGTCTGGCCGTATGTCTTTTCAATGAAGTTAGTGTTTTGACGTCATTCATAGTACGTAGCTCTGCGATGGTAGTTCCCGTAGCTCGCATCACGGCTTTTATCTGAGGAGGCTCGCGGGATATAAGGCGATAAGTTGCGCGGGAGTGCACTTAACTGTATGATATCACACTAGCCGGAGGAGTGTACGTAGTTTTCCGTCTTTTAACGGTATAAAATTTATCCTTCTCCGTTGATATCATAGATATATGTACAATCTACAAGTAAATCAGTAATTTCTACAAGTTGTAATATTCTCGGAGAAAACTTTGGAAAAATGGCACTATACAGGTAAGTTGTTTTTTGTTACCTACTATTATAGATTGAACTCTTTGTAATGTAGATATATTTCTAATGTTTGTAAATAGGTAGTAGTGATAAATATGTAGTTTCATCAATTACATGACCTTCAAACCAAATGTCACTAAACCTCATGTCACTACACCTCGGCAAATTTGTTTGCAACTATGGAATAAAAAGTGTCATATGTAGGTGTAGAATTGAAAAACAACAGACATAAACAGCACAGACGTTACATAAACAGTTAATGGGGACAATTGATGTTATTGAAGGCAATATAGACTGACAAACATGTGTTGAGACTTGTTTATATCACATCGCGTGGATAGCACATAGGCATAATTATGTACACTACTAAAGAAGTAGGTACACGCGCGTATTTTATGGTAAATAATTGAATATAAAAATGGGTCAAGTGAAACCGCAAAATGTGCACGATCCTCTACTTATATAGGAAATATTTTAATAGGTACTTGTACATAAGCTATTATAGCACTGTTATAAAATAAGGGAAAAACTCGTAAAGTCGTCATAAGCGAGCCATTTGTTCCACAGGATAGTGGCTCTTGTAACAGAACAGTTCTAATTGTTCTCTATTCTGAGTAAGTTATTTAATTTTTACTTGGTAACACTTTCACACTTTAGCAAGGGTATACTAAGTTTTATTTCTACATATACTATTATTTAATTGACTGTATTTCTTAGAATAGTACGCTTAGTTGGAAACCGCACATGAAACCAGATACTGTCGTAACTCAAAATTGTGGAATTGGGAAAACATAATTAGAAAATTAAAGAAAAAATACTGAATGGGTCTTATTGCGAATAGTGTGATTATTTTTGTTTCATTCATTTATAAACGAAAATAATAATATTATATTGATTTCGTTTTGTATTTTTTTTAAATTTTCAAATAGTATTTTCTCAATTCCACAATTTTGAATTACGACAGTATTTGGTTTCGTGTGCGAAACCTTAGTTCTTTTTTCGGGCCGAAACGAAACTCGAAACTTCTTTGCGGTATTATACCCATAAGGAGTAAACACAAAACGTAAAGCGATGAACGAAAAAACAAGGATTGTGTAAGACCCTCGCAAACCGGACATTCTACTTTTGAAAGTTGCGACTTGGCCGATTTTTCTCGTTCACTCTAGAACGTTGCAAATTTCTAAGAAGCTTTTTATGTTGTACGCTTCGACCATAGGCCTAGAATTTAGTGTTGCTTAGCCTTGTTTATGATTCCTTAGTATCAGTAACATCTGTAGACAATAAGTAAACAGAATTTATGATAAAAAGTTAGAGATATTGTCTTTAAACGATAGTTGGAGTTGTGCTATTTGATGTCTCATTCTTTCATTACCTGGATATATCCATTGTATACAATGATCACAAAACTAATCCCGAAAGTATGGAACATGACCGTTCATCTTTCTTTATAGGAGAATAGGTCCCCCGGCACTGCCTGATGCAGCTATACTGAGTCTATTGATTGACACTTTCTTACACATTGAAAATGAAACTAGTTTTTCCGATCTAAATCGCATATTTTTGTTCTTTCAAACCTGTTTCAAACTAAACCAACATGTTGGGCTTTTTACAGGTCCCATGGTCACGGCCATGGCCGACTTATAGTAGTTCCAACTTAATTTCTAATATACTTTAGCGTAGAAGTTGTGTGTGTGCCTTTTATCACTTCACAAATTGATATCTATGGCCCAATAACCTATCTACTAGTTATTCACCATTGACTCAATTAATGTACTCAAATAGCAATTATAATGCGATTAGAAACATATTTGTGTATTTTGTCCTTTATACAATAAATAAATAAAAAAAAAAATAAAAAAATACTAATATTTAACAGTTTATTACAACGTTTAAAACGTATTTGTTAGAATATATTAGATTTTTTGACGTGCGAGTTTGGGAAATTATAGGAAACTGTACTTAGTATTCGAAAAAAAATCATATCACATGTGTCATAAAAATAAAACGTATACCTATGTGAAATTTTATAATTCTCATATTTAAAGGAAAAGCACCATATCTTTCTACGTTAGTTTTGATTATAGTGACTTCTCTACCTACCCTTACGAGAAGGACACTATAGCCTGTGCGCGCACAGGAACCTTACAAGTACAGGTTCTGACCCCAGATACGCCAGTGCACAGGGTTGTCACCGACCTCTGTCACTTGACTTCATCCGGTTCTTCGAGAGGCTAGTGCCTCGGGTAAGCCGCCCCGGGTGCACGTACAGTACCCTCCCTATTTCCCAGATAGGTACTGGAGCTGTAGGCACGCTCACTTCCCGTTGCGCATTGCACAACTAGCAGTTGCCACCGCTAAGCCGTCGACTCTGAGTCCACTACCAAATATCCTTATTGGTGGCGGAGCTGTAAGGCACGCTCACTTCCCGACGCCGAAAAACGACGTCTCTCCAGTTCCTAATAACCTAAGCGGCTGGAGGGACATCTAGCTTATCCTCTACTAGCTCTCCGGGCTAGTGCCGGAGATGCCAGTCGCAGTGACCTACGACAATGTCTGGACATAGGTTGCAACTTAAAGGGCAACTCGCACACGCACTCGCATACAGGCCCTCAACTAGATCGCTACTAAGACGCGCTAGCTGCTCACGAGACAGCCGCCCCGGCACAAGCAAAACTGGGGCAGACAAACATATCCGTCACTGCAGCTAACCACAAACCCCAGCGAGTCCTTACCCAAGTCCGGGTCCGCCAGAGGCGTATCACTGGCGGAGGGCTTGGCCCGGACGCCCGCCGTACCCTGGTCTTGCCGTCGAGCCCGTAGTCTCTCTGGAAAACCCTATCTCTCGGGTCGGTAGATAGGAAGTTAAAGGAAACAGAAATATCGACTAATTTCGTTCGTAACATCTAAACCTCTCTCCTGAAAAGTTGACATTTCGCAGATATAAGATTGGTTTATAAGAATAATTTTCCAAACGGGGCCTTCGTCACACGAATGCGCTTTAGACGAACTTTTTTACCTTTTTTTACCTTAATTTAAATGATTAAATGATTCTTTGCCTAATGTAAATTCGGTAGGAACACCTGCTCAATATTTTGAGAAATATTTTACACCAGACGACACGGTGAGACTTATTATGATAAAAAGTACTATTAGAATAGGTACATTTTAAGACTGTTTGTTGATTTTGCTTGTAAAAAATGTGTTAAGATTTTATTCACTAACTAAATAATAATTATAACAAAATTATTGTTGTTGTGTTTTACTCAAATATATATTGAAGGCCTATCTAAATACAACCGTGTTTCCTACACAATTGTGCGCCTGTTATAGAGGGTCAAAGTTAATACAATTGTGCGGGCCAAAATTTTCCAATATGGCGGTTGGAAAATGAAAAATTGACCTTAGATTCGTCATCTACAGGTCAATTTCAGGTAGACAAGTTTTATTTGGAGAAATTCCAAGTAGTTTCGGAGCCGGTCTGAAAGGGATAACCGTATTACACCAAGGGTGCTAATTGTGTTGTATTTATCCTTATTTAGTTGTATAAATTATTAGCTCTATATATTCATTTTATGTACCTACGTTCTTAGATTTAATCTGTTCAATTTAGAGGCTAAGTTTTATGCTGGAAATTTTATTATCAGCTATATAATCATCGGATTCTTTCAACAGTTGAAAAACTCGGCTCGGTTTTCCAGGTATTTCCTTTACGTTATCTTTTTGTTCGCTGGGGGCATATCGTTTGTAAGTGTTACTGCACAGCAACATCTGATATGATGGGTTTATTGCTTATTGCTTTAATGATAACGATAAGCCAATAATCGTCCGATCATATTTGTGACTTGTTTTTGGGAGTTTTCCATGATTTATTATTTCATATCATGTTCCGGTATCTTGTCTTATGTGATAAAGATATTCAGTAAACATGGAAACGGTTCATACGATGTAATGCTATTACGACTTAGTAAGACGTGAAATCCAACAAAATTCGCCTGAACATAACATTAACAACAAGATGCTATTATTTAATTATGAGATCACTGAGCGGAGAATGTACTGCCACAATAATTACAAAAGATATTGGCATAAAACGGCTTTATACCATCTCTTGGTGTTCCTTTCCTATCGTAATCGGATAATCGGAGGTTGGACAACATCATGGCAATCCTGACTTTAGAGACTGTCGCTCTAAAGAACGAGGTGGTACTGCAGCCCATTCATACGCAGAACCATTCCCTCAAATTATTTAACGAGGAGTGCCGCCTTCTACCGACAATTCGTTTTGCCCAGCGGTTTTGCCCTGGTTATAAGCTTGAGTAATTTTTACTTAATTGCTTTTCATGACGTGACTTAAGTACCTACAACATTTTCCTGTGCATAATGATGTTCATAAGCTCCACCTTTTCCTATAGTTTATTGACTACTTCTATATTTGTAACCCGGTGACGCCATGAGATTCTCAAGACACGGTGGTGGACCCACATTTCAAAAGCCTTCAGCTTTGTTGTGTTCTTGTAGGGGTTCAGTCTCATCGTTTCAAATGTAATAGCGTACAATGCCCAATCTTAATCTGAAACTCTGATTCCTATCGCGCAATCTTTATTCATACTAAATACCACATCTTTAATTTCTTATATTTGTTCACGAATCTTCTAAATTCTTTGTCTTCCACAGCATCAAGAACAACCTGCAATCCGCAACTCTGAAGACACTGTCGCTGATGTCCATCAGCGTCATGTCTCGTCAGCAGAGCGTCCAGGAGCTGTTCCGGACGGCAGACTGCGTGTGCTTCGATGTGGACTCCACTGTCATCAGGGATGAAGGCATCGATGAACTGGCTAAGTTCTGCGGAAAAGGAGATGAAGTCAGACGACTGTAAGCATTATTTAATCATTTAAATGAAATAATACTTTTACTTGTAATTGTACTCCGTTTTCTTCTAATTAGCAATAGTTTTTAGTAGTCACAAAACGTTTAAAGAAAGATTCTACGTGCGAAATTAGTAGTAATTAATTTGTACCAAGGGTTTGAAATCTTAATGGTTAACATCGGAAACAAGCACTTAGGTACTACCTATGGTCTCCGGAAACAGGCACCCTACACTCCAATCATAAAAAGTAGTTACGGCAGTTTTCCCACCATGGATGACCTACGGGACTATTCTCGAAGTCCGTGAACAAAAGACATGCTTTTTCGAAACTGTCAAATCGGGTGTCATAGATTCTTAGTTTTAGCCCCGATCGAAACTCACAGATCGTTCATAATAGAAAAACGTCGTTTTGTTCTTCGGGAGCAGGGTCTCTGAACTCTGCCTGTGGTACATACCTTATTTTATTTTTAATAGTTTTAAAGCATTCGAATTAGCAGCATTCCGAAAGTTAGCATCTTTTGTATCCGACAATTCTTTAAGTTGAATAAGTGAAGAACATGATATATCTTGCTCTATTTTAAATGATTTTAAAGCTATGTATTAGCTATTTTTTCTATCCGACATAAATAGGCGACCAATCTGATAGAGACCATACAAGTTCCATAATAACAGGAAAAAAAAAACATTATAAAAATGTTTTACTGCCTGACATCCACAAAAGTCAGCTATTTGTGAACATCGTTTGTAATTTAAATTCGCATAATAAAGAAGGTACCTAAACTTATACATATAGCAACAAATACAGGTGTGGTAACGTTTTAAATTTAAACAACCTTGCGAAAACCATATGATTTAAATGTGAATGTATAGCAAATAATTAAGGTCGGCTTGTTGTTTTAATATACTATATTTCATTCACACAAGTTTTTACAACGTACTTCTCCTCACAAATTGTCGTTATTTTAATTTCACACCTTAAGCACCCAGTTACCCGACGCAAAAGTTTTCGCGCGGCCGCCACACGGCTATCGCCCAGCTCTGTGAAATTGTATTCTATTTACTAGGCAACAACATTTAAATTCCTCGGAATAATTAATACAACCGCCAACCAAAAACAAGCCAGTCTCGCTCGCGCGCCCGGACCGCTCATTTAAGTTAAAACGTAAAATCTAAATGAATAGGGCGTATTTTGCCATGACAGTTAGATGCACGCGTTGTGAACGCGATGTAATTCGTGTCGAATAAACACATACTCTGCCTTCGGAAGACAGAAAGGCACAAGTAGCTAAACTCGAAGATAAATGTGTTTAAATATTTGTTAGGTTTTTCTGATAAAAAGTATAGTTAAAATATGCGTTTAACATTAAGTACTTTATTTATGTTATAAAGACATACCGTATGTTTTATACACAAGCTTTCATTGTATTTAAATCAGGTTAAATATTAGAGTTTTTAACATAAGAAACGTTAAATATGAGTTTTTGTAGTAAACAATCTGATTATTGTCAGTTGTGCCCTTTGACTTTGCAGTATATTCAACAATTATTGAAATATACTTCTACAAAAAGTAGGTAGATTGATCATCCGACAAAAATGTCGGATGTGCCAGATAGTGAGGAGTAGGACCATATCACGTATTTAATATCCGCCGCGATTTATTTCTATTATCTGATATTGTAATCTGTGCGTTGATAGAACATCATTCACAGGTAACATGACAACCGAACGGTATCTTTCTAATGTTGAACATTTTGTTGATAATGGTTTGTCGGCGTATTTCTTTGTTCTCTATCACATTTTATTAACTTTCTGTTATCGTTAGTACCTGCCTGATACCTACATGATATATAATAATAATAATAATTTATTTTTCCTTTTTAAAGTTATTCTGCTTTCGTGTCGATGGCATCAATTAAAATTTATTGACAGCCACAATTGTCATGTTTATTGTACCTTTTGGTTCAGTTCAATGAACTCCACTGAGCTTATTGGAAACTGATTCACTAACGAAACGATATAGAGTTTTGAGTACAACAGTCTTACTAATAAAAAACAACTAAACATCCCTTTAACCAATATTTAGTTAAGCATTATTTAAGATTTTAAGCACTATTTACCTTTCTATTACATATAAAAGAAGTTAAACACTGCTTAGTTAATATTTGTAAGTCAATGTTATTTAAGTAATGTTTAATGAAGAAAAAATTATTACCGTGGCAACATTAGAATATTAAACCATTAAAAATAGCTATTGAAAGCTAAAAAACAGAAAAAAAATGCTGTCATTTGACATTTGGAGCGAAAAATCTAAAAATTACAAAATTTGTTTGCTAACAAACTCATTTTCTTTTAACGTATTTGCTTTGGAAAAACGATATCGTTTCCTAAATTCATGTTCATCTAACTGGAGCAGTGTATCGTATCGTTTCTTGTTCTTTGCGCGCCTCTGTTTAAAGTACCGCAAATCTGCTATCACGCCGAAAACTTTCCATTTTCTCACAATAAAAAAACAAAACGAATCTGCTTAACTCATTGACGTTTTGTAACTTGCTAACAGCTGATTAATGTCAGCCATCTTGTTAGTTAGCGAGTTAAACAAGTTTCCTAGCTTAGAGGATGGAAAAAAATAAAGGAAGTTCCTAGGGTGTTTAAGTTGACAGCTATTTAAACAACAAATTAATTAATCATTTAGCACTAATCAATGTATATATGTAAGATTTTTTTTTAAAACATAGTTTAAAGCGCTATCTAAAGTTAAATAGTGTTTATAAGTAATGCTGTTAGTCTGCAATGTCTCTTTTACATTTTGTTCTCAAACTTTTATCATTTTCTATTATGAAATTCTTAATTTTTTAAATTAATACCATCTAACTCTTAAAAATTGACGCACGCATAGTGTTTGTGTTGTCAAAGTTATTATCAAACAATTTGTTATTAGATCTTCTATAATATACGTAAATATTTTACTTGATCCTCAACAATTAAAGTCTTCACTGTCTTTTACACATATTAATTACGACAATGGAGCACTAAATACATATAGTAAATTAATAGACAAAAAGAACGGGTTTCAGCTAATCATGATCCCTCATGAATCAGGATCCCTTGAAGCACTGATTGTAAGCTTAAGATGATGCGGAATATAATGAATAGAAAGTTAAAACTCATTGAAAATGACCTATGAACCTATGACCTATGCATACGGATCAAAAATCGCGTATATTTCTTTTTTCAACTAAACCAACGTTTCGGATTCCTTACAGGTCCTGTCGTCATAGCTGACTGATTTGAAATAAATAGTATAACCAATATTAACGCATACACTCAACATAGCTCCGCACTAGGGAAACCCTGTGTTGCGGGTGCCATTGACACACACATAGACAACCACAAATTACACCCAAACTCGCGAGAGAAATAAATGTAGGCCATACAAATATTTCTCCCGACCCGGGAATCGAATCTGGGACCTCTGCGTGGCAGTCCGGCATGGTAACCGTTCGGCCACGGAGGCAGTTAAGGCATATTAGATTAGAGTAGAGGATTAATAGTACAGGTATTCCACAAGGCGCACTTCCGCGACCGCTTTCATAGCAAGTGACTATGACCACGGTTGACAAATATACGCGACCTGAAAAAATAAATTCCGTTGCAATGTGTAGCTTTCGCGAAAACCTAAGAAATTGATAATTTAAGAATGGTTTATAAAACTATGTTTATCAATACTAGGTATAGTCGAGAAGATTGCCGCTTACGATAAGATCAATATTATCGTAAGCGGCATAGGGTTCAATGTAAATCTTAAATCTCAAGCGTGACATGCTATTGGCCTTGTACATTTCGTATCGTCTACAAATTTAAATCCGAGAATAATCTAACTCATAGTAAAGTCCAAATTATTTCAGTATGAACTTTATACGTTTGATTGCAGAACTGCAGAAGCAATGGGTGGTAATATGACCTTCCAAGAAGCCCTGAAGAAAAGGCTGGACATCATTAGACCGTCAGTCGTCCAAATCCAAGAGTTCTTAAACAAATTTCCCACGCACCTTACCCCTGGCATATCGTGAGTAATCCGATTATTACTGTATTTAAGCTTCGTCATAATCCTACGCCATCTTTATTTAGTGGTTTCTACCTGCACCAGTTCGTCGTTCTACCTTCATCCAGGGAAATACTGCCACCTTACCTATTTTTGCCGCCAAGCAGTGATGTGAACGTTACTTGCGTTTCGGTTTCGAAGGGTAAGGGTGCTGGTGAAATTACAGGCATATGGGACTTGTCAACTTATATCACAGGGTGACGGGTGCAGTGGCAGTCCCCATAAGATCTTTGCGACTTAAAGCTCTGAATGGTACTGGCGGGCGTGTCGCTTACCACCAGGCGTACGACTTGTTCGTCCCATCACTTAGTATTATAAAAAAAACCTGTTGTGACGCCGCCTACACTACTTGTTTTTTCATCTGTTATTGGTTCTGTTAGACTTGTCAATAGGGTCTATATTAGGTGACGTAAAAATACTGCGCATAATTATAAGTACGCATATTATGTCGAATACGCATAATTATTATAACTTATCTTAAAATATTTACGTCACGATGCCTTTTACTATAACCTATATTCATACAAAACTAGATTATTCCAGTTCCGCGGTATTTTATCGTTTGACCCCAACTTAATTGTTCGTTTTTTTTTTGCGTAAACATTCATTGCTGGTTTGTCAATACCAGATTTTTGTGGTTATTTCACGAACAATCTGATTAATGCCATGAGCATAGTAATGAATGTATATTGTGTTGTTTGTTAATTTCGACCTACTTTAATTTCATTAGTAAATTATATTGAATATCACGTGATATTATCGTAACATGATTGTTTAAAGGAGTGAGTGTACATTGCGAAAGAAAAAATATGAAAGAAACGTTCTACCAAAGTGATATTCTGCGAAAAGGACATTCTGCGAAAGACATACTTTTTTAAATTTTAATAATACCAAGTGACGGAACGAACAAGTAGTGCGCCTGATGGTAAGCGACACGTCTGTCCATAAGAGTTGTAGTGCCGCTCAGAGCTTTAAATAGAGCAAAAATTTGGGGGGCACTACCGCAGCGCCCATCACCCTGAGGCATAAGTTAACAAGTACCATGTGCCTGTAATTTCACCAGCACCCTTACCCTTCAAAACCGGAACGCATTAATACTTTCATTACTTCTTGGCGGCAGAAATAGCTCTACTACTACAATACTACATACTAAGCAGGACGGACGTAATAATTTTTTGCATATTTTTTTTGTAAAGTTGCTTGTTATGACGAATATGCTGCCCTCTTTGTCATAACTAACGCATTTGCATTTTCGAACTTTTAAGATTTTGTCATATAAAGTTTTTTTTTTTTGAAACATGTTATTACGCTGAAACTGAAACTAAACAAGACGTAAAAAAGCCGCTTCAAAGAATGAAAATGTCGATTACGTTAGTTATGATAAGGAATTGTGATCCAGATAAAGATGAGCTAAATATCTTTGCAGAGAGCTAGTAAGGCTACTTCACGAGCGAGGAGTTCCTGTCTACCTAGTAACCGGCGGATTCCGATGCCTCATCGAGCCTGTAGCCATACAACTCGGCATCCCTGTTAGCAACGTTTTCGCTAATAGACTCAAATTCTATTTTAATGGTAAGTACGATATTTTATTTTTGAAGTAAGCGGTACATCTGTTCATAACAGTTGCAGTGCTACTCAGAACAAAAAAAAAAAACAAAAGAACATCACGCTTTTTATTTTCAAGTACCGATACCTTCGACGTTTGAATTAAAAATTCAAATTTTATGATTTGTAAATGAATATAGTTAATTTTGAGAAACTCTTTGGCCCTGTAAAAAATCACTTTAAATTAACCATACATTTAGATTTAAGGTATATTTTTAATTTAGCATTTATGGTATATTTTTAATTGCCATTCCCTACTGGAACTGATAAGAGGTAAAATTCAAATTTTCAAAAGCAGAACGACGTTGTTTCACAACGTATTCGTCCAATTCCGTAAAACACGATCAACTCCGAAGCTTGAACTCCATTGTTGTTTTTTAAAATACCAAGAACACAATGATAAGCATTTGCAATTACGTAAATCGGAATACAATTGTTTCAGTTGTCAATGTCAATAGAAATCCAGTCGCTGCCTTATCAATAAATAAATGTCTTATAAGTATATTATTGGTCGTTCAATTCAAAATAGTACTTTGTTTTATCGGTTCTTAATAGGTTTGAAAAGTCAGCTATGTGATCGACAATTACGTTTAGAAATGATACGCATCTATGCAACGTAACTTCATACGTTCGGCGTTATTGTTTTAGAGAATTGAGTGTTGGATATTTATCACGTAGAGTGTACGACGGTATTGCATGAAATCATTCCGCCATCCCCTTTCTAGCATCGGATATTATACTTTGTTTATTTAGCATTATACAGAAGGAAATTTTGAGAGTTGCGGATACTAGCCCGTTACACCAAGCACCAAGTACTATAAAAAACTTAAAGAAACGGAGCTTCCGGACGTTAGATAACTACGTTAACACTGACAGGTTTTTATAAAACAGTAACATATTAGTTAGTCATTTGTAAATGTCATTTGTCATCGATTGTCACGAAGTTTTCCTTCACTGTAATTTGTTGGCAGAAGAAAATGGTTTGTGATCAACGCTTCGTTGTTTACGTTTTTTCTAATTCTAAAACAAACTAAGCATAGACGAAGGCTAGGGTTCCACGGTTGGACTGTACAGAAAAGCACTGTAGCTTTGGTAAATGAAAAATGTTCAGCATAATTTTGTCGAAAACTATCGCCCTCGGAGAAAAATGAATAATATCAAAAAGTGTTTATTTATACCTAATCTAACCAAAACACATATTAGTATGTGTTCTATAATATGAACTATTTAAATTGCCCCCTTTCCCACCGTCTGACCGGTTCCACCCCTATTTGTGGATATATCCAAGATTCGCACGAAGCGTTACAATTTCACATTTATTTGGCGTGGCGACTACGGAGTGTAAATTGCTGCCTCAGATTTATTCCTTTAGTCAATTTGGATCTTTTCAAGGCGAGAGTGATTAGGCATTATATACGTGTGCATACTCCATCGTCGACCTCATCGCCACTTTCCATCAGGTGAGATGGAGGTCAATTGCGCACATATTCCCGTAATAAAAGAAAAGAATTATATGTTGAAGATTTTAATGTCATGGTTTTGTTGTCGTACAACAGTTTTTGATTGATTTATTTATGCCATAGCTACAGAATACAAACTGTGCAATTTGCTTAAAGTTAACATGCATTACAATAGTAGTAAAATATAATAATATATAAATATTTATGATGAAGGGTACATTTTTCCTTACAAATTTACAGGAAAAAAGTTTTCCTTATTAATTAGCTTTGTTCGTGGAACAAAGACCACAATTTCGTTATCTTGAACTATACATAATTAAAGAGATAAAATTGTAAACCTAGTGACGTCATAAACTGCCCTCGCTTTGTAAATTTATGTCAATGACGGAACCTTCGATAGTACACTTGTGGTGCGTTATATTGTTTGTTACGCAATAAGGTTAAAACATTACCGTAATGCTATTTATATTTGGTTTACTACTTTATGATACGTGTAAAGGAAGAGTTGAGTTCAAGGGGAGTTCCGTAATCTTTGAGCTTTAATAGGCGTAATTTTATGTTACATTTTTATACATTCGATTTTCCATGAATATTCCCTATTAAATTATCAAGGCAAAACAACCAATTCTATTTGTATATATATCAATTATATTCTAATGACATTAGAAGAAAATAGTCACTAATATTAATTAAAATAACAAACAAAAATAAAAGAAAATAATATTATTGAACCGCATTGAAATCAAGAAATATCGTCACAGACATACACCTAGATAAACGTGGTCGCAACTAACATTCACTGTGCGCATGCACAGCACATGTGATAAATGATTGTGGTAAATTGGTTTTTATTTTTAGTTTTATTTAGTCTACGTGGGTTACTGTTTCTCATTGTTCATTGTTACAAGACAGGTTTTGTAATTAGATGTTTTTTCGTAATCTTATTTTGTGCTTGAAATCTCAACAATACTGATCTTGTTATGATTATGACTACAAAGATAGAAAGCGAAAGAACACACAGAAAAATTTTTTTGCCACCGCGGTGGGTTTGCCAACCCACGTCCATGCTGTATCGTAGCATTGCTCTAACCACCTGAGTCGCGTGTCCAGTTATCGAGTCGTCGAAATTCTGGCGATTCCGATACGAAAATTCGATCATAGTATTCATACTCGTAACAAAACTAGTGGAGTTATTTAACAAAAGATGTCAATAAATACTGATCTTGTCGATATTTAAAATCAGATATACATTCTCTTATTTACGCCCTTTTACGACATAAGTCTACGTAATATTAATTTTATTAGATATCTCGATGTTTTACAACCGTGATATTCAATTGTTTTTTGGGAAAGTAACTCGGCATTCCGCATACTATACAGACGGCGCTACGTCCAATTCAGCCTGATCGAAGGAATTTTTCTTGTGTCAATCTTTATATTAATCAATTATAATACAAGTATATACTTGTCGACACAGTTTTAACAGATTCTTTCCCTGACCTTATTAACAATAATTATCTTGTGGAGTCGAAGCTACAAAGTTCCGACCATCGCAGAAAATAGTCTGCTTGTCGGTTTTCTATGGGATACATTTCAATTTAGCTCTACCCTCACCGTTCGTCGTTCGGTCTACTACCGGACACTCCATCCTTATATCGTTGATATACCACCCATTCCCATTAAGCGCTTTGTTTCCTCCTTTCTGATGCGTACGGCTAAGGAATGGAATACTCTACTGGCTAAAAGTACAATTTGGGGCTATTCAAGGCTAGAGTGAATAGGCATTTTTTTAGGCAGACTGTACCATCGTCAGTGATATCGTCGCTTAACATCAAGTGAGATTGTGGCCAAGCGTGTCTCTATTATTTATTTAAAAAATACCTCCAGGCAAACCCAACGGTGTTATCTTGACAAATGTATTTTACCTCCTTCCTCGTATTGGTTTATTCAAGGAATTTTAACCAACATTACATTACTTAGTACAGACCGCAAAAAGCAAAAACAAAAGCGCACGCGCACATGGCGTGGCGGCTGACGCGATGCATCTGGTCACGCTCAGGTCAACATGATGACACTTTGTTTAATAGCTTGTCATACTTACAACTGATAACGAAGTGGGTGTGTCGCTATTTTTTTAAAATAATCTCACAGTTCAACTTTTGTACTAATTATGACTTGTTGTTGCTAATGTGTTTAAATAATCGATTATCTGTTCTAGTTTGACGTCAACCGTTCGTGTTCAACGCGTGATTAATACTGTAATTTTCTTGTTGGCATGGACTTATTGTTTGGAGACTTTGTTTTTAATTTTTGTTAAAGAGTATGTCTACTTTAGCTATAAATTACTTACCTTGTTACATTATAATTAGCTAGCGTCCTAAAGAGGATATTATTCTCCGACATCAAAAATACTTGGTTTTATTAGGTTTGTTCAAAGTACAAAAATTTTAAAGTATAGAAAATAAAATGAATGAATGAATTTAATTGAAATTGATCTTTTTTAAATCGCTCTCATTCAAATTTATTAAAAATAACTAAATCGCGTACTTCTTGTTTGTTTTTTCAAACAAACCAATTTTTCGGGTCTTTTACATGTCTCATGGCCACGGCTGACTAAAATGAAGCGTATCACGTATACATACACTTTACGCTTTTTTCTTATGGATGCAAGCAGAGATCACAACTTTCCATTAGCTACGATGTTTACAACGGATTTCAAAACAAATTACAAACTGTTCCTGGTCTGCGTTATTCTCAATTTGGAGGTTGAACAGTAGTTCAATGCTATTATATTTTAAAGTTGTGCAATATTTCGTCATTGTTTATTTTTCTAACACTTAACCATTTGGTTATCAATTGTTGTCGTTCGTCTTCCATGCCGGTCGGCGCCATTTTTTTAAATTGTATATTGTTGCAATTTGAGAATAGTAGCCCAAAACAATCGTTTTATGGTTTTGAGTTATTATACAGCTGGTGAATAGGCCATCGAGCTTTCTATTGGTTAAAATAATCCTGACAATCACTAGCCCTGCGCGCCAGATACGCTAAAATGTTTGTTAAATCATGTTTCAGGCAAAGTAGGTAGTTTTGAAATAGGTTACTATTCTAGGAAGCCATCGATATTTTCTCGTCCGGTTTGCAGACACGTGTATTGTGTTGTCAGTGAAGTTAAAAGGTCGTCTATAAAACAGTTCCAGTTGTTCGTATCTTTCTTAGGTACATAAACATTATTGACATTAGATACAGTTGAAGTATATTTACAAATAACCATTACTCTTTGGGATCTTTAAGAAATATTTGTTGTAATTTTTGTGCAGGTGACATAAAAGTCTCCAACTATTAGCTTTTGCTGTTGATGTTGGTGGTCGAGTAGGAGGGGCAGGATATGAAATACCCTTTACCTTGATAGCTTGTGAGAACCCACAGTGAAATGGCTTATTTTAATTTTGAAACGCGTATATCAATATGTGCAGAGAGTTCTTAAGGTTTTTTATTATGATAAGAACTTCTTCTTTATTATGATAAGGTCTTGAAACTTTTAGATTACATTCTGTCCGCCATTATTTTTCAAATTTAAGTATACGAAAAAATTTCAAAATTGCACCTATGCAAATCACCAAAATAAATTTATAACGGACAAGAAATGTACACATACGGACACATAATGTCACGGTTATCTCGTACTGGGGTAGGTAGAGATTGCAGACCTCCACTTGCAACGTTCGTGGTATGCTCTTATAGTTTCCTCCATTCGCATAAGCCAATCGTTTTCTAATTTAATTAATAACGCTTTTAATCCTTGTTCCAGGTGAGTATGCGGGCTTTGATGAGAACGAGCCTACCTCCCGATCTGGCGGCAAAGGCCTCGTGATTAGACGACTAAAGGATCAGCATAGATACGAGCGCATCATCATGATTGGAGATGGCGCCACTGATGCTGAGGCTAGTCCGCCTGCCGATGGATTTATTGGTTAGTAACATAAACATGTATTAGAAAGTGGTTTTGTTTGTGTACTTTTCATGTCGTTTAGTATTGACAACAAAACACGATTTCTTTTAACAACGAAAACTTCGAACATTGTAAAATAATATTGAAAACATTATTAACATTACTGGGTACGGATTCCCTCAAAGGAAATGGTTTAGACACGTGAAAACAACACGCGTGGTGGCCTAAGGCCCATATATATAGATAGATAATTTAACCATAAGAGTAGAATAATGCCATTTGTTTTGTCAGAAAATGATTGTGTATACAAACTGGTAAGCCCCGAGACCACCCGTTGCAAATTTAGAGCATGTGACTTTAAATACAATTTATTCGACATTTAGTGTCCGATCTTTGTATTAATAATTACAACAAACTCATTGAAAAAAATATGACTATCATGGTATAGTCTATCTTTTTCGAAGACGGAGTAAAATGACAGTTCATTGCGTAAAAGTGTTGCCCGCTTGCAAGCAGCTAGTGATTGCTGTCGATAAATATTCTGTCGACTTTCGACTGATACGCTGACGTCACGCTTATGCAATAAATAACCGAACTTATTTCATTAGGATCATCATCGGCCTATTATTCGTTCAACTACCAAGCAATTTTCATTATAATTGTCAATTTTGTAAGCTCATACATGCATGCATGTAGCACTGGATTTAGAACTATGTCTATTAAAAATACAAAACGGAGACATATTTTCAATTTTTCATTTTAATTCAATATAGATAATCAAATCCCAGGTGGATGATTCTTATTAAAATGTTATGAATAAATATTGATTTCGACACTAGTAGGCCAAGTGTCAGAATGAGAATAAAGAAGTCAATAACGCGATTAATAATCACTGTAAAGGCGTAACATTCATAATTCAGATATTGTTGGCAAAATTTTACTTTCTTTCACAATCTATCGATAAAACTGTCGACAACAACTACATGACTATTTAATTTTTTATTAAAACTGGCAACCCTGCAATGTCATTTTAATCCGTCTTCAAAAAAGACAGGCTATAGTAAAAACAACACGACTCTCGATAAAATCAATATTAAAGTTAATACAGCGACATCTATATCAGTGTCTGGTAGCTGTAAAGGCACCGGCTGAGAGAGAAGCTTCATAAATCTCTCACAGGTGTGGCTTACGGCCATAAAAACAAAAAAAAAACTAACAAAAAATCAGGTTTTTTCGGGTCAATCAGATCGAAGGACTTTTTCTTTGTGTTGGTCTATGTGATAATAATTATATATTTTTTTATTTTATTTTAAAATTTTGGACTTTTGTTCTAGGTTTCGGTGGAAACGTTGTCCGAGACGAAGTAAAGAGACGCGCCGCTTGGTACGTTACAGACTTCCAAGAGCTGATAGACGTATTAAACGTGCAGGCGAAGTGAAGTGCATAGCATTATAAGTTTTATGAGTCAAGTATTCAGTACGTTGATGAGCAATGTGAGTGATGTCGAATGCTATCTCGGTATTATGTAGAAGGTAACGAGAACCTAATTTTAATTAGGACGAAATCAAAGCTGGCCTTTGACTTTTTTAGTAGACTTATGGTTTTTTGTGATTGATTGATTTGGAATGCATAAAATAGTTTTTTACTATGAGTAGACACTTTTAAATTAATATTCTCAAAAATAAAAAAAGCCATGAACATTCTGTGTTAAGTTGCCATGTTGATAATCCAGATATTTTTAAATGTGTTGACAGTTTTTATCGTACTTTAAGTACATAATTATTAAATAATTGTTATGTTGGCTGTGAAGTTCAATGTAGATCCCTCATATATGCGCAAGTGGCTTTTGTACGCGCCGTTCTTGGAATTTCGCAAAATGACGTGGGTACTTTTGAATTTCAGCCTTTACTGTTGTGAGTTGAATGACTCTTGTTGACGTACGGGAAATAGTTAAAAATGCTTTAGGTGATATTATTCTATGAAGAATTGTGACAAAACGTTCTGTTGATGTCTAGATTTTGAGAAATATATCTGTTTCTTTCTATCTTGTTAAAGACACATAAGATCTATCTCTGTTTATATTATTTCTATATTCTACTTTATGTCTCTGTAGGGTAATAACGCATTCGATAGTAACGTATTTTGACAGTAATTTTAGCTAGTTTTAATAGATATTCAATTTAGTATTGATCACTATAAGTATGTAGATAGGGTAACGAATTTTTAATGTAAGACGCTTTTCCGGTATTCTTTCGGATAAGTTAATTCTATTTAGTTATTTTTTCACCGGTATGTTGTTGTTTGAATACTTATTTAGGAAGTAGTTTCGTTGTATCACGCGATTGTTAGTTCGGTGATGTCAATTATATATTTATGGCAAATATGGCTGTGTACTTCATATATAAGGAATAAAATTAATAGTTAAGATTTTTTTCTTTTATTTTCATACTCCTATTTCGGGATTCGCTGAGAGAGTAAATACGTATTTCTATAGTATGTGTGAGTGCAAGAATGGGGACGCCAACAGAAGCTTATCCTAGCGTGGGCAATAAAACTAACTAAATATTAGAATAAGTAAATTAAAAAGGAACTTCTAAATTGGGTCTAGACTGGATGTTCTGAGTTATGCCACATAGTATAGGAAATTTCCTACTGTACAATGTATTGTATTCTCTAATGAATACATTATTACTTTAAGAATGCTTGTATTTCGTGCTGTCAGATTCTGGTAGATCAGTCACATGCGACCATCATAAAAATTTGTTTCACTTGTGCTCTGATGGCCAAAGAATAAGTAAGTAAAGGATGATTAGTGTTCATTCGTAGTTATCAGTCCAATCTGGTGGATCTAATTGAGATTGCCGTATGAAAATATACCCGTTTTCTTTTAAATTCCATGACATGAGATTTTTGTTGACCTATATCGTGTACGGAGTTATAAAGAAGGATGGCGAAAGCTGACCCAATAATTATAAAATCAACGAAAAGCCATTCGTGGACTTTGCTGGTATGATTTTGCTTTTTAGTTTATGCCTAATCAATATATTTTTGTATATTTTTAGAAGTCCGGAATAAAGAAATTGTAAAATAATTTATTTTAAAATAAATGCAAGAACACAACGCATTCAGTTCAACCAAAGACTAAGTAATGTTCTTGTACATATGTTTCATTTTAAGCATGATTAAATGTTTACCTACATACCTAAAGTAGGTATTGTTTATTTTATAGTACACACATAGAACATTGAAGCTATAAAATACCTAATCAAATAAACAGTAATGATAGTTATGAGATTTATGCCATTTGGGCAGAATAAATTTTTATTAATTTTCATTGCGGCAGAATATGACTAGTATTATAAAAATACGTGTTTGGCAGATTTGAGAATATGCAACAAGTTATTTATTATTTTTGGGAACAAACTGGAAACTGTTGTGTTCTGCTGTTAAAGATAGAAAAATACGGTTGGTGAAGATTTGTATCACAATTCTTGAAATATTTTTCTTGTAATGGCATCTTTGTGTACATTTTTTATCGCAATTTCCACCGCAGAGTATAGCCGGGGATTATGGACGAGAATTTTTGTTGACAAATTGAAATAGAGGATGTTATGTTAATTTCTATAATAAAAACTAAAGTCAGTGTTTGAAATCTTAAATTTTCTGTGTGTAGTGATAAATTAGAAGTACACTTCCATTACGACATCAACGAATATTTAGTATATTCGTTGATGTCGTAATGGAATGGATGCTCGTGAAATAGGTGCGGAGCGATAATTGCTTGAAGCCAGTGTCGACTGCATACTGTTGTGCATATCAACTTTGTACTGGCAGTCCATTTACTCGCAGCCTTATGCCCGCCTTCCACAGCGAAAGGGTAATGAGCGAGAAATAGCTGAGTGGTGCTGAGTAAAATAGTTTTGTCCTTCCACTAGGAAAGAGTTTCACTGACAAGAGGTGTTTGCCTTCCATAGCCAGCGGGTTAAGCGGAGTGAGGTAACCGGCAAAGGAGATGGGCCAGACGAGCGAATTGTTTGCATTTCATAGCGAACGGGCTTAGCGGAGTGAGCTAGGCGGTGGAAAAGTAAAAAATCAGTTTCTGTTTTTGTTTCGTGTAAAAAAATCCAGTTTCCCATTTTCTGCACCCTAATTAACCCTCTAATTTATTTATAATTTATCTCTGAATAAATTAGGGGGAATAATCTAGGTATTCTAGGTAGCAAAATTGTAGTCTTACGCTCAATTTATATAGCGGCGGAACGGAATGGAAGCGAATTTTCTCATCGATAACGATGTACAATTAGTATAATGAACTTTATGGTCAATTGTGTAATGTACAAACTAGATACGAGGCAAAATATTCTGCGCGAGTATTCTCGAGCATGCGCGAGAATTCCGCGGAAGATTTTGGCTCGTATCTAGTTTGTACGTTACACAAATGACCATTAAGTTCATTATGCTATGTATATTATCGTTACAAAAATTCGCTTCCATTCCGTTCCACCGCAGTATAAATTTAGCCTTAAAATATCACAAGTTGTTTTCCTTGTGAGCACATTTCTTCCCTATACCTATATATTGCCTTTACGGAGTCCGTTAAAAAAAAAGCGCGTGACACAACGACACAACGGTTCTCGCCGACTCCGCTTCGCTCACTCGTTAGAGCTGCAGCTTTAGAGTAGTAGCTTAAATGTGACGTTTTCAAGTGTAAATTTATTTTACCTATGGAATAAATAATCTTTGACTTTGACTTTGCTTGATTTTGATTTGCTCTCCCAGTCGAAAACTGTGTCTCTTCCGAGGCGATGCGCACAATTGCGATTCACGACTAGCCAATCGGAAACTTTGACATTTCAAATAGTAACAATAGTTGATTTAACTCACAAATTAGAAAGATTTAATAGGAATCAGGTTCAGATTCCGATTTGAATCAAAATCAGCATGCTGGAAGCACTTCTAGGAAATTTATTGTTGCGAGTTAAACTGAGTCCGTATGGACTCCGCTGGAAGCCCGCTCAACTCTGCCAGCTCTTTTGTGACTCTTTCAACTGGCTCAGTCCTCTCTGCTCACTCATTTGCGGTGGAAGCACTTGCATGAAGTTTACCATTGCGAGTTAAGCGGAGTCCGTACGAAGCTGGCTCCGCTCGCAGTGGAAAAATTACCACTGCTGGAGGTTTGAGTTCAATTTGCAACATTCGAGTCAATAGTTCAATATGGAACTTTTGGGTTACAATTGTTCCACATGGAACTGATACATGGAGCTACTGGGAATAAACAAGCACGACGGAGTCTTCTGGAACCTAGTGCATTTTTGTAAGTACATTTTTAACCGACTTAAAAAAGGAGGTGGTTCTCAATTCGACTGTATTGTTTTTTTTTGTATGTATGTTACGCGATAACTCCGGTATTTGTGAAATCGGTTCACAAATTCCGGAGTTGATGATTCGTTCTTTGTTGGAAATGTAGCTCAGAAGTAGTATCACTTAGATTTGAAGAAAATATTCCACCTCTAAGGGTGTCAAACTAGGGGATGATTCCGGTTTCGCGCACTTTCCAGTAACTGATTTCAACAAAACTGGTCATGTAGATGTAATTCCACGCACTTGGAATTTTGGGGTCGATTTTTTTTATTGGTTTACTTTTTGTGTTTTTTATTTGTTAAAACATCGTAAATAAAGACAAAAAATTAAACAAAAAATCACATGCCGTTTAAACAGTGCTACTAACGATATTGGAAAAACGTGGGAAAACCTCAGAAGAAGGTTCAACGCAACGTTCGTATCATCGACGTGGTGACTATAGTAAAAAACCTTGTGAAAACATAAGCCCCACGTAGTAGGACGTTTGGATTCAGTATTAGGTACAGCAGAAAGATCAGAAGAACCGTGTGCGAACTTTGGTGTTCTCTTTTTCATTAAAGACCACGGGTACGTTGCAGAATCTGTAAAAAGAGTCGTCTTTGGCTTATGCAGTCACGTCTGAACGGATATGTACATGGGATTTTTAGTGAATTATTTCTAAAACGCCGAAATTTACTGACTGTTCAGTTAACAAATGGATTTGACTCAATTTCTCTCGATCAAAGTCTACTTACAAATAGTTTGCTTTTAATGTTGTGGTAGGCGTTTAGTCCGAACCCATTATCAATTGTAAATGTATTTGACTCTTCTGCTTATCAATGAGAACTAGATGCTATTATTATACGAGAACACCTTTTATAATTTCTTGCTATACCAAATAATCCAACAAAACATTTGATTTCTTATGATTTTCGTAATTAAATTCACTTGTGAAAGTGAGAAATCAAATATTTGAGTGTCACTCACGACATCGCGATGTTTTTATTCACTGTATTAGAGTATACGAATTATCTGTCTAACCACCTATCCCCTACAAATATCAAAGCCAAGGGCCGGAAGCCCCGTCGAGATGTGTAACCGTTGTATTTTGAACTTTCAACTCTAAAAATACACGAGCATGACCCCGCGCGACGCCGCAGTCGCACCCGCCTTCTGAAAGGTCAGGACACAATCTGTCGCTAGTTTTAATTGTCGATTTAATAATCGGAAAATCGAAAATCTATACTTTAGAAAAATATGACTCGAACTCGAAAGTGCTTGTGTTTACGGTGTTGAAAATATCAAATGTAAAATGTTGCCTAAAGTGTTTACAGCGATACTCAGTTGTTTTTAAAAGCCGACGCAGTAAAATTCCGTGATATTTTTTTTTAGGAAAATTGAAAATGATGATTTTTTTGAAGTTTAGTTGTGTCTGTTATGCCTGTGAGCTGTTAGTAGTTAGTCAAATAGGTAAGATATTTTATGTTTGTGTAACGTGTTATCGGTATACGCATATCACTATTTTATGTGAGTTTACTAAAAATCGCTTTTAGAATTTTGCGTAACGCGTTTCTTTTGCGTTATTATGCCTTTTTTATGAAATAAAAAGTATGTAAAAGTAAATATATGGAAATAGCAAATGCTTTCTATAATCATAAATAAATATTACATATAATAGTAATACTTGTATAATAATAATACTTCTTCTTGGGGTGCCATCTCCTACCGGAGGTCGACTATCATTAGGGCTATCTGTATTTTCGACACAGCTGCGCGGAATAAGGATCTTGTGATCGGGTTGAACCATGTCCGGAGATTCTTAAGCCACGAAGTACGCCTTCTTCCAGGTGGTCGCTTTCCATGTATCTTTCCTTGCATAATTAGTTGTAGTAAGTCGTATTTATCATCACGCATTATATGTCCAAAGTATTGTAGTTTGCGTTTTTTGATAGTGCTGAAGACCTCCAACTTCTTATTCACCAATACTCTTTCTTTGGACACTCTATCCGTCCATGATATTTTTAAAATTCTTCTGTAGACCCACATTTCAAAGGCTTCTAAGCCCAGGATTCTACGCCTTAAAAAGTACCGAAAACTCGTAGCAACGTGCCAAACGCACCCTGGTAGAGATCTTCAAGGATCGATTGCAGAGTAGATGATTCATCTTTAGAAATAATTTATTTAAGAAAAGAAAGTACAATGTACAAGAGTTGTCTTCAGCAATTGAAAATTATTAGGATTGTATGTGAACAATGCACATACTACACGCTTAATTATTACCACTAGCTGTTTATAGAGTAAAGTTCTTAAATGTTATATATTACAATTTTTTATATAAAATACACACCTCCAGTCATTTGCAACTAGTATAGAATTAGACCTATGTGGCTCAGTGCTTCCGCATTCTAAACATTGATTGAGAGGTCTCCAGTTGGATTACTGGTTAAACCAATTATAAAACGCAGTTTCATTAAATAGTCGGGTTGCGTTTTACGTAATAACTCTAGCCACGCTCTTGTTTTTACTTTTTTGTGTAGCATGCTATATTGCTAGAGGGCGTATCATATCTAGAAGAGTTGCTTGACCCAGTAACTACGTATCGTTAAGCGCTAATAACCGTCGTGCCTACATTTCTATTTGAACCATTTAAGGTTCAATTTACAATTTTTTTTTTTTTTTTTTTTTTTTTTTTTTTTTTTTTTTTA